TGTGCATAACGTCCGGTTTCATAACTTCTTTGGAGTCCGTACTAGCGGAACTGCACACGTGGGCGTTCAGAATACTACGCGAAGCAACGTCCGTTGCTGGCCACAAACAAGTAGGCCAGGCCAGACCAGACGAAGAGTCTGCTCTCTGTATCTCAGAGGGCAGCGAACTTCGGCGTTTAATGGAAACGGCCCTGAGGGGTGTATCACGATCATTAGATGCAGTCTGTGTTCTCAGTATCTCGTCTATACCCACGACCTATACGCAAAGCGGACTTGGTACAAATGGGGCTTTGTTTGTGGCTTAACACGAACCAGATTTTATCGACAGAAAAGCTGTACCTGTATGACAGGATCTATACCAAGATGCATAATATGCGATACGACAAACGGGACAACATGCAACACAACAAGACACATTTGAGAACTGCGTATTTTAAATTGACAGGCAAGAACACCGGTTCCTTAACACTGGATCGCGACCCGGCCTTCAGTCACGAGGACCTACTAATGGACATCAAACTTTCATAATAATCAAGCTAACTTGTTGGCTGAAACATTTTATATACGTGCTTGGAATTTTTTTCAGAAAAATAAATTTGTAAAAAAAACTTAATGCCGGTCACGGTAGCCGAGCGGTCTAAGGCATGTACTGTCTTCGCTCGCTCGGAAGCCGGGATCGTGGGTTCGAATCCCACTCAGGGCATGGATGTTTGTGTGCGTTTTTCTGTGTTTGTGTGCAGGTAGAGGCCTTGCAACGAGCTGATCACACGCCGAAGGAGTCCTACTGAATGTGTAAGATCTAGAAAAACCGAAGTGAACGGAGAAGTTCTTGAAGGTAGGCCTAGGCCCACTGGGGCTGTAGTGCCAAGGAAAGAAATACTGAATAACTTTCCTCCTGGATTTCCCACCAATATTCTATATGCATTCCTCGTCTCCCTCATTCGTGCTACATGCCTTGCCCACCTCATCCTTCAGATATACGGTTTGATATTCTATAAAATGCACGTCAGTTATTTCCTCTTCATTATGCATACTAGCTGAGATGGTGAAGTGTGAACATCGGCCCAATGATTAATCTCGCCCATTCTCGGGCGCTACCGCGACTTTCATCTATCTATGGCTCTACAGCCCTTGTGGGCCTTGGCCGATTGTCCGTGGTTTGAGCCCGCAAGCGAACTATACCGACCGATCGACCGCCGATTGTTGGTGACGTTAGTACCAACTTTAGCGGATAGAGGGTGTCGCGTGGTCAGCGCAATGGATCCCCACTGCCGTTAATTTCTGTTTTCTATACTGAAGCCGCTATTTCCTTGAAATAGCTCCTCATTTATCCTCATGAGGCTGACTGGACCCCGTTCCAGATCCACTACTTCTCAGAAAATCTGGTATCGACGGCAATCGAACCCGGGACCTCTGGATCTGTAACCAGGGACTCTGACCACTAGACCACAGAGGCGGTCTCTTAGCCGATTCTTCAGTTTCTTAATCATATACACAGTCGGTAGGACTCCTTGGACGGGAGATCAGCCCATCGCAATGCCGCTACCTGCATACAGGACAACATAAACAGAATAAACGCACACACAGACAGCCATGCCCTGCCAAGGGGGTTCGTACCCACCACGACTTTCAGACCATAAAATTTGCTTACACACTTACGTTTAAGCCGATTAATGCTGCTTTTACTGATGACCTTCGATTATTCAGAATAAGAGAGTACATGTTTTGAAAATAAATTTAACTTTTGGTAGTAATATTTAGTATATTTACGTCTTTCCTTCAACTCCCTTTCTTTTTTTAATCATTGCGGTACTGATGCCGCGCTTGTAACCGCCTCATACATTCATTTACTTCTAGAAGGTAAAGTTGTCCCTGTTCTTAATTAAGCACTACGCCATGAAGGCATATGGGGGAGTGGATGTATAGATCCACATTTTCTTGACCTCGGCACTAGTTGGAGGTGAATGCTCGGCTTAACGCCCCGACCGCTTTAAACCCGGGAAAGAGCCCCCGGTACCGATTGCATAGGAGGGTGGGTGGACTCCAGAGCCGGTCTGGACGACATGGAGAAGTGAAAATTCTTGACCCTGCCAGGACTCGAACTCCGACCTCTCGTCCATTTACTTGTATATTAACTTATATTTGCACTCTAAGTTAACGTGAAGTTCACTTCGCACTCTCTTCTTTTATGTGGCAAGTATTTTTTTTTCCCATCGTTGGTATAATTGTTTTCTGGTATATGGCGTAGGCACTTCGCTGAGGCCAGAAGAAGAAAAGCACTAACTTCCTAAGTTCAAGTAGGCTAGGCCTCGTTGGTTTATTATTTATTTCTACTGAAAACTATGGGTCACAAGGCGCTACCACTTGTATGCACGTAGATCAAACATTTCCACAACTGTGACTCGGTTAAATGGGGCAAATGTATGAACTGTGAAGTCGCTGTTCACAGGTTCTGGTGATGAATCTTGGAGTTACATAAAAGGCGAGAAATTTCTTGGCCCGTTGAGTGACCATCAGCTTCTCAACGACTCTGCTCCATAGAGAAAACTGTTACTGTTGTGAAAAAATATAGTTTAATATTTGTTAAACGACTTCGTTTGTGTTAATTACTTTTGGTGATTAAAAGGGAGGTTGAACGGGGCAGAGACGGGAGAAGTCATTATGGATTTTAGTCCCTCTGCTGTACGAAACCGATTAACCTCCTATATGTGAATCATGATGTGGACATTTCACTTACCTTCTGAGCCTTGCACATGGAGTTGATGGCTTGAACGTCATGGCTGGTGTGGCGTGTGTCGTGCAGGCAAAGCGGGCAGACCGGTACCTTGCACACCATGCAGTACATGGACAGGGCCTCGTCTTCGTGCTCGGAGCACTGAACATCCTTAGTCTTTGTCTTGTTTCTCAGTGCCGCCCTTCCCTGAAGTGGCTCCAGAAGTGTGTGTTTCGCCAGCGGACCGCGGGATGGGTGACAATTCTCTCGACACGTGTCACAGTACAACACTTCGCATTGCTCGCACATTACAGTCGCGTCTTCTGCGGGTTCAGTTTCACACAACTGACATTTCAGAGTTAAGTTACGTGTTTCTCCATATTTGTCTACGATACTCTGCATTGCCCTATACTTGGGCAGATTATGAGCCCCGTTTTCATCAAAATAAACCACTTTGTGGCAAACCGGGCAAGCCAACGACAAAGCACTGCTTGCTAAAGGTGGAAATAGAATGCCTTGGATATTGGGTGTACCCACGTAGCTGTTCGGACGACTGTTGCAGACAACACCGCTGTCTGTTTCGCTTAAAATCGAGAGTTTATCAACTTCCTGATAATCTGCTACCCCTAGTTCACTACCGCCGCCGCTGCTTGTGCTACCACCGCCTCCGCCCCCACCGGCTGACTCGTTCGCAAGTTCTGCGGCTTGGGTAGGGGGAGGATGTTGTGAGGCGGGTTGTTGCAGATGAACGGCACAGTTGAGACAAAGGGCGTGGTAACACGGTAACAGCACCGGGTTGTTAAATAGTTGTTTACATACCGGACACCGCAATTCTTCCTCCATTCTGCTACACAATCTCTGCTCAACTGGCGCCAAGCTAGCCGCGCGCCACGAGCTATGCGGCCGACATTGCCACGCGTTGTTGCTAGCTGCCATCTAGTGTCATAATTTGTAAGTATGATACCAGTAACGCTAGGGTCGGGGATCAAACGAAACATTTTGATATGTTACTAGGGAGGTTTCGACGATAGATGGCGACTACTGACATGGCTGCATCGCTGGATAACAGCTATTACAGAATAAGATATTTATAAGAATGTGCGACAGAAGGCCGGATGAGCAATGCCTAGGCCTTTTTTGTATGTACAGTATTTTTTCTATAATAAAAAAAATCTTACTTTCAGAGCCGAAAATATTAAATGTATTTCGAAGGGCGATTTAAGACTTCCAAAAGAGTTTTAAAGAATAATAAAGAGACTTGAAGAAAGCAGTCTTCTGGGATATGACTCCGTGTAGATATTGTGTTAACCGACGTTTCGGAGGAACGTATGACCTCCATCTTCAGGGTAGATGATAGAATAGACTTTTGTAACTGTGCACGCTGGTTCTTCGCTTGCGGATTTTCTTCTGCCCTGAAGATGGAGGCGATACGTTCCTCTGAAACGTCGGTTAACACAATATCTACACTTCGTCATATCCCGGAAGACTGCTTTCTTCATAGACACCGACGTGAAAATCTTAAATCTTACAATAAAGAGACTTGATCACATAAAAGTTTTTACTGACCAAAGATTCGACATTTGTCTTATTTTTAGTTTACTTACGGACTTTCTCAACTGCATAGGTAACGATAGGTAACATCGCGAAAAGAAGGAAGTCTGAGTAATTAATCGGGAATGTTGAGAAAGGAAGCGGCTGCTGACAGTTTTAGGGAAAAATTGTGCTGCTCGACCGAAAGGATTAAGAAACGCTTAAGAAATACCTCATTGAAGAAAACTCACATCCCGCAAGCAAAAAAGAAGTGTTAATGGCCCGATGGCAATATTAAACCACATATATATTTGTAAATTGATACAAAGACAGCATCTTTGATGACTGTGTGAAGGAAGTTGGATGTGCATCTCAGTTGTAGACATTATGTAGCTCTGAATTAGAAATGTAAGGAAGACTGTAGTCTAGAGTTAGAAGACAGAAAACCTGGATAAAATTTCTGATAACATTACTGTAGCTTGTTAATGCTTCTAAATAAATGCTATTCACATGAATGGATTCAAATCCCCTTGTTCTGCTATCAAATAGTTACTCTAGGTCCAGATAAGTATTACCTTATTTATGGAGGATCTGAGAAATATCCAATTCTATTACTATATAAGCATATTTTGTAGCGCTATCGAGACATTCGCCTAGAAAGGACGATGAAAATTACCAAGAAACTCAGGTAGCATGGTCAGTAGCTCGGTCGAGATTCAAACTCGATATCTCCACAATGCAAGTCTACAGCACTACCGCATCACTTCATATCTCAGAGACTTCAACTGTACAGCAAACACACAGAGTAGCCTATACCATAAACCAAGCACTTGATCATAAAGAATACTGTACCTCTGTATTCCTAGATAAAAAGTCTGGCACAGAGGACTGTTACATAAAATTAAACAGAATCTTCCCATCACTTATTTCAAATTGATGAAGTCCTACATCAACGACAGGGAATCCAGAGCAAGAATCAACCAAGCAATATCTATTAACTTTACTATAAAATCTGGGGTACTGCAAGGCAGTGCAGTAGGACCACTATTATACCTTCTCTATATGACAGACCTACCAACGGATGATAACACCACTACAGGAACCTTCGCAGATGATACAGTCATCTTAGCAACCCATGCAGATCCAGCAAAGGCCACCAGCATCCTACAAAAACCACTTAAACCAAATACAAGCATGGCTACACAAATGGAAAATTAAAATAAATGAGACTAAAACTATCCAAGTGAACTTCACACTAAGGCGAGAGCATTGCCCACAAGTAAGACTGAATAATAACAATATCCCACAGTCTCCAAGTGTTAAAAATCTCGGAATCCATATGGATGGCAGACTCACTTTGAAAGACCATGTGATCAAAAAATGTAAACAGACTTAAATCCAAGGAGCTAAACTGGTTAATTGGAAGAAGAGCCAACCTATCCATAGAAAACAAAGTCCTGCTCTATAAGACAATAACCAAACCAATCTGGGCTTATGGAATCGAGCTCTGGGGTTGTGCTAGCAAATCAAATATATCAATAATCCAGAGAAGCCAGTCAAAAATACTCGTACTTCGAATTATAACAAATTCACCCTGGTATGTAAACAACCAAACGTTATATACAGATCTAAATATACCATACACCAAGATGTTATCAGAGAAAAAAGTACCACACACCACAACAAACTAGCAAATCACCCAAACGCCATTCTACAGCCACTCATTGAACCGCAGCACAATTGAAGACTCCGAAGATACTGGCCAGCTGACCTAAAAGAAAACTAAGAGGAACCTCCCACTGGGGAAGGGACTCACCACGTCATCAACCTTTAAACGCTGGACTATTCAAATGGTGGTAGCTTGAGCTGGCCAAAGTCTATTTAGATGTCCGTTGCTGTTCTGCGTTTAAATGACCATTCCAGTTTGGACACTTAAACAATTTTAAGCACTGTGTTTGAAACTGCTGTATCTAACACAATTTTTATGATAAATGGATGAAATTAACTTTGTTTGTATCAGAAAAGAACAGTGTGTCGCATATTATAACATACGATTTGAAAATATTTATACAAAAATTTATACTCTATTTTCAATTTTTTTCTTTTAATTTTGATGTGTACTCTAAAAATTGGTTTCCACTTCTTCACAGAGTAGTTCTTCATTATAGAAGCATTCCTGCTTGTAGCACTTGACATATTTTAGCAGTCCCTGGTGCCATAAAACAGTTGGAAACGATAAAATCATTTGGTCTTCTGCTGGCAAGTTTCAAATCTTTGTTACACTCCTGAGATTTTCCAATCTCTTGACTAAAGGACAGAAAATGAAAGCATGGCTATTAAATAAAAGGCTACAGGGAACAATTCGATGGTCCCTACTTCGGTGCTTAGGCCTTAGATTGCAGCTGCAAGAGATTATTGTCCTTTATACGATCGCAAACAGACAGTTGCATCTTGGCTGAGATACAGGATGCAATCTGTTTTCTGTGAACTTGTAGTGAAATTGAATATGCTAGTTTCATTTCATCATACAATAGCAATGAAACGTCGTTTGAAAAATTACCTCCTGCCCTTTCATCTACAATATTTCGCCTAGAGGAGGCCAATCAACATCACTGGTCAACCCATTCAGAGAAGAGAACGAACTGCAGCGTATCACTAGTATGTTAGTGATTTGGCACAAAACAAATTAAAAATATGTATAGAAAAGCCAGTTCATATATTTCAAATATTTCTGATCAAAAAGAAGACAAATCTTTCAGTCTGATAAAAGCAGTATTCTGTACCAATGTCAACAATTCTAATTTAACAATAAATGCTAAATAAACGTGCGTGTGTTGAAAAGAAAGAAAGAAAAATTAATTATTTCTATATTCTTGTCTCAGTAGCTGGTTCAAATAATCCATATTTTGTATTTTGTACTCCTCTAGGTCCCTGATATTTCTCTCGAGCTCATGGAGATGCTCAGTGTATTCCACATCTGACTGCCTGTAAAACAGAAGAGTAAAAAAAAAGAGTAAAAGCAGCAGAAGTAACACATGAAGAAAAGCAAAGGACACTAATATACACAAAGATACCTTTACAAGGGCGGAGGGGGGGGGGAGAAAATGAATCTGAAGAAGAGAGATCTCCTGAAATGCAGCACTCAAGATTAGCTGAAGAAAAAAATGTTAGCATTCTTCTAAACATGATGCAAACAAATGTACTATAGAGAGTATGATTATTTATTTGGTAACATGAATTTACAGTACCTTAAATACTGTCATTTCCCTTGATTTATACAGTAAAATCCTTTCCATCATTTCTACAACATACTGATGATTAAGCAAGTTGCTTTTCTTCTTCTGGTGAATCCAATATGGCTCTTCCACTAACGCTGTGTTAAGAATAAGCACTGTTATGCCGTGGTGACAGGGGGGCGTGAAGGTATCCAACCGCTGCCACCACTGTTATGGCGTGAAGGGGGCGTGGAGGTACTTCCACCGCTTCCGCCCTGTACCTCTCTCTAGCTGTCGCTACTCTTATCTCCTGCCGTGATGACGGAGGGTGAGGGAATATCTCTCTCCGTCACCCTGTTAGTATGCTGCCACCATCTTGGTAATTCAAGAAATCTCATACTTATCTTAGCTTGCATTACTGTCTGGGTTAAACCGTAATTCGCCGAAGCTTTGGGAAGTCCTGGAGTCGGAGGAAGAGGATAACACTCGTGGATATGTGTGGTTGAATGAAACTCGTACACATTCCTAGCCTATTCTATTTACCCACGTCGTTATATACACTATATACACACTGTGCCGACGTTTGTCGGTTCGTCTTACATTGGGAATAAACCTGCAGCGTCTCATCAAGTCTACCTCCTGTCACCCTGCTGTCGGTATTCTATGCTTGGAATCACTGAATGAACCTAGCCCATCTGATTAGCCTATCTCTCCCGGGTTACACTTTACACTGTGACACTTTACACTTAATGATCCTGGCTATATGAGATGGTTTCACTTACTTGAGCTGAAGATGAGGAGGCTCGCCATCACGATCCAGCGTCCACTCATGGCCACAATTGTAATACTAATGTAATAATGACATTAATAAGAATAGCGTAATAGATCCGAATAGAATCGAATCGGATCGAATAGGCAAAAAGCCCAAAGCACAGCTAAAAAGCTAAAAAGCCAAAAAGAAGCTCCTAAAATGGTTCGTCTCGGGTTTTTATAACCTCTGCTCGCTGACTCGTCGTCTTCCGTGTATAGGGGTCCTCCTACCCCGACGTGATTTTGGGTCGGTGTAGCTTGATTATTGGTTGTCAATCAAGAAGGGGTTGACTCTTTTGGTAGGCCGCCTCCTCCTACTCAGCATTTTCCGTTTGCCATAGTGCTTATGGCCCATTTCATATAGCCCTTCCGCACTGTCAGCGGTTTACGCTGCCGCGTTAATATTCTGATTAGTCAGGAATTTCTTGTACTTCCTTGTAGACCCAAGCTCTCCGGTTCATGTCCTTATTACTGTTCAGTTTTAGTTTTTGTTTTTTTCAATCTTACCGTCTAATTGTAGTGATTCCAAATTTACCCCCCCCAAAAAAAAACTACATCTACATGTATGTAACCCTTGCTCCATCACAAGCACTCTCCAATATATTTTCTGATTTGGGGAAAAGAAAAAATGTGATGGATTCATATCTGAGCTAAATACCGAGTGACAGCATTTTCTATCAGTAATTTTTCAAAAGATCTTTGTTTATCAAAGCATTTTCCTGATCATTTTGAAATTTACAATGGTCTAAAGCAGGCATGTCAAACTCAACTTGTAGAGAGGGCCACCTCAGCCCTATGTTCATTCAATATTGCATGCATTGTTTGGATGTGCAGTTGTACATTCAAGGATATTGCACTGATACCTGCATTGCGTATAGCAAGCTTATACCTTGACTGGTTTTATTTGGTATTGAACATGTAAGATATAATCTCCAACTTGACTGGTATGCCATGTAACAAACATACCTCATTATAGTTGATGGATGTTGTGATCTTTTATGGTTTGAGATATATAAGCTACTAAGTTGAATGAATTTATTATGGAACGTGTTTTTATTATAATTTTAACTTATTTTATTTACAATTAAACATGGTATAGTGTTATGTATATTTTAGGTTGATGTATATTTTATGTTGACTAGTTCCATTGTTGGAGCATTTGTTGAAGATATTTGACTTGTACTGTGTCCAGTGGTGTTGGCCTGTAATTGGATTTGCTTGAATGCAATAAATACTATACTATACTATCAATTTATCCTCTGTTGGGGCTTGAACATTCAGAGCAATAATATCACACCAATAATCTCACAGTATCATATATGATATCCTATCACTAAGAAAATCTACCCCCTCATAACTGCTGATATGATTCTCTTATGTACTAAGAAAGCTGTGCCCAATTTATGATTCTCATTCTATGAAAAGCCATAGAAAAATATATTTCAACTGCTGGCTTGGTGCCATCTCTATATCATCTGACCTCCTCTACACTCACTAAATCTAACTTATATTTTGATATTTCTTTTATAACTGTCATGAGCGAACCTGCCCAATACAGACTTCTTGTATTCCACGTACTAAATCGCATGTCCATTTTCTTTAGCTTAAGTCATTTATCCAAAGAATCTCGAATTTCAACTACAATATTTAAATTCTATAGAAGTAATTTTATAAAGTCCTTAATATACAATTATTTAATATAAAATATCTATTTATAAAAAGAATACAAATTGGGACCTATATACCTACCTAATACAATATGCATTAATCCCTTTTGGTTTGATAATCTTTGCAATGTATGGAAAGTTGATTCTTAAGTACTATTAACTGCAGAAATGAAAATGCTCACCGGTACAAATTGGTCATCAACTCTTCCATGTGCTGTGGGATTACATATCTGGTATTTGGTGTTATGAGATTCAACTCCTCATTCACATCACTAAAACCACGAACACTGGTAACAGCACAAAATACCATCATCAGGTATAGAAAATTGACATCAATATCAAAACTAAAAAGAAAGAGTATTTTAAGAGGGTGTGGCGGAAGAGAGAGAGAGAGAGAGAAGCTGATGGACTGACTGGTTTGAGGGATTACGGTAAACTCAGGTGCACTGATTATTCCCGAATAGAGAGATATGAGCACAGACTACAGTGATACTTGTACCAATGGCAGGTGCATTTTACATTTATCATATTTCTTTGTCTCCCCATGCATGCTAAATGCCAACCTTTCACAACACTATTGATTTCATAATAATGGGTGAGGAGTACTTACTTACTTACTTACTTACTCATGGAGCTGAGCCCTTCTTGAGGAGCCGCCGCCAATTCTGCAGCTACTCCAGAATTTCCCACCATTTTATGGAACCGGAAGGTTCATCACCGTGTTCACAAGAGCCCTCCACTGGTCCCTATCCTGAGCCACATCTATCCAATCCATACAATCCCATCCTATCTCTCTAAGATCCATTCTAATATTGTTCACCCACCTACGCCTTGGTCTTCCCTGTGGTCTCTTTCCTTCTGGCTTTCCTACAAATATCCTATATGCATTCCTCGTCTCCGCCATTCATGCTACATGACATGCCCACCTCATCCTCCTTGACTTGATCATTCTAATTATACTTGGAGAAGAGTACAAGAAAAATTATGTCTTACTGGTATAAATATAGAACTCACCAAACAACAAAAACTCTGTTGTATTGGTTGCCACTTGTGTCATTTGCCAGTTCTTTCAGCCCATATGAGAAAATATCATCCAGCCATGTGGGATGCTGGTAGAAAACTCTCTTTCCTTGGAAAGATGCCTTCTGATGCAACACTGCACATTCGGTCTCAACCACCACAATTTTTATGCCATCATGTCTTAGGTGTCTGTTCAACCACTCTACTGCACCAGTTGCAATTTCTTCTTCAATAGAAGGATCGTAACAATCATATACCTGAAATGAAAGTTCCCTGAAGCACATATAATGAACAGCGCTTGCAGAGAACTACATCTGCATCATATCATGTAGGATAAGGTTATTACAGATTACCTTATTTACTTTAATTTACTTTAATTGGAACTTGCCTGTTATGAATACCCAAATGAAACTCACAATTCTAAAATGGCAATTCCTATACATTTCTTATGCATATCAACTCAATTTCAATTACCGTTTCATAAACTCACATATTTACCTGGGAATAGGTTAACACTGAATGTAGGATGCATAGCGCAATACTTTTATTAATTTTTTGGGAAAGGTTAGAAATTCTAATTTTACTTCATATTGTATATGTCTTCAATTAACCCTCATAATTTTATGCATTCTACTTTCATGTGTCATATCCTTTGCTTTTCACTTTGGTTGCAGCTGAAACTGCACACATATCACCTATAACACTGCAAGTAAGGTGCATGTAGTAAGAATGGATAAAAATAATTCCATAATTTCTATGGGTAGTTAGTTAGTTATTTAGAGAGGGTGGATTTCCCCATGCACCGTGACCAGTTTGACCTATTGTGCTTCCCTCTATGATATTCTACCAGTCTCTATACCCTACCGATAAATGGTGCGTACCATCAGTCCCGCCAAGCAAGCGAGTTCGGCCACTTGCTTAGCGGTGTCTATAATGCTTTCCCCATCTATCGGAGGCCTTAGAGACTATTGTTGGGCGGGAAACGTCCTGGAATTTGGCTCAGTGATCCCCTTTGGGGATACAAAGTTCTTTTATGTGCCGTAAAGTTATGACATGGGACACACAGCTTAAAGTCCCTCCCGGAGGACTTGTTCCCTGAATTTTTCTGCCCTTAAAAATTCGACGACTTCCGCCGGGTATTTGAACCCGCGTACTACGAGTCAGGAGGTGGGAACGTTACCTCTAGACTACGGAGGCCGCTATTTCTATGGGTAAGGTAAGGTAAAGTTGTTCCTCTGTTTAATTAGTTAAGCACTATGCTATGATGACATGTGGGGGAGTGGAGATATAGATCCAGCTTTCCCAACCTCAGCACTAGATGGAGTTGAGTGGTCAGCTTCATGATCCTGCTGCTTTAGGCCCAGAGAAAAAGCCCCTGGTAACACTTGGATAAGAGGCTGGGTGAGCCTCAGAGTCGGTCTGGATGATGTGGAGAAGAAAAGAGTCTTGCACTCCCGGGATTCGATTCCAGATTATCTGCCCCATAGTCCAAAACTATACTGACTGATCTGTTCTGACTCTTCAGTTTCTATGAGGACTATGTTAAAAAGAAAGGGATTCAGCGACGCAAAACGGTCAAGAAAATCAGACATCACAGAACACTTTTGATTCTCAGGTTCTTTAACAATGCTATTTCAACTACAGAAGTTATATGTAAAATGTCAAATACTCTGGAAAGGTAATCATACTTGTACAGTAATCAATATGCAAGAATATGGAAGGTGGCGGTGATTAATTATTTGGAAGTAGTATCCTAGTATTCATTTGGAAATATTGAGGAAAACAATGAAATCTTCAGTCAGAAAAGGTGTTAAGTTGTCCGAGAATCTAACTGAGCACCTTACAACTAACTCATCAGTGACGTAGTTCATGAAACCTCTTCTCACAAAGACCAACATATTCAAGTGGCCTTTCAAAGGCCAAATAAAGTGCAAAATTATGTGAAATTTAAAATATCTTTTGTTGAGTTCATATGCAAGCTCCAAAACAGCAGACAAAATTTAAAGAAAATCCTGAGCTTAAAGCTCATACATTGGCTTACAGTGCTCTAATTACAAAACAGACTATAAAGCATACAGTAGCAATGCAAATATGGCTTCTGCACACAATAAGGATATGCAGTATTTTTTTACTTTGTTTTTTTGTGCGATATATTTTGCCAAACGTACTTAATTTGTCTCTGTGTTTTGTTAACGTCGTGAGTTCAGTTGAATTAATACCAGCATTTGAGATCATGACACTAGGTATAATTTATTTAAGTGTAAAAACGAATCAGTTAGTTGGAAAAAAGAACATGTCCAATGGCTGAAACTAATCAAGTCATTTAACAAAGGCAAATAGGTTACTTGTATCATACAGTTCTGTTATATTTTATAGATATTACCTGACATATGTAGAGATCATAAATTTTAGAAATGTTCTACTATATGATACATTACTATTATTTTTAATTTTCCCCATTATCATACCTATTGTAATAAAACATGCAGATAATGAAATGTCCCCAACTGAGCAACAATTCAGAATTATATTTTATCTTTAAATTACTCATAGACTTGACTACCAAAATAGTCATACTAGTACAATTCCAAAGGACAAAGGGAGTTGAGAAGAGCCAGACAAAGGATGACAAAGGATTGGTAACTTTTAAAACATGTAACACCCAATACTTGCAAGGAAAGAAGAAAAAAATTAGTCATAATATTAAGTAACCGACATCCTGGTACAGGCCCAATGAAACACATGTTCAGGAAGTTTTGTGTTGTTAAGGAACCTGATGATTCATCATCTTGAGTTGGAATGCCCACTAATGAGCTTGATCCTGAGCCAGTTATTCACATAATATTAAGAGTTTGTAGTGACTTAGGGGTGATAAACAATGTGCATGTCATAGTTCAAAATGCACAGCACAAATGCAAATTTTGGTGAATAAAAATAAAGTGTACTATCTTCTGAGATGTAATGCCATGTAGTCCAGTAGAAACTTATAGAAGATCATATTATTCTTTCCATCTTCAGGGTAAACACTGTGAAAACCTTAGGTCAATAATATAAGTAAAATTTGGTGACCAAGAGAAGTAAAACACATACTGATAACATTCCACTGAAACGTAACAAACACAGTATTTTACATAGCAGCAATATTTGGGCCAGGTTTGGTATATGTTATCCTAGGCTTCAGTTGCTTCTTAGCAACATGAAGAAAAATTATGAGAAATGACAGTTCTTAGTATAAACATACCTTGCATTTCATTACTTCTTGTAATGTATTTCTGAGAGTCACCATCAGATTCATAAACTGTTCACAGTCTCGAGGATACAGTAACAGTACTTCTGATAATACTGCAACAAAATGCAACATGATGAATTAAAAGTCAGAAAAACTAAAGAACTATAAATTATATATTACACAATTTCATCATTTCTTAACATTTCTTCTGCAATCTATTTGAAATATAATTTTTGCTCATTTATATTTTATCCTTGCTAAGTTCATCATTTATAACATGTTTTATCCTTCATAATCCCTTAATTTATTATGTACTTTTACAGCTGTCAAGTAAATCATATAGGCTGAACCTGAAAGTTGTATACACTTTGCTCCTATGGACTCAACTGCATATACATCACTGCAACACTGTTCTGCTGTCAGCAATGGAGGGACAGAAGGCATTGTGCTAAACAAACATTCAGAAGAAAAAATCCATGGGTGTGAGATCATGTGATCTCTGGAGCACTGGTACATTTCGAACGTTGGAACCATCCCTTTTATGTTAAGAAGGCCTATGGCTGCAAATTGTGCCAATTTACTTGAACCAACAGACAAAATCCTGCTTCACCCTACAGGATTATTTTCTGATACTGATGACTGTAGCTCTACCTGACAGTCTGAATGCACAGTAGGTTTCAACCTAGGCACCAAATTCAAAATTTTTGACTCAATCTTTTCAACTACACTTTAAATGTGTTCTTCATAATAGAAGATTAAAATCATACAAATCATTTACAGACATCCTGTATTATATGTATGCTAGGACTTGGTTTTAGTATTGCTAATGTAAAGTAACAACAGCATTTTACAGTATCAATTCTGTCTCACTATCTTTCAAAATTACCTTTCTGGAGCCAATGTACACGTAATATTGTAATTAATACATTAAAACTTACTAGGCACAAGTGGATATGATGTTGGTGTTAATGGTGCATAATGCAGCCACTTCCTTATCTTCTTCCTCATGATGAATAATAGGATGCAGAAGCATAACACCACCAGGGAGGAAAATACAGACACCAGTATAACAGTAACACATTGATCACCTTCTGCTAAAACAGGTATATAATTCACTACACATGTGTCTCCTGGGAAAAGAAATGAAAGAAGAAGAAACTTACTTGCATGTATGTTTTAAACATTATGGTTATGTTCCTCTGAAATGTCAGTTGACATCCAACAGGCTAGGGGTGATATGTTTCTCCAAAATATGGACTGACTTTCAACTGACTCTATGGTCTTATATCCCAGAAAACAGAACCACTCACTTCCAGTTTTTTACAACTTTCTTTACACTAATGCTGAGTACAATGAAATTACACATTTTTTAACGTTGGTAGGATGTGTAATAAACAAAAAGGAATATGGTCCAGAGTCTACGTCAGTGCTTGAAAAATGTGAGGGTGAACAGGTTAATAACCATGCTGAATGGTGTAATAGTAAAAATCCTTATTTGAATCAGAAGATAACCAATTTAATTCTGGGCTGAGGTACTAGGTCTCTTAACAAAATTCTCTTCACTGTTTTTCTAGCTTTCGGAGTTAGTGCAGCTAAAAATATTCATGACTATTTCCATCTGAATCTTTGCATTATTAATATTCATGATCCTACCTTGTTCGGTGCTACATAATTTATGCAGACAAAGGTGTGAATAAATAACTTAAGAGTCAATTTGATTTTAAAATTACTGGAGGAAACAGCCACTTACTGGTAGGACTATTCCACTGACACCCGGGATTAAGATTATGAATGACAGAATTTTTCCAAACTCCTAGGCCTTCACATGGATGACAATGAAGATGCACCTACAAACAATGAAAATCATACTTAGAACTTAACAACAAACAGAAAACAAATGTAAAAGAAGGTTAAACTGTCCATCTACTTAATGAATTAAGGTACTAAAATATATTGGGGATGGGGTGAATGTGTGGCTCCAGTATTCTTAACCTTGTCATTAGTGGTCAGCTTGATGACCCTACTGCTTTATCCCTGGAGAAACAGCCCTCACTACCTTTGGACAGGAGGCTGACTGGGCCACAGGGCCAGTCTGGACATTATGAAGAAGAGGAAAGAAACACAAAACAATGCAAATGTAATTATATTTTGAATGCATAGTAACAATTTAGCCACACAAGGAACTTCAAGATTTCAAACTAACATTTTTATGTCAGATTTATCTCTATTATTCTTGCATCATTTTCAACATTCCAGCTGGACATGCAAATGAGTATGACAGGAAGAGACTTAACTGCTGAAATGGACCTAGGGCTGAGTTGTTCCATTCTCTAGTTTTATTTAAGAATATTGAAGTACATGAAATATTCTAAAGCTATCAGCCATGTCAGCTGGTTAAAAAATTACCTACATTTCAGGCATTTTCATCATCCCAAACACCAGGGTCTGATGTAACATTCGATTCAGACCATCCTATTTATTAGCAGGCAGCCCATGATCAGAACTGAACGTGAGCCAATGGAGAGATAATGGTCCAGGACAGAGATGACCCATGAAATTTAGATCATTTTTAATCAACTGACATGCATTTAGGAAGTAGTAGAAAGCAGCGTGTTTGTTGACACATGTGACAAAATACTTTATCTGTTTAAGCATCATTACATGGATGAGTTCAAAAGTAATTTACAGAGAAATTGCAGAAGTAAATTTCATTCATCCACTAAGTTTTCAGGCTCTGAGAATGCATGCTATGACATTACACATGCACATCAATTTAATGAAGGTGTAGGAGGCCTAAAACATCTTTTGCAGTTATTTAATATCTGAATGTGACTAACATTTTTTAAATAAGTATGCACTAAAACATGTAAAAAATATAAAGGTATCTCTGTAACAGGCTGTGGAGATGTTGTGAGATGTCGAGGATCCCACATTTTCTAGACAATTGGCTCACAGATAGCAGTAAGGTTGTCAACCTTCCGCACTGGCCGCTTTCCCCACCCAGGAAGATTCCTGGTACTCTTTTCTGTTAGAGGCTGAGTCAACCCCAGGGCCATAATGCGGATGGAAGAATTAGGTCAATTGAAAATATTCCCCTCATCGGAACTTGAACACATGACCTTCCAGCTGATTTGTAGCATAGTACCTGAACCAACTACACTACCATGTAAGTAATAAAATATAGAAATATGTAATCACCATTTCCAGTACTAGGACTAGTTAGCTTCGTACGAATATCATAAACAGAATCATGCCGCACAAGATTTGAGGTTATTATGGCAGTAAATATGAAGGTTACTAATAATAATAGTTCCACCATGCACTATAATTTTATTAACTTATGTTCCACTGTATGTTTCGACCCTTATAAGGTCATCCTCAGGTGGAACTGCACATATGTACATGCATCAGTCTGTGTTCTGTCACGTCCCAGGCTCATCACCAGTGTGCACAACGTCCAGCAGCTCACTTCTGGGATATAACATTCATCATGAGGTGTTTCTGATCATGAAATTTTGTGGTTTACTTTCAACAACAGAGTAAGTCATAACTACAATTTATATTACTAATCACTCACCCACAGACACTGTGACTGGTTACTAACATTCTCTGTGATGCACCTTAACTCATTTCCTTCTATCTGCAACAAGATAGCATGCAGACAAGTTTCAGTGCATATCTGAAAACTGTGAAGTTGCAGAAATGTTCTGTGGATTCATAATTTCGTTCTACAAAATAGATTCCTACTCTGATGAAGAGATGTAATTGCAGGTATTTGAAATCAAATGCTAAGAACAAAAGAATAAGTTGGTAGAAATAAAAGAAAGTACAACCTGTAGCTTACCAATGAGCAATCTGGTACATTCTTTCCATATATGCATTTAAACTCTCCGGCTAACTGTAACAGAAATGTTAACTGCTTTAAGTTCTGTTACAAAAAATTATACAACTTATTTAATATGCCCAAAGGGTACATATTCAGTTATAGGAGATAATTATGTAGCGATGCTGTATACTCTTCCTCTTGTATTCTTAGTTCCATGGGACAAAGTCCTACTTGAGGAGCTTTACAGTAGGGTTAGTTTTATAAATGTAATTGCAGAGCATAACTATATTCAAGACTGGGACAGAAAAAGTAGCGAAATGAAATTATTTTGATCATACAATTCATATTCTCATCAAATATTGCATGCATGTGCCTACATAATCCTTTTTGCTCCTGCTTTTCTTTTCAAATAACTTGATTTTTATTATTTTTATTTCATTAAGTTTATCAAAATATGCTTTGCAGGGTGTGATAACAGTGTCATTGGTTAATTAATTTATATTATGTTCATATTTACCACATCCTTCAAGCATCAGTTAAAGTTTTTACTTTTGCATGAAATGAGAAAGACATAAGGATAGAAACAAGGTGGAAGAAAACTTTGATTTTGTTTTTAGTTACATACAATAAAAATCTTCTCCCCAAAGGAGATGAAGTTAATTTCTTCTTTTGAAAATGTATGAATTAATAGGTGTGTATACACACACACACACACACATTTGTATGTGTAAGAGTAAAATTAAATGTAACTCTGTCTTTATCAGTGTTTCATACAGCATAAATTTCAACATCTTTTCCTGCCTGAAGAAACATTTATAAAGTTAAAGTGAAGCTTACATTCAGACCCATCCACCATACATAACGTAATTCAGCACAACTGGCACATTTTTCTCCAGATTGACATGTCCATACTTTAAACTCCATTAGTGAAATATGCATTTCATCAATCCCAGTTACAGTATGCTCCATCTGGCCACTGTAGAAAAGAAAACACGCTGAAGAATAAATCTGCCAAACACTCCAGACAAGTTAATATAACCATCTTTTCAGTTTAACCTCTTTATCTTATACAAAAATGTATGCTTAATATATTGCCATGTCCATTCTCATGTCCATGTTTTGCCTCCAATGATTTTTATACAGGTGACCAATTTTCAGGAATATCCTGTCACTGGAGACTCCTCTCTTGTATGCTATGTTATTTTCAGTTGCACATAATACCAGCATGGTGGTAATCAAAACTAGCAGCATTTAACATATGGTCCTAAACTTCTGGTAGGCTACTGTCAAAAGACAGAGATTGTAAGCTNCGCTTTGTATGAATATCCTGTCACTGGAGACTCCTCTCTTGTATGCTATGTTATTTTCAGTTGCACATAATACCAGCATGGTGGTAATCAAAACTAGCAGCATTTAACATATGGTCCTAAACTTCTGGTAGGCTACTGTCAAAAGACAGAGATTGTAAGCTTTTCATTCATCAGCCCATACACTAACAGAACAATGCTCGACAATTACTAATTGTAAGATGCCTGACTACTTACTGCTTACAATTATGGACAGAGCTAATGGTCAAACTCGTGCTTTTAAGAATATCCTCCTTTGTGAATTTGGTATCTAAAAATACAGGTGGTGAGCAAAAGGCTTGCACCTTCAAATTATATTCTTTTTTTATTTTCAGTCTATAGCAGCCTCTGTATATCAAATTGAATGTTACATTCACCACCTGAAACAGAAAAGTAAATTTAAATTTCAAGATGTTTGAAACCTAAAAAATTTGTCTTGGTTTTAACATAATAATTCCAACTTTTATATATGCATTTTCTTCTCTTTTTATCTTGAAAGTGGATTATATGTCTCATGCTCCATTCCATTTGCAGTGCTTTACTGTTTCCTATTAAATATATTTTTTTATAAATGAAGTTATGAATATAAATCTGTGACATTGATTAAAGAGTATGGTCATTTGGCTGTAACGCCATTTAGTTCAGACAGTAAGTAAAGTAAAGTAAGTAAAGGTATCCTTGTAATAGGCCTTGGAGGCCCATGGGATTGTGAGATGTTGAGGTTCCCACATTTCCTAGACAATCGGCTCATAGATGGCGGCAAGTTTGTCAGCCCTACGTGCCGACCATAATACTGTAGCTTTCACATATTTATATATCCATGTATTATTTATTCATTTAGTTATTCTTTCAATGGCTCAGATCATGTAGCAATGAATGATAGAATGGACAGTCAGAGTTTGATTCTTGACAGTTCCAATGAGATCATAACAACATTCAGAATGTCTGTAAAGTCCATTGAGACTCCTTTCCTAGGAGTACTGTGACGTTTCCCTGGGACTGAAAATGGCTGGCGAGTGAAGCTCACCATTCATCTCCATTCACATCTGCGCCTGAGAATGCTGAATATTTACTTTCACAGTCATGTACGCCTCTGTAGTGTCACATTAAGCAAACAACAACTTGAACCATTATCGGCATTTGTGATTTTGTATCAGACCTTAAATGTATGCACATTGTAAACGTCAAATAAATTGATCATATCATAATCAGTGCATAGTAACTTTCTTACCTTTTCACAGAATGGATAGCTTCCATTCCCTTGGTCTTTTATGATTCTGCCATACCTTAGCGAATGATCTGACCAATGGACACCACTTTTATCTTTTGTAACATATGACTGTCCAAAACCACTTCCTTTACATTCGTCTTCTGTTACATTCTCAGATGATTGCAATACAAATCCATAATATCCCGGACATAACTTGTTGAATGCGGTGAACTGAAGTGTAACTTTTCCAGTATTTTGGTTTATATTTATCCATGTGAAGTTTCCTGGTTCAGATATGCAGTCACTTCTCCCTGGGATATGAAAAATTTGTTTTTGTAATTATTATAGTTTGCCCGAAAACACTGTCTCGTGAAACAAATTCAAAGTATGTTATGATTGCCTTAAATAGGCTCTTGAAATAAATAGCATTTATCTTCATTTATACAACTTATTCAGAAAGTGTTTAATATACATTTGCTGTGTTTGTTCTTGTTTATTTTTCAGGTATTATAATTTTTCAAGCTTCTAGTACAAAATTTAAACTTATTTTCAAATAACAGAATATTCCAAATATACTGTAACGTGTCTGCAATACAGAAGTGTAACTTCTATGGAGACGCCAGAATAGACCGTTACATAGGAAGTAACAATAGCGGCACTGTAATCCCAACAGTGAGCCGTTGTGTAGAGAACATCGAATCTCCACGGTTACGACAAATACGCGAAGTGTTCCCACGGAGACAACGCAATAACAATGGGTTATTGCGTAGGAAACGCGGAGCCAACAAAGCGACGTTTCCACCGCTATAACAGAGGGTTCGTTACCTAGCAGCGGCCAAGGTTATAAAAGCCCAGCTTCGACGAGAAGTCCTCAGTCTTCATCGAGCCAGCTAAGGAGCCAGTCTCGGATCAGCCTTCGGAGAAGAGAGTCCAGTGTCTCGCCGAATATTGTGAGCAGTGATTGTAACACTGCAAGGGCAAATGTTTGTAAAAGTGTGTGTAAGCAAGCGAAAGAAATAAATTCGCTATATCGGACAACGGCGTGAACTTATTTGTAGCGTGACACAAAATACATGCTACAATACTTTATATTTCTCATACTACACTGTTTTACGAGATCTGTACATATTATATTTCAATGCGTGTATAATTAATAGCTAATAATATAAGTAAAAATATAAAATCTTAAAATAGTGTAGTACTTCAAATATAATTGGAAATCTAGTTCCCTTTTCTATGTTTGTATCACATTGAAATCCTACAAATTGTATCACTTGGTACTGAACTGTTGTGGCACTCCAAAAAATTTGATGTTCATCTCTGTTTTTTCTTAGCAGTACAGTTTTGGAATTGATACATGCATTCTTTGTTACAAGCAGATTCTCTTCCTTATAAATTAATTTCAATAAAATATTCTTTTACAGAATGAAAAGCAAAAGAATTGATTTTATGTGTGTAAATACAAGACATAGCCTATGTCAATAGTTTGACTAAAAGGGATGAATAAAATGGAACTGAATTGGATTGAATATTACTGAAGGGTTATGGGCCACAGATATATTGTTATGTACCATATATACAGATTTCATACAGTATACATACTGCAGCCAAGTCACAACTACGATACTAATAACAGAAGAATAGATATTCATCCACATTGTTTCTTTTCACACTTTTTATGAAGTTAGGTTTGACTTATTAAGACACGAGTTTATGTTAAATGTTTTAGGTTGTAAATTATAAGCAAATGAAGCCTTTCTTGACATGATCTTGAAACAAAAGAAGAATACGCACCTACACAAGTGATATCCAAAGCAGTGATCTGTAACAAAATGCACTTACACTATCATACACAATTTAAATTATCTTCAAGGCTTTACACAAGTTTTAAAGATGGTTTAATAATAGGCTTTCTTGTTGTTTACTTGCATTCCAAACGTTTCTTAAAAGAATTAATCTGTCTTAGCAGATGGCACATTTGTATGCAGCATAACAGTGACTCTAAAATTTTCTTGACTGGTATCAAACTTTAAATTGCAACCTTATGGGACCATAAGCAAGTTCACTGCACATGATGGTACACAGCTGAAATAATAGAACTGAAGATATAACATGTTTTAAGGCTTTAGATAAAGTTACAACAGCCTCTATTTAAATTCTCAGTATCATACCTAATGTTAATATCTCTTGTTAAAGAAATATCACAAAACTTACAATAATATACAAAGTATATCTATGCTAAAGAAAATAAATATGAGAGGTCATTACCAGACATGAAAGGCATATTGAGCAGACACTAGGATGCAACGGACTATGGAATAAAATACACAGGAAAAAGGTACTATTACTGTTGTGATATAGGTGTATTATATATTAAGAAATTAGATTTTATATCACAAAGTCAATAGAAAGTCCGTCGAGTGTAACACTTTTTGTAGGTCACTTCTTTATCACTTCTGCCTTGATAGTGTAACGGACCAAAAATGAAACAATTCAAAATAGATTTTATATGACTATATTAAGAGTCTTGGTGGTCTCTTGATCATATATGTAATTTTATATGTTATTTTGATATATGGAATGTACTGTTGTACGTTAGTCTTGTTGTATGAGTATTTAAAAGTTTGACGATGATGACTATCTGATTATGTATGTATATTCACATGTTATATTGTATTGCTGACTTGTTCTATATCTGAGGCAGACGCCTCCATGGATTTTATAGAACTGCATATAAATGAATGAATGAACTAAGCAGGGTATCTAAATTGTGTACTAATCTTATTTTCAAATAACAGTCACTGCCAGGAGTTTCATGATTTAACTTAATCCATTGTAACAAATTATAGAAAATTATTTTTAATACAAAGTTGGCAGTCAGTTAATATATACTGGATAATTACCCATTCATTATCACTACAGTTTCAAATGATTTGCAAATTTCCTTAACAGACCAACGCTATTAATGAGTGGCATGATCATAAAACTGGAAATTAAGAATATAAATTTAGAATCACCTCCAATGGGGTGGAATTCCTATTCAAACAAATCGACTTACAATGACAGATAGACAGGCAGACAAGGAAGTGAATACAAAACATTTACATCTTGCTCTGTTTTAATAATGCCTTAGAAGTAGAAAGTGGAGTACATAAAACTGGCATTTCGTTAACAGATGGATTTAAAATTAATTCAGTTTATGTTTTAACTTTTAAAATTTCATTTCAGATATCCAGAAATGAGACAGTTCAGAAGAACTTGTTTAGAATTATGACAGAAATCATGAAAATGGGTGCAATTTTTTTCATTCCTGCTGATTTAGATCCAGATTTTTCTGGAATGGTTATTAATAGTTATCTGTAGGTATTGCAAGACAAAGTCCAAAATCCCATCCTCTTCAAGATTTAAAGAATATAAACGATTTGTAAAATGTTTAATGATGCCATAATATTGTAGATGTTAGCTCATATCAAGATCAGAGGATTATTATGCAGGCTGATATGAATGGTAATAATAGGGAAGTGGACTGTTTCAAAATATTATACCATAATTAATCTAGAAGGAATGTGGGAAATATGAAAAGGCTAAAGCAAGATGGGAACTCAAAACGTGCATCTTCTGTATAACAGTCGTGTATGTTTCCACTAAGCTAATATCCCCTTGTCCAAACAACTGTTGTTCATCAGTGGGAGGTTCTTCCCTTCTTGCCACACTGAAGTTTATCCTTAATTTTTTCTCACAGTCAGATTATTTTTCTAATTCAAAGTGCTCAAAAAACTAAAGGGTGACATAAATATGAGCCAACAGAATTCACAAAAATGCGATCTTGCAATATGATAATTCTGTACACTACGGATTAGTAGTTACTATAGGATTCTGACGATGGTGTATAACACACTGATATGTTGGGATTTTGGACTTTATCCATCGTCCTGGCTTTTAAGATAACAAATAAAAACACGACGTTTCGGAAACTGGATCTGTTTCCGTCCTCAGGTGAAGGAAAACACCTAACCAACCCAACTGAATAGGTGTTTTCCTTCACCTGAGGACGGAAACAGATCCAGTTTCCGAAACGTCGTGTTTTTATTTGTTATCTTAAAAGCCAGGACGATGGATAAAGTCCAAAATCCCAACATATCACTACTGATTAGTATCTCTCATGTGTTTATAGCAGTGGTTTGAACATACAAGGACAAGTTCGAAACTCGGTCATACAATTTTCTAATTATTCTATGTTGCAAGGTATGATACCCTGTAAAATACTGTATACTTACATTCTCATCTGGACATATCATGGGTATATAATTGCAATTGCAATGTGATGTCAAAATGGTCATCAGAACAACATACAGCTCTTTTGTTGTCTCATGTTTTGATATAAACAGACAACAAACCATGATGGTGTCTAGAACTGCAAATAAAATTGAATAAAAGAAATGTAATTATCACTACTAAGTTACAATATGATCAGTGGCAGCCTGCCCTTAAGGGCCAGAAGTTTAGTCCCCCCAGCATCTAATGCCTCAATGTTCAGAGAGTAGTTAGAAGAATTTCTAATTTGTCTGGCACTACATATTTCAAAACCAGCAAAGATGTTCCATAGGCTGTAGAAAGTTCATAGAGGGACATGCTTCATGGGCCCTAGTCTTAACTCACTTTTTGATGTACACTCCTTCCATGTTCTGATGGTGCTCAGTAGACATTCAGTCACAAGACGCCATTAACTGGGATCATGGTGGAAGAAATAAACCTAGGGGTAAGGCAAGTGGCAGAATTGGAGCAGGGAAAGTGGGATAGTTCTTCTAGAAAAACTCCAGCAGGTACAACAGATTGTTGCAAATATAATGACAAATTTGTTATTACTGTCATTTAAATTACAATTACACGGTGAATCAGCAGTTTTATTTGGAAGTGCTGACAAAGTTACGGGAATCTGTTCGGAAGAAAAGACCCGAACTCTAGCCTAACACGTGGATCCTCCACCATGACAATGACCCTCCGCATGATTCGTTAAGAGTTTGCGAGTTCCTGGCTAAGAAATCCATTACAAAAATGGGTCATCCACCTTATTCACCTGACTTAACCCCCTGTGATTTTTGGCTCTATCCAAAATTAAAAAATGCCACGAAGCTACAAAGACTTACTGACATTACTGACATTCAAAGCAATGTGACAGAGTTACTGCGGGGTATTCCGGAAAACGATTTTCAAGACTGTTCTCGGCAGTTGCACCATCGTCTCACGAAGTGCACAGCTTCACAAGGAGAGCCGCTAGTGTACAATTAAGCACATTTTGCTTTCACAGAGCTATACCGGGAATTAAATTGTCGCACCTCGTATATTGTAAAAGAAATAAGTGTATTATCGTGCTAAACGTTCGAGGAACTTGACAAAGATCAAGCCTATTCATAAGAGGTAAACCCATTCCTCCGTACATAAGGAGTATGACCGCAGAGGTTCAGCGGGGGGGGGGGAAACTGGTCATGAGCCTGAAGAGGTTCGGCGCCAAGAAGAATTGATTGACGGTAAACAGCCAGTCTTAAAGTAACTCTGACTATTTTCGCTATCAAAACTACTGATGTCTGTTAGTAAATTTCGTAATTAAATCAAAATATCGTAGGAGTACAGTGGTTTCGTGCTGCAAAAATTACCGCCTTTAAGGGTCTAAAATACGAAGAAAATACAGTGACTCATTAAAGACCTAAGGTACACACATGGACAGACGCAAGGATGTACAGATTGTACTCCCACAAATCTCTCTTGGATTTATGTCTAGAAAATGCATGTAATTCCTCGTTGAAATCTAGAGTCTGTTTCCAAAATTTTACATTTGTATGTTGTTTACTATGAGAATGTTACAGACGACATCTTCTGTACAGCGATAAAAAGGAAATAAGCAGTCAGCTAACGGCCATTGTACGAGTATAACGTGACATCATGTGCCAAGATTTGAGTACGTAATGTGATAAAAAATTCAGTACTTCTGTACATTCGGGGTCCAATTTCCTTGTGAGTTCTTGGTACTCTGTTACTTGGGAAACGGCAACGAATGAAATATTTTTCCGCGAAGGAAGAAGGCTTCCTTTCACGTTACCAAGTAGGACTTCCCGTTACAGAGTTGACGCCACGGAAGGAGCAAGCTAAGTATATGCGCTTCTGGGCAATTGCTTGCGTAATTAAGATAACAGACGTGGGAGGGAGGTGAGAGGCATGTCATGAGAGATTACAAAGCAATTCTGGCGGCTTTTAGGAACACAACAAAATTATCAAGCACCAGGATCCAGTGAGTAAATGCGTAACACAAACGTGGCTCAACAGGCGTCGGTACTTGTATCCCTGATGGGGGGGACGACGACGACGACCGCATTCTAAGCCCCCCTGTGGTACCTTAAGATTGCATGGCTGGAATTGTATGGCTCAGAGATACGAGTATATGAATTTCCTATTTTCACAACCTCATCCACAATGTTTATGTAATGCAACCAGATTCGAAGCAGCATAGTTAAGATATTTGGGAGCGGCAGTAACGAATCAAAATTTGACACAGGAAGAAATTTAGCGGAGATTGAGTTCGGGTAATGCTTGGTACCATTCAGTCCGGAAGCTTTTGTCTTCTCGTCTGCTGTTTAAAAACATAAAAATTAGAAAATACAAGACTATAATTTTGCCTGTGGTTCTATATGGGTGTGAAACTTAGTCTCTGACAGTAAAGGTGGAACATAGACTGAGGGTATCTGAGAACAGGGTGCTGAAGAAAATATTTGGGCCGAAGAGAGACGAAGTGACGGGAGGCTGGAGAAAACTGTATAATAAAGTGTTTTTCCTAACTTGTACGCTTCACCAAATATAATTAGAATTATCAAGTCAAGAAGGATAAGATGAACAGGGCATGTAGAACGAAAGGCGAAGAAGAAGAATGCATATAAGATATTGGTGGGAAAGACAGAAGGAAAGAAACCATTAGGAAGACAAAGACGTAGGTGGGTGGATGCTATTAAAATGGATTTTAAAGAGATAGTGTGGGGTGGTATGGACTGGATTGATTTGGTTCAGGATAAGGGCCAGTGGAAGGCTCTTTTAAATATGGTAATAAATCTTTGGGTTCCATAAAATGTTAGGAAATTCTTGAGTACCTGCACAAGTGGCGGCTTCTCAACAAGGGATCTGATCCATGGAGTTAGTTAGTTAACAAGCTTCGAACCAATTGACGGAATTTTCTTGTAGGGCGAAAATGGTTGTATACTAAAGCTAATCATCCTCTTCTTGTGATATAGATAAAGAAGGCCACGTTCGAATTGCAGTGCATATTGCTTTTATAACAAACATTTGTCACCTCACATTTAAATACAACGTGATTTTTAAATGTTGATTTTTGCCGAATCTGAAAAATTATCTCTTCTTGTTGTCTCAGCTGTCAAATCCTGCATAAAAATAATAAAAAAAAGTAAAGCTATCCCTGTAACAGGCCGTGAAGGCCCATAGGGTTGTGAGACGTTGAGGGTTCCGCATTATCTAGAGACAATAGGGTCAAAGATGGCGGTAAGGTTGTCAGCCTTACGCACCGGCCGCGCTATACTCCCCGGGAAAATTATTTAATTAATCCTGCATCCTGACCTTAATTACCATATCAGCAGAACTTTCGCACGTGCCTTGATATTCAACAAAGGCCGAATCTAGAAACGGTGACACGACAAATTACATAACTGACATTAAATAATAAATCCTTTTTCCGTCGACCATTGTGAAACTGTACTGAATTTCTTAAAACAGTTTTATTTCCATTGCGGCATGATGTGCCAATTAATGGCATCAGCCTGAAAAAGGATCTGCAGAAAGTTTTCTTTACCAAAATATGATAACAATAACAATAACAAGAACAAGAATATACTTTTATACGATGTGCCGCTTCTGGCGGACGTCACGTTCACCTGTACTTCAAGCCAGTCCACACAGAATGTATGGCATGCCAAGTAAGATATTTTAAATTTCATACACTGCGATTTTTATGTGAAGTTAAAAGTCAAGGTAAAGTTATCCCTTTAACAGACCGTGGAGGCCTACAGGGCTGTGAGACGTCGAGGTGCCCATATTTTCTATGCAATCGGTTCAAAGATGATGGCGAAGTTTGTCAGCCTTAAGTGTCTGTCACCCTTTACCCCCAGGAAGATTCCTGATACTCATCTCTGTTAGAGGCTGAGTCGGCCCCAGGGCCATAGTGCGGCTGGAAGGATTAGACTCATTGAAAATCCCAATGGCCTAATCGGGAATCGATTTGTATGTATTTAATTTTAATTTAACAGAGAACAACTACAGTATGTACGGAGTTCGTTGTTGGTTGAGGCACTAGCTACAAGCCAGAAGGTCGCGGGATAGATTTCCGATGTAATTGGATTTTTTAATTGACCTAATCCTTCCAGCCACACTATGCCCCTGCGGTCAACTCAGCCTCTATTCGTATTATGAGAGGGGGTGGGTTTCCCCATGCACTTAGACCAGTTATTGGTCCACTGTACGTCCCCCTTTAATTTCTACTGTCGCCATACCCTACCGGTAACGGTGCGTGCCATCAGTCCCCGTAGAGCCAACGAGGTCGGCCCTCGGTACCTTGATGCTTCCCCCATCCACCAGAGGCATTGGAGACTACTTGGGCGGGAAAGGGCCTGTAATTTAGCTCAGAGGTCTCCTAGAGACATGAGGTTCTTTTACGTGCCGTAAATATACGACATGGGACACACGGCTTAAAGTCCCTCCCTGAGGACTTGTTCCCTGAATTTTTCTGCCCTTAAAATTTCCACGACCTCCGCCGGGTTTGAACCCGCGTACCTTGAATCATGAGGTGGGAAAGTTACCCCTAGACTACGGAGGCCGCAGAACTCAGCCTTTAACAGAAATGAGTAGCATGAACCATTCTGGGGTAAAGGGTTGCCGGAGCGTAAGGCTGACTACCTTACCGTCATATGTGAGCCTATTGTCTAGAAAATGTGTGGGAGACTCGATACCTCACAATCCTATGGACCTCTACGGCCTGTCACAAGGATATCGTTACCTTTTTTACCTTATTTCGGAAAGCAGGCAAATTATGTGCATCTAGGCTGGAAGCGTAACAAACGAACACAGTAAAGCACAAACAAAATTAGTTCTGTTACATGATATTACTTGCACGTAGATCCAGGCGTACACAGATAAAACCAGATGACAATTAACTTCTAAATGTCAAGTCCTACTTTAAACACCCATTTCTTTTAAAGGAAGAAAAAGAAATTACACTCTATATTATTTTTACACTAACCTTTTAAAACAAAAGAGCCACTAAGTAAGAGTGGAAAGTCCGCGCCATAGCTCAAGCTGTTAGTCGCTGGCTTTCCACCGCGGCGGCCCGGGTTCGATCCCGGGTCTGGTCAAGTGGGATTTGTGGTGGACAAAGTGGCGTTGGGGCGGGTTTTCTCCGAGTACTTCGGTTTCCCTTGCCAATTTTCATTCCGCCAAATTCTCCATCATCATAATCACCCGGGGCAGGCTACAATAGGCCAATCAGTGGCCGCCGTGCCGAGTGGACAGCGACTTAAAAAAAATAATAAAAAAGTAAGTGTGGACGTGTGCCACAACACGTTTGATTCCATTCAATTAACTCTTACTTTGATTTAATAATTCCCGCGTCTTGGGCAATTCCCGCTAAGCTTTTGCGTATATGACACCACGCTAATCGCAAACCGATGAAGAAATGTCACATAAAACTTCAATCAGAACACTATCACTTTTCAACAAACACTACGAAAATATTACCCTTTAAAGTTACTGAACAATTCAATCACAATATTCGCACAATACCTTTCTTCCTTCAATACAGAAGAGTTAAAATTTGCAGAAAATGAACGCAACCTATCACAACGAGGAAACACTGAACTAACTTCGCACACAGTCATCCAATCAACCGCAACACGCCGTGTGAAGCCTACTTTTCCTCATTCCTCAATGCGCGTGGCTCGCAGCTCGTAAATGGTAACCATGGCAATCCTGACGTCACACGGCCGTTGTATTTAAAACGCGTAACAAGATGTACTCGCACATCTACGACGCTGGAAAACAAAAACCAGCGCGTGTCCCCTGGCACGTAAAAAACTCCATGATTTTAGTCCGCAAGCGAAGTATACCGACCGAGCGACCGACGCTTCTCGGCGTAATTTAGTGCCAACTTTAGCGGGTAGAGGGTGTCGCGTGGTCAGCGCAACGAATCCTCATGGCCGTTAATTTCGGTTTTCTAGATCGGAGTCGCTATTTCCTTTAAATAGCTCCTCAGTTATCCTCATGAGGCTCAGTGGACCCCGTTCCAGACCCACTTCTCAAAAATTCAATTTTTCTACAGAGAATACATAGAGAAACTAGACATCAGTACACCATATTTTATGTGTGGAGGAGAGGATACATGTATATATCAATACACAAATAATATTCAGCTAAATACAAAATATACTTTTATTAATGAAATAAATAAATATATTTTGTAGTACAGTTATATTTTTTAGTTTTCTTAAAATGATTTCACAATCATATTGCCATAGAATTCCATATTTGAAGAGCTGCAGTTTCTCCAAAGCTTCTGTGATATTCATCCTCTGACAACAGACTTGAAATAATATTATCTTCAACTACATGTTAACTGTTCAATGATTCCCTGACTGCTTAATTGCCAAGACATTGATAAGGTTGTGGAAATTGTACTTTTATTGTTTTACAAATACATGTCAATCTTACCAGACAGTTAACTCCAACTACTAAACTCTCTCTCCAAGTCCCATCTTTTGGTTGCATAATTACTGGTAGACTTAAAGCTTCATATTGTTTGGATAAACCCACAAAATAATCATGAGTGGTTTATTTCCAATCATTATTATCACACAATTCTTCTTCACCAGATAACTCTCTTTACCACAGCCTTGCAAAACGAAAGTTTACAAATCAGTAACCATTCAACAAATTATCATTTGCATTACACTATACAAACACAAACATCCTGTATGTTCCTGACTAGACTGCTCAATCACAGTGTACAAAAATAATACCTTCCAAACAACCCAATCTATATTTTTGGAATAAAGCCTAATTCCTGCTGGGTCACTGAATATATGAGGGTAAGTCAATAAGTAAATTACAAATGGATATAGAACTTAAACAAATAAGAGTACTGATTTGAAAAATGCTTTTATTTCTCAACATAATCTCCCTGTACATTGAGGCACTTGTCCCATTGTTTCACAAGCCCCTGAAAACCAGCAGCCTAAAATTCTTTGGGCTGCTGTTGGAACCAGGCGGTGACTTCCCTTTCTACAGCTTCATTGTCATGAAAATGTTCAGCCGAAAGATGATGTTTAAGAGGGCTGCACAAATGGAAGTCGCTTGGAGCAAGATTGGGGCTATATGGAGGATGCTCGAAGACTTCCCACATGAAATTTCGCAGTGGCTCATTTGTCCTGTTGGCAGTATGGGATGCATATTGTCATGCAAGAGCAACACGCCTTTGGCGAGGAGTCCTGGTCACTTCAGTTGAATGGCCTTACGAAGTTTACTGAGGATGTTACAGTAGGAGTCGGCATTAACGGTTGGAATGTGGTGAGCAGTATACCTTCGTGATCCCAGTCACTGCTTGGGTCCGACAGCAGCCCAAAGAATTTTATGCTGCTGGTTTTCAGGGGCTTCTGAAATTATGGGACAAGTGCCTCAATGTACAGGGAGATTATGTTGAGAAATAAAAGCATTTTTCAAATCAGTACTCTTATTTGTTTAAGTTCTATATCCAGTTGTAACTTACTATTGACTTACCTACATATTTCAGCCAGTGTAGGCTATGAGTACAATATACCATAACAAATGAATTTAAAATATATAAATGGAATTCACTCCAGTATATATTTTCTTGAAAGGAACAGTTTAAAGAAATTTCATATAATATTAAGTCTTACTAAAATCTACAAGTTTAAATATAATCTGGAATATTATTCACGCACATTTGAGAGGTACAGGAAACAAGGATGTACCTTTATCTGACAACTCTGCATGACAGCAATGCTCGCTCTAAGGTGTACTTGTGCGTGAATGTATAGGGGCTGTGCCATTCTTGCACAAGAGTCCCATTCTCCTGTGCTTTTCAGAGCTTATAAATTTAATGCCTGTTATAAACATTCATCAAAAATCACTGCCCCCTAACCAAAGGTTTCCCAAGCCAACCAACTACTACTCAGAAGACACCATGGCCTGCACACCTGCATCCCAGGCTTAGAGGGAACGTTGCATGAGACTATGAAATCAGAGTATCTAAACACAAAATTTAATTAAGATAAAATAAGGAACTAGTAATAAAATTTTTGTTAAAATATTAAAAATTAACATTATAATACACATATCAGAAAGCTGAAGGAAGGTAGAGAGCACTTAACAGAAAAAGGTTCAGCACAGAATTATATCAAACACTGGATTTTATCTGTGCATCTGGTGTAGTTACTCTCACTCCTAACCCATCCCCATACCAAGCTTCTAAGCTGGATGACTACCCACTGTCAACCACCTACAACTGCTTATTCAGCAACTTCAGAATTACTCTCCACACGTGGGAGATCTGTGGTAGCAATGGACATGCCCAATGTCCCTTACGTACATCTTTATAAGATACTAAAGGTTGATGCCAGAACATGGTCACCACTTTTGGAATGACTGTACCCAGTTTATTCTGCTAATGTAATAACTACACTACTGCACAGCATACATTCCCTGGTAAAGATGTCACTATAACCGAAACTCTTCTTCTGCCTTATCAGCAATCATTTTTGCAATAGCAAGAGAAGATGTTGCACCTGGTGATGGTGCATTACGGCAATGCAGGATTCTCTTGCCAATGCCTTTATCACCTATCTCAAAAACAAAATCGTCCACCAACATTCCACTGCCGTCCATTGCTTGGGCACGTACACCTGTTGGACCTCTGCAAAATAGAGATATTAAACTGATCCAATGACTTCAAAGTAGAGATATGCAGGCAGAAAGTGTTTAAGACATATATTTTGGCTCCTAGTGAAAGGGACCTGAACATCAATGTCCATACTGCCTACATTATTTAACAAAATATGAAGTCCTGCATCAGAAAGACATGAAGTCTTCATGCTGAAGAAATAATGTTTAAGTAGACTATATAGTTCAGTGACTGCAATCACAAATTCAAGTTATCACAGATACAAATATACAACTAATTCTTGTATCACCCATAATGAAAGTTAATAAGAGTAACCTGTGTGCACCATGGACACATAGTTTAGTACTGAAATAATTCAATTGCATTTGTGAGCTAATGAAACACCACAATATGTTAAACTGTTACACAATACAGATGTAGCAGTTACAACTAATACACTGCATGGACACTCTGCAAGAGATGTCTTTCATAAGACAGGAAATAATACTTCTTATCTCGGCACATTTGTAGGCAGACTTAAAAAAAAACTTTACAGAATTAACAAAGGTCAAGCAATAGCAGTAATATAACTGACAGGACCAACCTTCTGCAATGAGATTCTGAATGCCTGGCATTACATGAAATGAGTATAATTTGTTAATTAACTTATAAAATATTGCAACTTCAGGCTTTTACAAGCAGTTCATAATCTATAAATATATTATAGTAAAAAGACATAACTGGGACAAAAACATTCTGCCATATGTAAAAAAACCTATTCCTGTAATATTGAAATTTGGCACATCAATTAGTAAAATAATTGTTTGATGCAGCATATATTCATTTAGTATCACCTTTTTTTGCTATATTCAAAGCTGCACATAATAAATGCCTGTTAGCTCCAATGCGTCTGTCTCCAGAGACAGTGAAACCACCACTTAATGTCTCACAAATTAAGATTTTCCTTCATTCAACATTCAATTTCAAAGACCCCCAGGTCAACAACCTGAATGTGAAATTTCCTCCATTTAGGATTTTTCTTAATTTTGTGTTCAAATCCACAAATACATCTTAAATGGGGGTTTAAATGTAATAACTTGAGTACTGCAAAACAGATTTTCATTAAATTAAATATCAGAAAGATCTTCTAAAATTTGTTGACATATTTCAGTTCTGGTTAAATAAGATATTAATGAAAGATTTCATATTATGACCAACTGTAACATACATGGAACACACCAAATATTTATTGCTGTAAGAAACATTTCAAATAAAAGTTGTAGAGTATATAAAACACAGTTTTCTATCCCATATAATTTTTACTCAAGTCTTACAGCTTTTGAGATAATTAAACAAAACACAAGAAATGCATCAGAATTGTTACACTATATGTATATTTTATAGCATGTTTATTTATAACATAGAAATTGAGAATAAGAAACATCCTTGTTCCAGCACACCAGTATACACTGCATCATTATCTTTGAGGTGAATGAGGCAGGAGTAATCCCAATGAGGTCATATGATGAACTAGACTAAATATTACATATATTTTACATTACATGTTTGATTTAAACAAATCTATCACCATTATCTGTGTGCTCTGTATTACAAGAGTAAAATAAGATTTGTATTTTTTAAGGAAAATCATGTTTAAGAAGACAAATAACCAAAACTACAACATACCTTGACAGATCATCAGCTGTAATTTCTGGTATAAATTTCTTAATCCCTGCCAGCTGAAGTGTTATAAATGCAGACTTTACCATCTCTGATATTCCAAATATGCTGTTCTTTAATGCCATCTTGCGAAAACCACCATATGACAAAGTATCCATCAATTCTTTGATATTAATGTCACCCCAGCTGAAACAGAAGAAAACACACTGTTAATGGAATATGACATTATTTCATGACATATTTCCAATTGCTAATGCACATGGCAGCTTACCCATATCCCTCTCGTTTCAGAGCAAGAACAGCATTTGGGCCAATCCAGATACTTCCATCCATCCGAGGAGTGAAATGTACACCAAGGAATGGAAATTGTGGATCTGGAACCTATTATGATAAGTCTGTAAACACATACTCTTTCAGTATGAAATTCAAAATAGAAACAGGCATTTTGAAAATAAGTTATTTACCAAAAATAAAAGTAAATCATATTTTAATGGAAATATCAATAATTTCCCTCAGTCCCTCCAGGTAAATACAACAATAGCACAGTTCCTCAAATTAGGCTATGACTGCTTCCTTGCACCTTTCAAATTCATTATTCATAAATCATTCTATTCTTTGGTGCTATATAATCTGAGCCATTGACAGTATTATTAAATAAGCCATAAATAACGAAACCAATGAACTATGAAGAAACTCAATCAGCACAGTGTTTTTAAAGTTCTGTCATGTGTAGCAGTGACTAAAGATGGGGTTCAGATTGGTAATTGGATTCATTAACCACCTACAGGTCATAACTACAAATAATTATTACACTATTGGTGATTTATACAATTTACATTCACTCCACAGTAATCTTCTCACTCTATTTCCACTAGTTTTCACTATACGTTTCCTGGCAATGGATTTCTAACACAGGAACTGTAAAAGTCTCACTAAACTACACACTCCCAATATCAATGTACTACAGCACTTGTAATGTCACACACTAAGTTTTATAATTCTTCTTCTGGCCACACTGCTGTTCTCTTGGAACTTTTGGAACACAAGTCCAGCCAATTTCCATTCCTGCATTCTCCCACATCCCCTCAGCACGTACCATGCCCAGTCAGAGTCAGAGTCAGAGTCAGAGTCACGTTACCACTGACGGTCAGTCAGTCTGTCTGTCTTGGTGTCGAGCCCCAGCTGGGGCTCATGACCAGATATTTCTTTTGTATGAAAGTTACTGTCCTGTCCATGTGTAGCGCCCTCTCTGACGAGAGGTCGGGTCTGTCATTTGTTAGTCAGTCTGTAGTAATTTGTCCATTGTCTGTATTTACACATATTTGCAATACATACTTATATAAATGTACAATATTTACACGGCCTCCGTCAGTCCAGGCTAGGTACAGCAGATTATGCCCTTTTATATATATATAAATAAATATCCTAATAGTATTAGCTATCACGGCAGTCTAGTCACTTGAACGGTCGTATGCCTGACCGCCGCCAAGTTTAAGCCTCTTATACTTTCTGTGTCGGGCTTCGCCTTGTCCGATGTTGCGAACATTCTCATTATCATGATTTTGTATGACTTCTGCTTGTTGCCTGCATAATTTTGTTATGTAATCATAAACGTATGGAATTTTGAATGCCATGTGCAAATCGCGGACCGGTGTGCGCCTTGGAAAATTGCCAATCGTGCGGAGAACCTTGTTTTGCAGGCGCTGCAATTTCACTAGATGAGTGTCTGCCGCGAACTCCCAGGCGGGACTAGCATAAGTCATTACGGATCTAATAAGAGCTTTATGGAGGGTCAGTTTAATGTTGGCGCTCAATCGCTCACTTTTGAATAGGGAGTACACTCTAATGAATGTTCTGAAGGCCTTGGCTTCGATCATTTCTATGTGTAATCTCCAAGTCACTCTCTTATCGAAGATTACACCTAGATACCATGCCCAGAAAACACAGCCCCTCTATTATTGCATGGTGCAGACCACACAGAAAACATGTGTCACAAGTCAGATTGAAAGTTCACTGGTCCGTTACCAGCACTGGGCGTGGTGCAGACGACATGGAAAACACAGCCTCATCTATTGTTGTGTGCTGGACCATGTTTACAGAGTTGTTGCTTGGAAACATGTTGATCAAATCCATTACAGTATTTTTTCTCCATATTTTGCAATTTTCCAGTACTGCTTTGGCTTTGTGGTTTATAAGTCAGGAGGGATACTGGAATAATAAGTCATAGCCTATTTTAAGTCATTATTTCTATATTTACCTGGATGAATTTACATATGGTAAATCTAGAGGATCAGTTCAGTGATTAGGTTGGGTTAACAAGGGCTTAGCAATTGAAAACTTCATAAAAAATTTGGTTAATTAACCTACTGTTGTATGCAGAAAGAAAAAAGAAGAAAGTGTTAGGTGACAAGAGACACTTTCTCTACAATATCTGCTTTTGTCATAAAACTGTTATAACAAAAATACATGTAAATATTTGGCATAACTCAGGGCTCAATTAGCCTCATTCACAGTTTGTGTTTCTGAGTGTTCCACTTTCTACACTTTCAAAATCTGGTCATCCTGCTATAAGCACACATCAGTGCCAGGACTGGTTATAAGGGCGAGTGCTGGGAACATTAAAAGCACACCGAAATCATCTTTTAAGAAACTCCTTCAGCATGATGCATTCCATGCAAAACAAAAGTGGACATCTTGGATGTATATCTGACTTGATGGCATGAATCATATCTGAGGACCAACTAATGCTTCATACATAACACTTACTGGATATATATTTCCTTTAATCATATGCTGCTTTTCTGGGTTCAGAAGGAGATATTCACCACGAAATGGAATGATCTTAGGATCAACCTTGCCACCTGACATTTGTGCTAGATGATCAGACTGGAGGCCTCCACATGTTAAGATGTAACTCGCTTTTACAACCTAGAAGCACGCACTTCATGAGAAGATAAATATACAAGCAGAGTTATGCGACATATAGATCAATTACAGGTGTGGGTTTCAGTTGTTTATACAAGTGTAGCACATGCCTATATTTGCATAATTTTTATACTCATCAGCTTTAGTTTCAAACATTTTTTTACAACAAACAAACAAACAGGGGTTTGCTTTCAGTAGTACATACTGTCTGTCTACAACAGATTTGCAGTTCTTGAGCATAGTTCTAGCTTCCTCTGAGAGAAAAAGAAGGTTTAATGGCAGATAACTAAAAGCTTATAAATCTTACTATATAAAAAACTTAAGCAAGTACAAATATGGATATGTGTGAATATTAGATATGTAGGGGAAAAATCATTACTAGGGCTACCTGAAAGTAATGAAGTTTCCTATTATTAACCAAAGATGATTAGGTATAATACAAAAACCTTTAGCATGTAATTAACGAAACCAAATAATAACATACTGTATGATGAATTTGTTTTATTTCTTATCTGCCAATGTATGACAAATTTAACAGTGACAGTAGGGCTACTTAAATTATATCTCTCATAATAAACAAATCAGCTACTATCACAGCAAGATATAACTTAAATCTCAGAGGAATTTTATCATATTCATTACAATAGTTCACACGTGCACTACATCATCATGTACAGTAACCATCAACTGCAATTTCCATAAGTCATTCATCTTGAAATAAACTGGGCCCTGGATACCTCAATATTGAACAAAAAAGTTTATATAATTTTTCACTGCCTCCATTTCTAATAAACAAATTTCAGAGTGTTCTAATAAAATATCAAAGTGTTTTTTCAATGAAAAAAGGAAAGAAATTAAGTTGTGTGCCTTATTCCCCTGTGAATCTGGAAATGGCCTCAGACCAAAACACACGAGTAGAAGTTTTAATCATATCTGGACTCAGGCTAAGGAATAAGAGCGAATGTTACATAGAATCTTGTAGTACTTGGCCTCTCAATTGTTTCAATTCCCATTCCAAAACAAGTTGAAAGCTTTAACTGTGATGCCGATCAAAACTTACATCATTCTTCCCGTGCACAGAAACAGAATATTTGTTTCCATCACCTTTAGATGTCAGTGAACTTTCTGCTGCTTCTTTGAATGAAGTAACCTTAAAATGCAGATGAATCTTGCCACCCCTTTCTGTGAAATCCTTTCCATATGATCTTGTCACTTCGGCCCAGTCAACTATACCAGTGTGTGGGGACCAAAGACCACAAATTCCCTAAAATTGGGGGCTTAAATCAGCCATATTCCAACACCAATATTACAAAGGTTCTCAAATGACAGAGTTTACTAATCCTATATGGATGTAATTCCAATTATTATTATCTTAATTAACAAGTGCATGGAATTAATCAAGTAATTATAATTGTGAAAGTCAATGAATATTAGTGTCCAGTTAATACCATATATCAATACCATTTTTTATTTACTGCTTATGGAACTTCTAAATGAAAACAAGTTTCACAAACTTTGTGAGAAATTTTACATAATTACATAACTTGCTGCAGATATTTACTGATTTAGTGCAAGTATGTCAAACTCATTATTGCATAAGGTGCACACTGTGATAATACATGTTTCAGGCAGGCCACAATTTCTTTCCATTAGCTTATTTGCAATTACTATACCACACACGAAATATTCTAACCAACATATTCACATTAACCTATCAATAAATCTGGGTTTTATTTATAGTAAGCAGCCCTAACACAAACCATTCAGATATAATTAATGTAATGGTGACCATACTGTGTAAATATATCAAAGATTTTAAATTAAACTAAGTTATGTTGGAATTATGGGACTTTTGAACTTTGGCCATCATCTGGTATTGTAAAAACCAGAGAACACAGTGTTTCAGTGGGTCCCTTAGAAATATTTAACTTCTATCACTGAACAACCCATGTCACTACTATAGATGTATAAATACCTGAGACCATACATTGTTGAAGGAAGATAACAGGAAAATACACAATAAAAATTGTTATAACGCATGCACAGTCCTAAAAAAACATTATTTCTGAGTGTTAAACACTATCTTCAGAATCCTTAAGAACCCAAGTTATGTTGGGTTTGAGGTTCTCATAGCAGTGGTTACAGAGAGTTCTATCTTCTTGGATCTGTCATCTAGAGCAGAGAGCTCTGCTTAGTGTCTGCTTCTTGTTTTGCTTACTCTTCAACCCTGAAGATGGAGGCAATATGTCCCTCCAAAACATCGGGCTGACTTTTGCCAGACTACACAGTATTACATCACAAAGACAGAACTTTACATTAAGAGCACTGAACTACAGGGGACCTGTCACCAGTATCTAACTTCATGCATGTTCAAAACACTTCAATGTCATCTGAATATAATCATTATAAATTTTTAGTTTATTATAGCCACTTCAATGAGCTAAAGCCATGCTTTACCTGACAGTGGGGCTCAATTTCTTTAATCATACTGGCACTGACCATCTGTAAGTCTTTTACACCATTCTTCATTCCCCGTTCATTGAGATCATGAAGTCTCTTTTCCTCGACAGCATCTGTAGCCACAATTAACTTGCCACACTTTTTGTATGGAATACTATGTTCATCAAAGTACTTGTATGCCAGATTCAAACCTTCCACACAAAGCTTTGCTTTAAGGGTGCCTGGTTTGTAATATATGCCAGCATGTATGACACCACTATTATGCCCTGTCTGGTGACAAGCGAGATCCTTTTCCTTCTCCAGTACAGCCATCTTAAGATATGGGTGGCGAAGAAGAATTTCTCGTGCTGTTGCCATTCCCAAAATACCTCCTCCAACGACCACCACATCATATTCTTTAGAAACATTCTGAGACGAACTGCAAGAATACAAGAAAAAAGGACCTAACATAACAAAAAAATATATAGGTGTGGGTGTGGGTCTCCATTTCTCTGCATAAGCATATGTCTCTGTGTAATTATTTAGGCAGCATATGCTAGCACTTTTAGGTCTATAGATGCAGTATGGTTTATGATCGCTCATTATTTGTCATGATCATCAGTTATGTTAATCAAGATTCAGATTTATATTGTAAGGAGGACTAAGGAGACATAGTCTCATTCTTACACTTACATGGTAACTATATAACAAAAAAATATATAGGTGTGGGTGTGTGTCTCCATTTCTCTGCATAAGCATATGTCTCTGTGTAATTATTTAGGCCGCATATGCTAGCACTTTTAGGTCTATAGATGCAGTATGGTTTATGATCGCTCATTATTTGTCATGATCATCAGTTATGTTAATCAAGATTCAGATTTATATTGTAAGGAGGACTAAGGAGACATAGTCTCATTCTTACACTTACATGGTAACTATATTCATTTTTGTGTTATTCAGAATTTTTGGGTTTTCAGACTTTGTCCATCAATCGGTATTTGAAAAGCTAGTATTTCCTAGTTTTCAGAATAATGGCGATGGATAAAGTCCAAAAACCCAGTAATTCTGAGTGTTGTACCACACTATCAGAACTCTTTACAATCTACTTATTTTTGTGTTAATCTAGTATGTGTTTCACTGTATTAATTCTAAGAATTTGGATACTGATACCCCAGTAGAAGTGAGCAGTTGGATTCATAAACTCACCCATGTGAGCTTACCTTGTGACTTGGATAGTTAAAACTCGTTATTAATTTAAAGTCTCCAACTGCCTAATAAATAAATTCCATTGGCTGAAATAAATACTCTTGTGAACCCAGAGTTTTAAAGTTAACCAATCTGGCTAAGTTAAGGATGGCAACGTCATTTGAAATTGACGGCTTGCAGGAATTGGCAACTCAAAGCAGCATCCCTCCAAAAAAAAGTCTTCTTCTAATCCTAGTGCAGTACAGATGAAACACTGCATCGCTCTGTGGTACGTTTGTATATAATGTAGTAATTAGTACTTATCAGGTCAGCCTACAAGGGCTGATGACTTGACCATGTGATAACCAATGTAATCAAATCAGTATATATAATAGAACAGATCATTCTTTATCACTAAGTTGTGTAATTGAAGTGCTCGTGTCCTACCATCTTGTATTGTACTTCTAACAAAAAGAAGGCTCGTTAAGCTCTAAGCAGGAATCTCATCTCTACCTTACTGACTATCAGCTCTTACCTAACTTCCATTTGAGACACTTAAATTTGTAAGCATATCTTGTTTACTGGCACCAATAATCACTCCTGTCTTCTAGTCCTAGCATCTGGTGCTGAAGGATCCAAGAAGACAGAGAATGATCAGCTATCAATAGTGTCAACAGAGTGAGTAAGTGCGCAATAGGTGTATCATCACAAAAGAAGAGCGCATGTAAAGTAGCTAGTCACCAAGTGGCAGCATCAACAGCAAGCAGAAGGTCAATTATAAGTTATATATCACGAAATTTGAAGATATGCAGTACATTTACATTACATTTATATTTCATTTCATGGATCCAATCGTCTCCCCATAGGGCTGGATATAAAACATGTCACATATTACAAATTCATGATCACTACACATCATTTGTTCTTGGTCCAATAAAATATATGATCAGGCCTCACACAGACAGCTCAAGTTGTCAGGACAACACACATGGGTCGTGGAAAACCACAGTAAAATTCACGCCTTGCCATTCCACACACACTGGCAAGCCGTTATCATTAAAAGTCACATTATAAAATACTAAAATTCATAACAAAAACAGACATCATACATACCACTACACTTACAACAAGCAAGTCTCAACAATGTATAATTCACACACACAGACCACTTATTAACTCTTAACTTCTGAGCCCCTTGCATGCTCGACAAATTCATCAATAGAGTAAAATTCATTACTTTGCAAATAATTTCATAAAACAAATCTAAATTGCTTTTTATNCCACAGTAAAATTCACGCCTTGCCATTCCACACACACTGGCAAGCCGTTATCATTAAAAGTCACATTATAAAATACTAAAATTCATAACAAAAACAGACATCATACATACCACTACACTTACAACAAGCAAGTCTCAACAATGTATAATTCACACACACAGACCACTTATTAACTCTTAACTTCTGAGCCCCTTGCATGCTCGACAAATTCATCAATAGAGTAAAATTCATTACTTTGCAAATAATTTCATAAAACAAATCTAAATTGCTTTTTATAGTTTTTTAAAACTGTGATATTTGACGGCAGAGTGTTAATAGTTTGACGCCTGAATAATACATCCCTCNGTCACATTATAAAATACTAAAATTCATAACAAAAACAGACATCATACATACCACTACACTTACAACAAGCAAGTCTCAACAATGTATAATTCACACACACAGACCACTTATTAACTCTTAACTTCTGAGCCCCTTGCATGCTCGACAAATTCATCAATAGAGTAAAATTCATTACTTTGCAAATAATTTCATAAAACAAATCTAAATTGCTTTTTATAGTTTTTTAAAACTGTGATATTTGACGGCAGAGTGTTAATAGTTTGACGCCTGAATAATACATCCCTCTCTGAAAGGATGATAAATGTGTTGAAGGTATATGAAGGTGGTCATTCCTTCTGGTACCAATCACATATGCAGAGTTACTGGTTTGAAACTTATCCAAATTTGAATATACCATTTTGGTTGGTATGGTTTCACTTTTCATACACGTCATTTGGACTATATATTTGGTCAGGTTAGTTTAGTTTTGATTACAAGTTAGTGTTTTTGATAGGATTTTCATATGAAGTAACATACATACATACATATACATTTGCGTTTCAGATTATTCACAAATGTGCACAGGCACAGAATATAAACAAAATTCATCAGTTCATATGCCTAACAATATCAGTGTTAACAAAGTGGAAAGCAAGCTGGAGTTCTATTGTGAACATCCCCAATACATTTCAGAACAAGGACTCATAATTACACTTGACAACATATTCTCTCTGATGTTCCAAAACATAAATGTTTAATGTTATATCTCTCTCCTACATAACCCTTATTCTTCCAAAATGGGGACAGCTGAATTAAATTTAATGTTGGTTTCAACATTTGAGTAGCGTAGCGCGGAGACCTCAAGAAAGGAAATATTCATGGCTTACTTTAAGTCCTACTGAAGGTGGTACTAAATTCCCCCTCATATTACAACCTAACAGCATCTACGGATGCTTTACATAGGAAATGGAGAGGCTGGAAGTATTCTCTGCTTGGAACACCCGAGTTTTCCAGTATCATTCCTGCTCCATCGACGATATTTTCCAATACTAAACTAAATGACAATGTGTTATCTCAAAGTCAATTAATTACGTAATCCAACTTTGAGATAAAATACTTAAAACGCCATCATTTCCCATTTTCATGTAATACGTAATGTATATTTATGTAATACTACTTAAAAAATAATACACCTAGATGAAAAACATCGATTCGAAGATCCTGTAATTGTGAATTTCATATAATGACTAGAATTACAGAAAACATCACAATATGAATACAACTTGTAACTTAAATTACGTGCACAACCAGGAGCCATTTTATACTATCGATAGCATCGATAGAGAATCGATATCACATCTTATCGAGAGAGATCAGGAATCAGAGTGATCAGCTGTCTCGCATTTATTATCATTATAGTTGTTGTTGATGAATTTCATGATTGCTGGAGTTTGAACGGTAAGTAGCTGTTGTTGCTGTGTTGTGTTTTAAATATGAGGCATCGGAGTGTGGGAATTGCCCACATTCAAACAAACGTTCCAGTGACAACTCGGGTATCACTGCTCAGCAACGGCGGATAAACAGTCGTTGCTAGGTAACGTCTACAAGAGTATGTGACTGTGGAAACCACACACAGTGAATAGAGTGTTAGCCAATCACAAACTAGAAACTATTCGCTGCTTAGCAACGACTGAGTAAACAGCCGGTGCTAGGTAAAGTCTACAATAATACGGAGAGTGACTTGTTTTTTATTGGGCTGACTCGAGGTTAAATAAGGAGATACATTGAGTGGGAGTTCTTAATTCCAGTTCAGAGTTGCATTTCAGTAAAACGTTCAAGGTGTTACAGTGTTCAGTACTGTTTGTCTGTGTATTCTGTGCAACTGTAACAAATATTTATAGACCAGTTTAACAAGTGGGTGTCTGTACATATATTCCACCTCCCACGGGAGTATAGGTCATACTACTGAATGTAAAAGTGTAGTGTTTCAGCTGTAGTAAAATGAGAGCGAAGGTATGTATGTTATATTTTTAATCCTTGTCATTTTTGTATGCATTAAATTTGAATGTATGAATGCATTTCATGTTGCTTCATGTACAGTGATGAGGCATAAGAGTGCAATATTTGACTATAGTAAGAAATCTATATAGTAGGGAATTAACATATAGTAGTTTTGCATAATGAAAAAGTAACACCATAGTAGCAAAACTGCAACTTCATGATTTTAACTTTACCATATCCCGAAATACCTTATTCACTGCGGTTTTCCAGAGGTTAATAAAATTACGAACTGAACGGCTTCTCCTTGCTGGGGCACAAAGATTTGACAAGGAATTAAGCCCAATTTTTGACTAGGGTTAGGCATGTTAGCTGTGTCCCCGCTTAGAATTGAATTTTCTGTTGTTTTTCAGTGGAGAAAGAAGCGACTGCGGAGACTGAAGCGAAAAAGGAGGAAGATGAGGCAAAGGTCTAAATAAACAACAAGGGAGTCAAAATAAGCAGTGAGTAACAACAATAAGTCAGAGTGTCAGTTGTGTTTATGCTGTATCTATGCAGTAAATTAGACGCTGTTAACTGTGCTGTTTTGTTTCAGCTTCACCTCCTTGCCAGAAACAAACAACAGAGTGGCCAGGACTTTCAAGCTGTATGAAATATTGTTGAAGTCTGAGATTGCTGTATTGACATTGACTATGAATAATGGACAGTGACTTTTGCATAGTGGTTGTACAAATGTGGTTTTATATGTAGTATTGAAAAATGATCAACCTGGATTGGTGGCATCATGATCAGATACCAGTGCTATCACCTGATTCACCAATATTATCTCAAAAGGCTGCGCCATAGCTTAAGCGGGTAGTCGCTGGCTTCCCACCGCTGCGGTTCAGTCAAGTGGGATTTGTGATGGACAAAGTGGCGCTGGGGCAGGTTTTCCTGGAGTACTTCGGTTTCCCCTGACAATCCTCATTCCATCAAATTCTCCATAAGCATTATCACCAGTAGAGGTACAATATGACATATGGAAGCCGACATGCCGAGAGAACCTAATATGGATTCCACCTCACACTATATGAAATCTTAACTATTGTAATCTACTGTAATCTGTTGTAAACAATTTTAAGTATTGTAACTTTATTCTCTTGTTGTAATCAGCCAATGTACAGTAACTGACTTGTCCTATCATGTAACAATGATCTATAGAGACGAAATAAATAAATAAATAACGTGAAACTGTGGAAATGTACATTCAATGTTTTGTGACAGCAGAAACAAGTGTCATGTTTTAGTCTTTATTAATACAAGCAGCATGGTCCTTCAGAAAACCCTAATTGTCGCCAAACTAGCCAAAGCTATTCCCCATCTTTCACGGAATCCTAAGATTCACTACCATATTCGCAAAGTTCGCAAAGAGCACGCTAAACATTTTTTACAGTACGTATCTGTACTTAAATTTGCTCTGCGAAGCTAGGTCACTACACGTCTCTACTGGAGTACTGCCTCGATCGCCTCGATCCTGTAAACCAGGAGCAGGCTCAAAAGTAGGCCTAGCCGCGATAGTCATAATTCCAAAATTCAAAAGATACTGGAGTGTAACCTGCATAAATATATATCAACATAATATCATCTACCTCCAAGCACTTCCTTTCCTAGACAAATAGCGAACCGAACTGAAGAGACTTGCATATTAAAAATCGGGATTTTTCCCTCGCGATTACAAAACAGTTGCTGGCGACATCCAATAGGATCACGGATCCTAATACAGCAGATTCAAGGTTTCGATGTTTCGAGGGTTTCTAAACGTTCTAAACTGTTGGAAACTGTGCTTTCGCACATTACTGGAGGAAATTTTTGTGCTATATATGTGATGCTTGTGTTTGTATTTTCTTTTGGAGTGATTTATGGTTGGAAGAAATGTCGATTAATCTCTTCTTTCGTCAGGTTCGTTCATTTGTGAAGACGTCTTGAACGACCACAACATATTCCTAAGTTTCGCAGTTTATAATGTAATATAATAGTGTTCATATAATATGTTATTTTGCATGTTCGTACCCAAATTTAAAGCATGACAGTACTTATCATTATCATACACTTGAATAGAAGAATATTTTGTACAGAATTATATACTATTAATTTTGTTTACATTTAGGCCTCGTTTTAGCATGGAGCAATTTTGCAGTATGAATAATGAGTAGGTTGCCAGGCGTCGTTTGTATGCAGTCAGAATGATATTTCTTATTCGTATTATTTCCAAATAAATTGTTATTGTAGTAATATCATGATGAAAAGTGTGTTGTTGACTATCTTGTGATGCACAGGCTTTTTCTTGGGCATTTCAGACTGTCTTAAATACTGGAATCATTTGCTATTTTCTGTTATACCTTAGCTGTGTTTGAAGAGGAGCCTTCCCACTGAGAATATTCAAATGTGGGGAGTAATAGCCAGTTTCAGAATGTACATATACATGTCCTACTTGAGTGAAGTTCATATCATTGCCTGAATGTACTTATGGCCTGTCCATTCCGTTTATAAAATTTTTCATATGAATTAATGTTTTTATACAAACTGATTTTATGTATACATTTACATAAGCATTTTTAATGAATTTTGGTATTTGAAATGTATATCTGGAGAAAAGTAATGTTTTATAGAATTGATTGTATATTTATTGCATAAATATAAGGCCACAGACATTCAAGTACACCATGTGTGGAACATTTATTATGCTTCTTTATAATTATAAAATTTGCAGAAGCTTTCATCAGCAGTGATATGCCATCATGTTAGACGGTTGATTCTTCCAGTTTCACCAAATCTTGGACAGCAACGTCGCAGTAGCATCTATGAGCCGGATTATTTAGAGGTATGTTATCTTGGAAAGTTATTAGCATATCATTAATAAAGAGAATAAAGAAAAATAATTCATACTGCTACAAGTCTGTTGCTGCATAAAGTCCATTCGTGATGTTATCATATATGTACAGGATGGATGTTGGAGGGTTAAATATAAAGCTGAAACTTCCTGCGAAAATATGTCCACAAACAGGGGGGATGAAAAGGAAAAAGAGGAGTAGAGGCAGGAAAGAGAGGTTTTGTGTGTGTGTGTGTGTGTCTGTGTCTGTGCATACGTGTGCACATGCATGTTTGAGAGAGACAGAAAGAGTGTAAACCATACCAGGAAATAAGGCTGTAAGTAATTAAATTAACTTCATGTTAAAAACAAAGATTTGAAAACCATAGTGTTGAAGGAATGTTGAAGATGGTCTCAGGGTATCTATACACACGGTTGAACACAACGCATTTAAAACTGCCTGATGCACTAAAAAAATGTAAGTTTTTCTTGAATTGTTGGACATACATTGTGACTGCGTGTGTTGTAGAGCAGTACAACACACACAGTCACAAGAGAAGGACACAACACAGAGCACAATATACACATGAATGTAGGAAGAGTGCTCCCATAGAGGAGGATTGGCGTGACTTGCGTATTTGGGATACGATGTATGGATGACTAATCCTGCAAAGCTTTAGTATTTAGACTTTGTTGTTATACATGACGAATACACATTTTAGTCATTTTATGATGGAGACGTGATGGCATGCAGTGCAGTAGTTTGACGTAGATAGAGACACGTGAAGATGGCACATTGGTGCCGAAACATGTAGTGTAAAAGTGAAGAGAAAGGTGAAATTGTGTGCACTGTAAGATGGTTAGCAAAAATACACATCATGGACATGAATCAGTGCAACGGGACGCTAAAATATATCATTATCTATCCGCATGTTGACAGAAAATTGCTGTTAGTGGTTGGAGGGTCTTAACACATAGGAATTCTCATTGCTGCATGAAAATTGAAGATATCATTCCTTGTGAGACACACTTCATCAGTGGGAACCAAACAAAATGAGATCATATCTCTCGGAAGATGTGTTTGCAGATGCGTATTCATATGGACTTTTCGCTTCATTTTCAACTATTTAACATACTCCCAATTTTCACCCATGTGGGCCATTTCACCATCTGTGACTTTTTTTGGGGGCGAGGTGAGAACAAGTGTCACATAAATCTAGGAGTACTTGCACAGTGTGGCTTTAGTATGAGTTTAAACGCTTCTATATTCTCTGTGAGATAAACAAAGGCTTCACACTCTGTGGACCAGAGAGTATGAGCACCAAGGCAGTGTGCAGAAGTCAGGAAGGAACACAATCCCTGCCATAACATTTCAGATGCATTAAAAATGGTTAAAATTTCAAACAAATTGAGGATGTAGGGTTACTGTCAGTAGATGCCTTGTTGCTTTGGATATCCTCGTTTCCAGGAACTGAAGCTTCCAGCTCTTAGTTGTTATTGGTTTCTGGCAGAAGAGAGGTGTGAAGATGATGAGTCAAGTATCCTAAGATTGTCATACCCTGGGATTAGTTTGATTAATATTAAAAAATTATTGTTTGATTAGTTTGCATGAGTTTGAAGGGGTATGGGATCTACAGTAAGGGCAGAGCTAGGAGGCCCAAGTTCATTGGTGTTATTAACCATTTTACTTCACTGATGACCAAACATCATTTTTTCATGAAAATTAAAACTGGTTAAAAGGTACCACTACAGTATATTGGATTGGAGTATCTCTTTTAAAAATTTGCAGTGTATTTATGTGGCTTTAAAAACTACAGATTAGACAGATTGCCAACATGTACATGTGTACATAGTGTCTCGTCTGAATAACTGGTTTCTGATCAGTTTGAAGATTTTTCTATTTTCTGGTAGGTGAAAATTCCTGCAAGCATAATATTTAATTAATTTCTTGAAAAATAAATACAACAATTTGGAGGAGCAGGAATAGGGTGTCATAATATACTAATCTAAAAGTCATGGGCTCCAGACAGGTTCTCATTTTCATCACTATAGGTTTTAGTTGTAAGAATTGTTTGTTGTAACTTTCTTTCAGACTGGAAAGCCAAAAATTCCACAGTATAATACTTTGAACATTCAGCTGAAGGGATATGACTTCGCAGTTTTGGAGAATTACCAGAAGCTTGTGCACAAGATTGCAGAGGGTATGGATGTTGAAGTTGAAGATGGGTATGTACTCTGTGCTGAAATGCCTCATTAGGATACTTAGTAATAAAACTTATTTTCATATTAAATTCTTTTGTGTTATTTTGTAGGCATGTGCGAATGTGACATTTTCACTTCAAGCTGAGAATATTTGAAACATGAGAATCAAGGCAAGAAAGAATTTCCTCCATTGAACCAAATTTTTTACTCTAATCATAATTTTAATACTAACCATTTTTTCACAGTGCACTCGGATGTACTACTTATTGTTTTTGACATAATCCTATTCAATGAGAAATTTTCATAAATCATTGTATTTAAAATATCAGTTCTATGGCCTTGTCCTTTTACACCACGGGCAGAAAGATGGCAAGAGAGACTAATTTTGTTGACAAGTCAACCTAAACCAGTGTTACCAACTGTTATGATTGTGATGGAGTGGTTAGTTTGCATGCTGCTGTGCAAAGCAAAAGCAATTACCTCAACATTTTTGAAGTTCAGACTGAAGAATCAACATTTGAATCAGGATCTATTTCTTGATTCAATCTAAAAAAATTGAGACTTGTACACATCTACTGTTTTGTCTTTAATTTTGAAGCAGCAGTTATTGGTTTCAGGTGGACTGTAGGTACAGTTGTTACCGAGAAATGTGTTTCAACACAAAGATTTCAGATCTGAACCTCATCTTGGTCCTCTTAGTCCCAGCCTTTGAAGGTAGAAAATTTTAAAAATACCATTTTTAGAATTTTGCTTATTTTGAAACTGGACTTCAGGCCTTTTGGATATGTTGAAAATATTTCTCACCACAAAAGTTGATACACACACACACACACACACACACACACAAAGAAAGGCTTTAAGAATTTGAGGTTCTCACAGCAATCGTTATGAAGACAGAACTCTTTAAAGAAAATATGTGTTTATGAAAAAAGTCTCTTCAGAAAAAGTTATATGGAAAGAACTTGTTTTGAAAATGGCCTATTAATAATCTGGTAGATAAAGTGTTTCTTATTACAGAGCTGAAGTGTGTATTGTTGTTCATAATAGTTTTATTGTATTAATTTTACATGAACACTGCAATGCTATTTTATACATTACATGTGATATATGATGGTGTGGAAGACACTCTCCGCATGTGTTATATATAATACTGGTGGATGTCAACGCTCGCAGAGACAGCCACGTAAAACTGTAACAACAAATGTTTATTGCACTTAGAATGGGTATTACAGATGAGTGGGGAGCATGTCTGAATAATACTGGTGGAGACTCCCTTTGCAGTGGCTAGCCCGGTCTAGTGATGACGGTGCTATTGGAGGCCCTGAAAAGGACCGTTTGTCTGAAGCCTTCGTTGCAGCGAGCTAGTCAGTGTGGCATGCATCCTTGTAGTAGCCCAGTGTTCTTCTTTGCTGCAGTCCGGTGATTGCGAGCCGGCAGGATAGCGGTGAGGTTGGCTGGCTGGCTGGCTAGCTGGCACGCGTACTGTGTATGCGCTGGCAGAGTTGGCTGTGGTGCTGTTATTAGTAGAGTCACTGCTGTGTTGCTGTTACTAGTAGAATTGCTGGTGCAGTGATCTCTTGATGCAAGCATAGTGGTGACTGTTGTGATTAATACCAGTGTCAGAGGCCAGCATCTTTATACTGTTGCTGCTAGGCAGCAGGCTAATGAATGGGGGTTAGAGCTGCTATGGTGATCAATGATTGGGTAGTGCTTGTGTGGCAGTACAGACAGCCAAGTTGCAGGCTGTAATGAGTAAATATCGTCTGCACTTGCTACACTGTGGGAGTTGTCTGTTGGAGCTGAATTGTCTGACTGTGGGAGGTTCCCACAATACCTTGGATTATCTCTTCTTTGTTGTTTATATGTGTATATATTATCAGTACTGGTAATTTTGTTCTTGAGCCACCTACTGGCCAGAGAATGAACAATTTAGATGTTACTTAAATCTGGTCATTAGTTTTCAGCCTGCTGGAATGTTATACTATGATCACAGAATGCTATTATCAAGAAGGTCTTCAAATATTTGACAGTTTTTCATTCATTAAAAATGTGAGAAACGTCATATCATAAACACTGTAGATACTATAGAACTATATGATAGGAATTTTGTAAGACAGTCTTGCTGCTTGTGAAGGATATGAACATGTGATTCTGCAACATGACTGTGTTGAAAGCATGAAGACAAGAAAACCATGCTTCTTGACAGTTTCTGCTGTTCACCAGATTGTTCTTGTAATATGTGTACCAGTCTGGTACAGAGGATTGACCAGGGGGACACAGAGCCTACACAGAATAACACCTGTACAGTGCTGAAAACAAGAAGTAGCCGCAGCAGCACTATAGATGTGGGGCGAGTAACCCTGAGAATTTTAAATTTTAAAATTTGGGAAAATAATTTTAAAGGAATTTTTTAAAATTGGAACTGAAGATTTTAAAGGTGCCAGTTCATGAAGGTCAAAATTGACGTGTGTGGGTGGCAAAGATGGTGTACAAATCAGACAAATATCAGCGAAGTAGATCCCGTTAGCAGCGATGAAGGGAACAATTGGGAAGACCTGTGTTTTTAAATTTTAAACTGGGTGCAGTGTACCAGCTACGTGAGTGTATACTGATGATGGCCATTTGCGGCCGAAACATGTAGTGTAGAAGAAAGCAAGACAAAAGACCTACAATAAATTGTTGCACTTAGGACGGAGTTTATATCATATATCATATAGAGTGCAACAGGACGCTTAAATATAATATTGTAAATGTTGTCAGTGGGTAGAGAAATTGCTGACCTTCAACAGTTTCATCAAAACAGTGTGGGCCAAATTATGTTTTGTATTTTTGTTTTACGTATCTATGTTGCATTTGACAACTCATTATGCAACAGTTTTGACACTGCATCAGAATCACATAATATCCACAGTTGAAGCCCCTGTTGACAGCATTTTATTTTTGTGTGATTGTTTACTAAGTGAAATGTTTTTAGAATTAGTTGAAAATCCTGTATTTCAGCATCCTGTTGCAATTGTTTAACTTAACGTCCATCAGTATTGCAACACTTGTTTATTCACTACTTAATTTTAATTTTAGTTTAACATTATACACTTTGACACTACATGTTTCGGCCCCAAACGGCCATCTTCAGGTATCTTGATATGTTACAAATATTTTATTAACATAATTTAATAATATCTGTAATATATCAAGACACCTGAAGATGGCCGTTTGGGGCTGAAACATGTAGTGTCAAAATGTATAATGTTAAACTAAAATTTAAATTAAGTAGTCAGTAAACAAGTGTTGCAGTATTGACAGACGATAAATACATGGTCGTTGAAAATCATTTAATGGAAGTAGGGAAGTATAAATATGCCACTGGCACTGTATTTTTTGTGGTGTCTGTCTAAGCTCGTGCAGTTCATGGAATTTGAATGGAGAGCTGAACAACTTTACCTTTTGGCTTTAATTTCTACATATGTTTAAAAATATATAACAGATGGTAAGGTAAGGTTCCTTTGCTTAATTAAGCACAATGTCATAGACATGTATGGGGGGAAGGGGAGTAGAGAGAGTTATCAGTTGGATGGGAGGCTGTGGGGGCCACAAAGCATGTGAATGTCATGGGAAGAGAAGCATTTCAGCCCATGCTGTGAAATTATTCCAAATTGCAGAGCCCGTCATACTGACTGATCTATCCCAGCTCCATAACAAAGAATGAAATACTTCTTTAGTAAAGAATACTTTTAAGCTTCCTGTACTCCATTGTGGAATGCAGTTTCCACTCATGCTGTCTTGTAGTGTTTAGCTGTATGGTTCTTTAGTTGGTAGTACGTAGTACAGACAAGCAGCGGCAACCACACAAGAAGACTACATTAAATAACACCTGTACAGTGTGAAAACAAGAACTAGCCGCTCCAGCACTTAGACATAGGGCGTGTAACCCTAAGAATTTTAAATTTAGAGAAAATTTTAGAAGGTTTTAACATCATAACTAAAGATTTTTAAAGTGCTACTACAAGAATATCAAATTTGACGTGTGCAACATAATCTACATACCAGACATATATCAACGATGTAGATGTTGATAATACGAAGAATATGACATTGTGTTTTTAAATGTTAAATTTTAGACTGGAGTCAGTGTGGCAGCAACGTTAAGAGTATACACCTGATGATGGCCGATAGAGGCCGAAACATGTAGTGTAGAAAGAACAAGATCAAAGACATATAATATATATTGTTTGCACTTGGGACGGAATTTGTGTCATTTATTCTTTAGTTGGTTGTTAAAATGCTTCTGATCCTTTCATTATAGATGGGCAGTGCCACCCCAGCATCTGAAAGTTCAGAGGTTCAAGCCAGAAAGCACAATTGTTGATACAGAATATACAATGACTGTATATGAAAGAAATGTTCAGGTAAATTACAGTTGATTTTTACATTCATCTGAAAGATCCAGGCTAACTAACTAGCTCCATGGGGCTGGGTTCCTCTTGAGAAGCCACCAGTTGTACAGCTTCTCAAGAATTTCCCAAAGTTTATTAAATCCAGAGGTTCACTACTGTTTCACATGAACCCTCAAGTCCAAGACCCTGTGTAACTATCAATGTATTTGCCCAGTGCTGTGACCTTGAGGCATATAGTTCTGCAATGGCTACTAAAGTGTGCATTCATCATTGTACACCCAAGACTTGTTCCTATAGATATTAGTAGAGTTTTGCAAATGACTGACTGTGTAAGCTGTAGTTGTGTGTAATTTGGAAGTTCCTGCATCCATTCAGGACTTTAATAATGTAGATTTCCTTTCACAGGTGATACACCTGCCATCAACAGTAGGCTCAATTCTCTTTGAGGTGCTGCAGACAGCCTTACCTGAGGGTGTAAGCATGACAGTCCATGAACACAAAGAAGAGCATGAAGAAACACGGTACATACCTGATGCAGAATTGTTAGAACTCAAATCGCAGCTTGAGGAACTAAGAGGTCCAAACGTTAAAAAGAAGTAGACATACAATACTGTAAAACTGTACAAAAATATATATTTATAAGAATTGTATATTAGTGATACAGTTATTGTTTCATACTGTGTATGGACGGCAATATTACTTTTGTGATGTGTGATACAAAATAATTTGCAGTGCTTATTATTATTATATAGAAAAAGCATTTTCTTGAGCAATACTTTGTTTATGAATAATATTAATATTTGTAAGCTTGTTTCTAATACAAATGGCTTGTAACTGGATTATTGTGAACTACAAAACTGAATTAGTTCATTCTAATATGTTTGTACTTTACAGTATACTGCTTTTAAATGGAGGTCACTACTTTTGGCTTTCCAACTTACAGTGCAGAATAGCCCACTTTGGATAATTTAAATATTGTGGCGTGCTGCCAAAAAGCCGGGCGATAAGACGTCCATTGATAGGCAACGGCTGCGATGAACATGTATACTTCAGTGGGAATTGAATACCAGCTTGGTGTTGCCTAGTAATCGCTTAAACAACAAATGCGTTTCTCTGGAGATGAAGGGACAACAAGAGGTTCGTTGCATAACAGCGGGCGAAACCAAGGCCTCCTACATGGTGCACTCTTATTCAGTCCAAGTGTACGTTATAAGAGTCCAGCTTCGACAAGACCAGTGAGTCTTTAATGTAGCTCCAATTAGAGCAGAAGCAAGCTCGCATCCTACAAAGGACAGAAACTTCACCAAGATCAGTGGTGCAAGTAATTATAAGAGTGAAAAGGAAATGTCTAAAGGACGTTAATAATACTTATAAGTGTGAGTGTAAAAGAGATTGTCCAATAAACGTCTTAGCCCAATCTGAGACCCACATGAATTTACTTGTCGTGTTACATAGGCAACACACGACAGTATATTGAAATACATTTTCATGGATTTGTTACCATTTTTAAATATGTGAACTTCTTGCTTTACCCATGTTGACAGAAGAAGATTGCTTCAGTGGATGGTTTGGTTTTCAGGATCTTCAGATAAAAGTATCATTATAGTACATATCCTCATATAACCTTGTAGCTTTTATGTAAGGTTTAAGCTTTCCATTACAGCCATCATTCAGAATTTGGTCTTCCAGGCTGTGACATTGTGAAGTCTTGCAGTAGGCAGACACATAAGTTTCAGATCATCATACTCCCTCCATCTTCAGATATAAAGTATTGACTTAAACTCTGAAGATGGAGGCACAATATATGGATCCTCCTTAGGTTTCTGTAGCAGTAAACATTGTCAGCAGCACTCTGTATGATAGCAGAAACCTGTTATGAACTACCATTGTAATATGTGAGATGCACTTTACAATATAATTAATAAGGTGTTGATGAGGAAGGTATTTGTGCTGCAGGTTGTATATCAGTGGCAGTATAATTAGCCATTTACAAATATGGCATGCCCCCGTTATGGAATGTATGTGTTCTTGAAAGTGCAAACCCAAATTATGAAATTCCATAGTGTGAACCCTATCTTTTGACAGCCTCCCATAATATAAACGATGTTCCTGCAAACCTTATTTTTTTTTTTGGTCCACAGTTTTAACAAAAACACAACTCTTTACCCATCAGCAATAATTGTAGGCATACAAATCCAAAGTTAAAACACTTAAAAAATTTACACTTTTCTCACCAGAAATTATTAACTGCATACTTAGTCATAATATGGGAATAGCAACCACATTCTGCCATCCCTGTACATAATTAAAGCATGCACTTATGCTAGCCATATAATCTACTGTTACAGATGCATGTGAATGTGATCTGATGCACCCAATGAAAGTCATATGAAGTTCTTTGCATTTTGTATATAAATCACTTTTGAATATAATGAGTTTATAGTCAATTTTGATTTGATAATTTGAATCTGATAAGAGACATTTTATGATTTCCTTAAAGGCAGAATTCCACAGTCTGAACATCTGTAACTACGTATAAAAACAGGATCCTTTAAAAAAGTAATTCAATAACACATAACTTTCCAGCATAGTTAAACTTATTTTATTTTTAGCGTGTGTTAGATTAAATTCCATCTGCAACCTTTTGTTGGAAAGCCATGGTATAATTTTGTGGCAAAAATAAAGTTTAAAGATGTACCTAAGCCTTGTTCATTTTTTTTACATTACGAGTATGTCCAACCCATCTCACTATGTAATGGTATAGGTATAGTATTTCTTAATAGTTTTCAGACTTCTATGGTGGAACTCAATCAGTTGTCATGTGGTTATGAGTTATGGTTTCCTTCTAGTAGAATCTCTGTGCAAGTGTGAGCAAATCATGTAAGTCTGGTTTGTGGTGTGTTTTCTCTGTTTTGTGCTACTTGCCAGTTTCTTACTTCATACATTTTTTTATGGTTTTCACATGCTACATGAAAACCCTGCATTACAAAATGAAGTTTATGGTCAACTGTCTTCATTTTCATGAAATGTGTACAGCATTTTGGTTTCTCTGCATTTGGCCAGATATCTTGAAGTCACTTCTGAATAACTTGGACGCAAATGTAAGTACAGTATACTCTCTTAATCATTATAATAAAGGGGAAGATGTGTACAAATAATAATAATAATGAGATCAAAGTTTTGGGCATGACTTGGAGACCACTGACAAAATATACAAATTTAGAAATTATGGTTATGTTGGTTCCTTGTCACCACAGCATGGCACATATGTAAGAATCATATCAGCAGTTAAGAGGGTAGAGTTTGTTAGTGATAGGCTGTCATACATAATACTAAGAGGTCACTGGTGTGATACTCTGAATGTTCATGCCCCAATAGAGGATAAAACTGATGATATGAAGAACTAGAACATGTATTTGATAAATTCCCTAATTACAATATAAAAATTTTGTTAGGAGGTTTCAATGCCAAAGTTGGTAAGGAAGACAATTGGGAATGAGAGTTTACACGAAATTAGTAATGATAATGGAGTTAAGAGTAATAAACTTTGCCACATCCAAAAATCTTGTCATCTAAAGTGTGACATTTCCACATCGTAACATTTGTAAATTTACATCGACATCTGCTGGGAAGACACACAACCAAACTGACCATATTTTGATAGATTGAAGATGGCATTCAAGTATGCTTCGTACAGCAGATTGTGATACTGACCACTACCTAGTGGTGGCAAAAGTTGGTGAGAGACTAGCGGTGAGTAAACAAACAGCACAGAGTTCATATGTAGAGGTTCAATCTCAAGAAATTAAATGAGGTAGGCGGTAAAGAGCAGTATTGTGTTGAGATCTCAAATAAGTTCGCAGCTTTGCAAAACTTAAGACACTGAGGTGGTTATAAATAGAGAATATCAAAATTTCTGCCACAGAAAGTAAAGGTTACTATGAACTGAAGAAGCATGAGTAAGGGTTTGATGAAGGATGCTCAAAATTATTAGACCAAAGGAAACAAGCCAAATTGCAGTGGTTGCAGGATTCAAGCAAAATAAATGGGGGCAATCTGATCAATATAAGACGTGAAACCGGCAGGCATTTCAGGAATAAAAAGAGGGAATATCTGAAAGACAAAAGTGATGAGCTTGCAACAAACAGTAAAAACAAGAACATTAGAGACCTGTATAGAGGAATAAATGACTTTAAGCGGGGTCACCAACCTAGAAGTGACTCGGTGAAGGATGAGAATAGTGATCTGCTTGCAGATTTCCATAAGATTAATTTGAACAGGTGGAAGAAACTATTCTCAGTTACTGAATATACATAGGGTCAGTGATATTAGGCAGAAATACATACAGCTGAGCTGTTAGTACCTGATCTAGCTCCTTTAGAGGTTGAAATTGTTATTGCAAAGCTGAAAAGGTATAAATCACCAGGTAGTAAGCAAATTGCTGGTCATGGAAGCCGAGCGGTCTAAGGCATGAGCCTATCACCCGTCCAAGGAGTCCTACCATCTGTAAAATGATTATGAAACTGAGAAATCAGCCCTATGCTCCAAGGTGGGAGCAAGAGATAAAAATTAAAGTGATCAAATTCCAGCAGAACTGATTCAAGCAGGAGGTGAAATATTATGTTCTGAGATCCATAAGCTAATTAATTCTGTTTGGAATACGGAAAAACTTCCTGATCAGTTGATGGAGTCTCTTATTGTACCAGTTCACAAGGGTGATAAAAATGACTAGTAATTATTGTGGGATATCACTGCTATCAGCTTCATACAACATTTCATCCAATATTCTCCCAAGGTTGAGTCCATACATAGATGAAATTACTGGGGATCATCTCTGTTGGTTTCAATGTTAACAGATCAACTACTGATCAGATCTCCTGCATTCGTCACATACTGGTAGAAAAATGGGTGTCATGTGGCAGACTGATGCAATAGGCTTTCAGAAGTGTGATTGTGGCATCCCCTCTCATCTTTTTCACCAAGGTATTTACAACAGTAAGAGTCTGGGAACTTTCCAATACCATCTCATATAGCATCCAACTTGTTCAGTTATCTTGAACAATGTAAGACTTTTGTAAAAGGTGTATTGACTGTAACATGTGTTTCATTCTTCTCACCAATTTTTGTTTGAAATATTTTTTCACTCAAATATCTAGTGAAATACGTTTGAGGTACTTGCAGAAATGCATGTAGGCCTTCATGTTAAGTGGTCATTAAAACTGTCTGATCTAAATGAAAAAAATGAAAACTGAAATGCCTGACAAGTCTTTGTAAAATTTTCTAGTATCACATTTCATGAAAATGCATCCACTGATTCTTCAGCTATTTCATGCATCGAATTGACTGAGCAAACTCAATAAGTGCTCTACAGAGTTGGAAACACCTAAAAAAAGACAGAGAGATGATCATCAATGTTAGTTATAGATCTGTACTGAGCACATGGGTGTACCTTTTGAAGAGGAGTTCAGAATAATAGGATTAGCTTTATAGATGTATGATCTTGCATACAAACACACCATGAGTTACAGGTGATATTCCCAAACAGATTTACAGATATGCTACTTAAACTCATTGTTCATGTCATTTCATATATCAGTGCACAGTGCTATAAGCCCAGTTTCTTTCTAGGCTTCTGAACTTGATTTTTACTATATTTTACTATGTTAAGAGGAGCAGGACACTTTTATTTTATTGTGTTGCAGAAGTGGCATAAGACTGGTCTCTTGGTACTGGGGGCCAGCCTACTGTGCCAGTTCCTGATGGTGCATGAGTTGGGAACATTGATGGAACGATAACTGGCAGGAGAAAACTAAAGTGTTTGAGAAAATACACCACTTTGTTGACTACAAACCCTACATGGACTATCCTGGGAAAGAATGAACCTGGACCTCTGTGGTGACTACCACCTGAGATATGGCATAGCCTAGTTCTGCTACACTACGTTAGTATTAGTAGAGAGGTAAGTATTATGGCAAATGTTATGATGTTATGTTATAAAGTTGTTATAAAAAAAAATTGGATTAAGTTATATACAGATCAGAACCATACCAACTTTTCCTTCCTAAAATATCGTATGTATAGCATTATACAATGTGATGCTGCTACATTCTAGCAGTGTGTATTGATGGGAAGAAAGACTATTTTTTGGGAAATATTTGGCACTTGTGAGTCTTTCCATGAGTATGTACAAATGAAAATATGACTTGCTCAAACAGTGGCAAGAAAATGGCTCCTATATATACAGCTTGAGCGCTGATTACACAACTCCAAAGTGGACAATCTTGATTGTGCCATTTCCATTATCTTCCTCCTCTGAGACATCTGCAAAGAAACATACAATTAGTAGAAAAAATCAAATGATACAGGGAATGAAATTTATCCTTAGACTGGCTGGCTACAAATTTGTTCACCCACACCTGTTCACTTCTAACCACTGAACTGTCACTTAGTCACACGAGGCTTGCAGGTATATCTTGAGAGTGTTGATGTTTAACATGGTCAGTTGTCCTTGAGATACATACAAATATAGTTCACAGTATACAATGTTAAATACTTCCATTTCCCCTGCCAATCTTCATTCCACCAATTGCTCCATAATCACCCTCACCTATCATCTGAGGCTGGTACAATAGGCCAGAAGTGGCCGCAGTACCAAGTGGCCTCAGTCCCACCCCACCAAGTAATAAAAAAAAAAAAAAAGGTTCATTCTAAGTATTCTGACAGTAAAGTGTCATAAAGCGCTATTTTACAATATTTTAACCGTGTAATGTTGCATGGGATTGATGTTGAACAAAGGAAATCTTGAAAAAGTTATACTGAATGAAGAAAATGTGATGACATTGGTACTTGACTGGATGCAAGCCCGACGAAGTTGTTACAGCTTTTGTCTCTTCAGTGTGTGTTGACAAAATGTACAGCTCACATTGGTACAAATTTGCTAAAATTATGGCCTTACAAAACTACTGTCATACACAGCCTTTTGCTTCCAGACTGCAAAGCAATTATTCAGTACCATGGCTGGTTTCAGGAATCAGTATTCAATGGACTTCTTGACCCAGAACTTGTGTGGTAACACAAACAGTCAAAATAACTTATACTGGAGCACAGAAAATGTTGTCCTGTTAATGAAGTGCCAATGATTTAAAAGTTGGGGTCTGGTGTGCAGTTAATGTGCAGAGGATAATCTGGCCTGAATGTTATGTTACCTTTCTTCCGTCAACTAACTTATGAAGAAAAATGGCATGGGTATTTTATGTTATATAATGCAGTGGCATAAACTGTGAACAGTTCTCTGGATGCATAGATTATGTCTTTGGTGAACAAGTCATACGTTGATGGTTGTGGCATCTGTGATCACCCAGTCTAAATCCTTGTGACATTTATTTGTGGGACATGCTGAAAAAAGGAGTATTTGAACAACCTGCACTCTGGAAGAACTTAGGCATGACATATCTGCCATACCTGTATATGAGCTTGGACATGTGTCTGGAAACTTATTCTAGATGTGAGGCATGCTTAGAAGCAGAGGGTTGTCACTTTTGAGACTCTTCTACAAAATAAAGGAAGTTAAGCTATAGTAGAAATTGAGGCTGTGAATTACTGGCTGCCACAATTGGTCTATGAAAGAAAGCCATGTCAGCTGTGGGAACCAGATTAACGGTAAACTGTACACCCTGTACTTCTGAAATGTACATACTTTTCTAACTATAACACAGAAAAGGAAATCACAATGATATACAGTGAACCCTGATTTAAGATATCTTTGGGGAGCAGTAGTTTTGCAATACTAACTGAGGAAAATCTTAAATGGAGGAAATTAACACTGAGGTGACTGAAAATGTATACTAAATGAGGAAAACCTTACCTTTTACTTTCACTGAAAACTAAGTCTTACGAAATTTTTCAGACTAATGTATGAGGACAATTCAAATGAAAATAGCTGTCTAGATAAAATGCCTGTTTGCTTTACAGTGCAAATAACTTACACTGCATTTCAGTACATACCCTGCAGTGATTCACAAATGTCATAATGTTGTGGAAAAATGTTTTTGGTATGTCACACAACCAATTTAGCACTGCATACTGCAACCTGTCAGTATTCCACTGTGTCATCAAACTTACTTAATCCCAGAGTGATACTACCGCATGAATGCAGATGATCAGATACAGTGAACCCAAGATATGTACATGCATTGCTGCCTCATGGAACTAAAAATAATGACACACACCTCCCTAAATATCATATTAACTTCAGTTAATTATTGATAATCTGTCTGGACTACTGTCATATGAGTCATTAATATATATCAATTTTGTGAGAGGGGGCAGATTAACATTTCAAATGTAGATTGTGCATAGCCTTGTCATATGTAGCATCGGTTCAGAACTGCAATACCAGATTGATGTAAAGTGACCTGAAAATAGTTACATGCCTGGTAATGTGGCGAAGTCCTTTAAGTAATTTTTGTTTCCAAGACATAATGGAAGGCTATCTGCTAATTCCTGATTTGGATCAGGCACAAAAATGTTATGTCTTGGTCGATCTCTGTCTGGCTGGATGGCAATGACAGTGCTACTGCTGCTGCATGCTCCATTCAGAGGTGAGTATTCTTCCTCTTCTGGTAAAGCTAGTGGAAGATCCTATAGAGGGAGATAAATTAATGCTGTCATTGTGTATCCGTTTTAGACTTGACCGCACACTTGAGTGCATCAGGAAATGGAAAAGAATGAAGGAGAAGGAGGATGAAACAGAAGGGTGGAAGAGGAGGAAGAGAAGGAAAGGAAGAAGAAAAAGGAAACAAGGAGGAGTCAATAAAGTTGGATGAGAAAAGAGGAGAAAGGGAAAGAAGAGGATAATAATAATCAAGATGAAGAGGAGGCTTCTTCCTGATACCCTGGATCCAAAACGAGCATATATGATGTGGTAAGATTCAGCACTCGATTATACAACTTACTGTAAAATGCTACATGATGCACCATATTCCAGTCTGTGTTAAGGAAGTCTCAGTTTGATGGCAGTTATAGGCATTTGGCTGAAATTAAATGTTTGAATGCGTAAGGCCTTTTTAGTAAACACAATAAAGATCTCAATTAACAACAGAGTTTTATCTAAACTGCTGTAATGTGTTGATCAAATAGCACAGGAGACTGAAATAAAACATTACTAAGCCCTGGGTTCTTCACTTATATTTCCGTTTAATATCACAGTATGACTGAAACATTTAAAAACATATAAAGTATTTTTGCATTCTTGAAGTACAAATAAAGCTGGTGGTGAGGTTTGTAAATGTATGGTCTCTAGTTGGGATTCCTAAAGCAATATTAAGAATTAGTAATTGTGCCTATGTGTGTATTATTTTATAATGATATAAATTATGTGTGTTTCCTATTATTACTGGAGGGATCGCAAAAATTCTGCTTAGGGATCAAAAAAAATCTATGAAACAAAACACAGTGAGATATGTTCCCACAGTGTGAATTATGAAAACTGTTGTCTTCTGGAATATGTGTGTAGTTTGGTAGGCAGGTTCCAGCACTTTACAGCACATGATTCTTATAAATGTATGTTTAAGTACATTACTAAAACATAACATTGCATGAATGCGGGTTACATCTACTCTGAAGTTGGAAAGAGCAAATTTCTCTGAAACACTGGTACCTCTCTATCAAACTACATGGCACCACATCCTAGAAAGACAGTGTTTTCCTTGTTTGGGTAAACGGGTCTGAAAATATGATTTTGGAGCCATATTTCATTAAAACTCCCAATATCAAAATTCATAATCTGTGCATGGAGAATGTGACTATTATATACGTACATTCATACTGATAGATAGTGAAAGTAAACATTCACTTTGTTAGAAAATGTACCTAAAAGATAATAAACCAAACTGTAGCATTAGGAAGGAATTTCCTCTTTTAACTTTTACAGAAACTTTTCTTATAGTCTCCTGGTGCACCAATGTAGATTCCATCATCACAGATCACAATTTACTTGCGTCATATATTTAAGAAAAATTACACTACAGTGATAAGTCACATCTGATATTTACACATTTCAAAAAACTTATGGTTTTCCTGTCTATAAATGTTTCTACTATTACTATCCCTTTACATTATAATTGGTATGAAACAAACTCTTCAAGCATTATATCTAAATGCAGGTAAGGAATATGAAACAGTACGTACAGGTACCAAAATATGTGTAACCGTATCGGAGAACTTCACTTTCTGCTTCTCCCCGGGCTGTCTTCCTGGACTACTATTGTGAGACTGTCCTACTGCAGATTTTGAGGGAAGAGGAGGAGGTGGCTGAGGGGGTATTTCAGTCTCTGCATCACTAGAGCTTCCTTGACTCTCACTGCCTGCACTCCCAGAACAACCAGAACATGATGAATGAGAATGAGGTGAATCTGAAAAGCAAAACCTGGTATTTTAAAACAGCCCATATGGCATGCTTAACCAATCCAATCAGTTAACCAAGTTTGGACATTTCTTCTATCTGGATACCCCTCATCAGCAATGAGGTTTCTAACTCACAGAGAAGATCTGTATGACGTGACAGAGTCTTCATGCGTTTCCACAAGGTTGCAGCCTCGAGTGTTCAAGTTACTCCACAGATGGCACTAGTGGTAGATATTACATCTCTTCACAATTTTTTTCCCATTTCTTTGCACTGGTGCTCATGCACTTGGTTTTTGTCAGCTGGGTTTCTAACACAAATTTCTACCTCCTTTTCTGTCCTAGTTCCATGCATGTGCGTGCTCTATCACAATTTTTATTTTATGGTTTCTTGTTATCGCCCACTGAACTAGTCCTATATATTGAAATAGCTGGATAAATGTAACAGCAGTTGTCCAGTGAATGGTAAAAGTTCAAAACCCCAGTAATTATGTGAGCCTTTGTTTTGCTTAGGAATATGGACTGTGTATCTAATTTGTACTTACGCATAGAAAATGTATGTATTGCCAAAGAAGTTGATATAATCTAGTTAATCTACTTTTTTTTCCCTTGGCACTACAGCCCCAGTGGGCCTAGGCCTACCTCCATGAACTTCTCCATTCACTTCGGTTTTTCTACATCTTACACATTCAGTAGGACTCCTTGGGCAGGTGATCAGCTTGTTGCAAGGCCTCTACATGTACACAAACACAGAAAAATGCACACAAACATCCATGCCCTGAGTGGGATTTGAACCCACGATCCCAGCTTCTGAGCGAGCAAAGACAGTGCATGCAGTTAATCTACTTAACAACTGATAATAGTGTAACAACACAGTGGACACTGTACAACAGAGTAATAGGAAAGTAAGCAGGTAATGTTAATGAAAATCTGTTCTATATTGACTTCACACTTCTAAGCATCAACATTAGTGCTCCAATACACACTGTCACTCTATTTATGAGTATGTTTTTGGTTGTTTGGCAAAGACTGTTTTGGGGGGGGGATCTAAGCTGTTGAATATCAGTTGTGGACAGTGGTTGGCATAATCAAAAGACTTGGTAACAAAAAATCAACAGGTATAGATGACATCCCAGAGTATATCATCAAAAAATGTTATCCCAAGATAATATCTGCCTTAACATATACAATAAATCAGTCACTCTCAACCGGATACTTCCCTGACCAGCTAAAAATGGCAAAAGTGAAACCCTTGTATAAGAAAGGAAGCGAAACGGATGTTGCGAATTATAGACCAGTATCACTAATTTCTGTTTTTTCAAAAATAATTGAAAAAATTATGCATAAAAGACTTTTATCCTTTTTAAATAAACACAATTTAATTAGTAACAAACAGCATGGGTTTTGCAAAGGAAAAACAACAAAAACAGCAATTGCAGAGTTCATAGAAGGGGTCTATAAATCGCTAGATGAGAAAGAAGTAAGTATAGGGCTATTTCTGGATCTGTCAAAAGCGTTTGACCTAGTTAATCATGACATATTGCTAAGAAAGATGACAAGAATGGGAATACGAGGGGTTGCACTAAAATGGTTTCAAACATATCTAGAAAGAAGAGAACAGAAAGTGGAAATCACATATAGATGTAGAGAANCACGCCATAGCTTAAGCGATTAGTCGCTGGCTTCCCACCACTGTGATCTGAGCAAGTGGGATTTGTGATGGACAAAATGGCGCTGGGGCAGGTTTCCTCCGAGTACTTCGGTTTCCCCTGCCAATGTTCATTCCATCAAATTCTCCACAAATAAGAATGTAAAAAATTGTAACTATTGTAATTTTAATCTACTTATATATCAAATTGTTAATATTCAAAATTAACTTGACTTGTCATATATCATGTACAATGATCTACAGTGACGAAATCAATCAATCAATCAATTAAATACTATGAAAGATTTGAAGCTTCCATGGTGAGTAAATGTTCTAAAATCTTACCGGGTGATCAGTCATGTCTGCTGAGTTAAAAACTAATGTTTTGAAGACCTCCATCACCAAGGACAATCTACTCTAATGATGAAGATGTAGATCTGAGACACATTTGGTTTTTAACTCAACATTGACATGACCTGAGAAGATTTTTGTACAAATAAATAGGACTACTGTATTTTTTACATACTATAATGTAGTTTAAATACCATAAATTAGGTATGGCTAACCAAAAGCCTGTACATGAGGGGTGAATACAGGAAAGGCAGGACAGGTGCACACTTACTGAGGATTGTACACCTTGCTTTGTAGGTCACCAGTATGAACGTGGTCTGTTCAAAAAGTTTTGGAACGTTTGAATTAGAGCCCAAACTCAGTGTCTTAGCAATGTTGAGGTAAGTTGTGCTGCCTAGTGGCAAACTTCCTAATTATCATCCTTTTTGCCCAGTCATCCTGCTGTGATTATTCATCACTTTAGAGCTATTTATATGGATAAATACCGTCTTAAGTGCAACAAATTTTATTGTAGTTTTTACTTCTTGTAGTAAAGTACTTGTAGTAAAACAAAAATAAAATTTGTTGCACTTAAGACGGTATTTATCCATATATATTGTGTGAATGTAACAGGATGCTGAAATATAATATTAGAGCTATTTGTTCATGTGCGTGTAGTATGTGTCTTGCGATATTCGTGATGGCTGATATTCATGAGCAGCATAATAATATTAGATTTTCCTTCAAACTAAGGAAAACATTTACAGACACTCATGAAGTGATGAAAAGCGTTTATGGTGATCAGTCCGTTTTAAGACAGTTGACAGTCAACAAATAATGAGCCGTGTTTGGGACAGTCCCCAACCTCGTGATGATGCTCATGTTACATAAGTTTGTAAAATCGTGTGTTCTAATCATTGTTTGACAGTGGGAAAATAGCAGAAGAGTGCAACATATCGATATGATCATGTCATGACACTTATGAAGAAATTAGAAATGCATTGGGTAGTTTCAAAGTTTGTCCCACAACTTCTGACACAGGTTCAGAGAGGTAGTTGTGTTGCCTTCTGTAAGGAACCTTTGGATCATGCAAGGATGAAAACTTTCTGAAAAGAATTATATCTGGTGATGAAACATGGGTTTATGGATATGACATGGAAACGAAAATGCAGTCTTCACAATGGATTGGAAAAAATTTGCCGAGACCGAAAAAGGCATGGCGGGTCAGGTCAAACATGAAAGTCATGTTGACAGTTTTCCTTTTGACATCGAGGGTGTTGTGCATCATGAATTCTTACATCAGGGACAAACAGTGAATCACTAGTACTATATTAAAGTGCTGAAACATCTAAGAGAAAATGTCAAGAGAAAAAGACCTCAGTTATGGAGCAGCAACTCCTGGTTCCTCCATCATGACAATGTACCAGCTCATGCACTGCTACTGATTCCTAACTTTTTGGCCAACATGAACACAACTGTGCTTCCTTGGCCACCCTTATCACCTGACCTGGTTCAGGCACACTTTTTCTTATTTCCCAAACTGAAATCCACTTTGAAAGGACGAAAACTTCAGATGATTCAAGAGATTAAGGAAAATTTCCAGATCCCTAAAAAGGTGTAACAGGACTGTTTCCAGAAGTGGCAATGGTGTTGGGAGCAGTGCATCAATGCAGGAGGGGAATCCTCAACATTATATGCCCCTTATATGAAAGTTAATAAACTTGGATGTACAATTTAAAAATGGTCCTATATTTTACCTGTCCCAGAACTGCTTCTACTGCTGCATCTATTCATAATCTGCTCTGCTTTGATTCGTGCTGCTTCTGCCATGGCATCTTCCTTCATTGCCCTTGCATAGAAGTATATATCCATGAAGAGATCATGATCATTCAGATCAATCGCTAGTCGAAATGATTTCTCAAAAAGCTGATACCTGAAACAAAGTTCTGTATGATGTAGCTGATACTTTAAATTATAAAAATAACACTTTAGTATTCTTGTTATGAGATAAGTTACTTTTTCGTTTTCTTTGTTAGTAACCATGACAAATGTCGTACAGGTAGGGAATCAGTGGTCTACAGTGTTAAAAAGTGTATGATTAGTAGCTGTTTCAAAGATGGCAGCTTTCATGGTTATTAGAGACATATGTTTAAGAATCAACATTACTAACAAAAATAAGCAATAATACAGGAATGCAATGTGTGCTTCAGAATTAACATACAGTCTTTCAAAATGCCTTTAATGACTGAACATTTGAGATAGATTCACAGTAATCATTTCCAGATATGGCTTGTACTTAGCATTCATATTCATGTTGGTCATGGCTAGGGTTCCTTATACAGACAGCAAGAAGAGCAAGCAAGCAATGTTCTCTGCCATTGTTAATCAGTCAAACAAAGCTTCTGAGCATTATATTCCTAGCCATTTTAGTTTTATTATATAGGAATTTATTGTAATTATTTCATACATAATGGATGGGTGTTATTCCAGTGGAGTTGATAAGTTGTGTGACATTATACAAGACTGTTATGCAACAGATAAGGGCCTCCCTCTTTCTGGTAATTCTTTGGCAGTGCCTTTGTTTTGTGTACACACCTCACTTCCATGAGCACATTCATTCACATTTTAAGCCTTATTATATTCAGATCCTTACTTTAGCCACATCTGAACTGATCACTTCTGGGATCAACATCATAGAGAATGACATATAAAATCGAATACTTTAAACTTATGTCCAACAGAGGCATGTGCTAAATTGCTTCTGTAAGTGTACAGTTGCAAAGTAATTTTACAGTATGTTTAGAGACAGCTAAGTTGATATATAATACAATCATAAACTTGGTTACAGGATCAGACACAGGATTAGAGCCAATCAAATATTTCTCAATGATACACAAATTCGTATACAGTATATTATAGTAATCATTTTAATTCTCACCTTAGCAAGTGATGGAAGAAACGGCGAGTCAAATTTCTTACTTGATTCCCAAATTCAACTTCTGTTGCATGACAGATGGGTCTTAGAGGGACATGGAAACTTCCTAATGCTGTTTGCAGCTGAACTATGTAACAAAGTAAACAAAGACATATGTAATATGATGTTGAATTTGTACTTTATCTGGTAATTTTCATTTGGTGCATCCTGTTGTATTATTATATAAAATTCTTTATTGGGATCCATCGTAACACAAAAACGAAACAGTCTAGGGTCAACATCACCTTAGCTACATGTTTCGGCTGTTTAAAGCCATCATCAGGCAAATACTTGGTTACGGCACTCACACTCTATTGAACTGGTTGGAATACAGATTGTAACTGTATTCCAACCAGAGTGGACAAAATATACTGTAAAACAAGACACCATCAAACAATTAATACCAAATGATACTACCACGGGCCTCCAAGCAGTTAACTATACGTGTACAAATCATGAATATAACGTTATATGTCCTCTGGAATATAACAACAAGATTCCAACATTGACTTCATAATATGAAACATTATATGCATAATTTTTAACCATATTTTATTGTATAATTTCGTTTTATAATAATTTTATAATTTTATTGTATTTTTACACCTTGTATTATTATAGTGTAATGTAGTTGTCAAATATCCAGCTCTGTTGTCACACTGAAATGTTGTTCAATAGTGTGTGAATGCAGTAACCATGTATTTGCCTGATGATGGCTCTAAAAGCTGAAACATGTAGCTAAGGTAATTTTGACCTAGACTGTTTTGTTCTTGTGTTATGACGGATTCCAATGAAGAATTTTATCTGGTAGTTAAGCATACGGGCAAAAAAAAAAAAAAAGATTTGTATACAAAGTTATAACTTTGAGATAAATTTTTAAAAATGTGAAGAAAATGCCTATTACTCTTCTTATCTTCAGAGGATTAAAAGTCCATGTTTTACAATCTTTCAATTCAAGATGAAATCAGACAGCATCTGAACAGAGAGGAGAGAATTCTAAGCAGCCACCAACAAATTTATCTTTGGATGGCACAGGTTACAGATGAATACATTGTCAATAAAGTTTTTAATGTTGTTCTTTTACAAATGAATCATTTGCCTGAAATGAGGATAGAACAACTGCAATAAGTCTTCACAAAATGCTGCACTGAAGATCATTTTGTAGTAGTATTCACCTGAGAATGGTCTTGGGAGGGGCCAAAACAAATTTGGAGAAAGGAAGTTACAATTTTTCACAAGAGCAGTGAAGTGAAGAACAGTTTTCAGTCAATCAGCAAACCACAACCAGCTTGATGACTGTTGTTTCTGTTGCTGCTGCCATGTTCAGGGCAGCTCTGGGGCCCAACCAACCTCATACACAATGGATACCAGTGGCTAAACTGCTCAGAACTTTATTTACATCTGAGGTTAAGACTGTGGATTTCTTTACCTCCAGTTCCTCTAGACTCAAATTGTGGTTCTCTGTGTTATGACACCAGCGTTCTGGAGGAATATGCTGCCTCCATCTTCAGGCCAGAATATGGTGGCAGTATGTTCCTCCAAACACCAGTACCCACCTACAAAACTACATGGCATAATAACCCCAAACCCACAATATGAATCTTCACTACTGTGAAAACATCAATGTTAAAAATTCTCCTACATGTGTTTATGGTGCTTAGACAAAGGGACAATGTTACTTATATTTCATTTTTCTATTATCTATTACATCCCTAAAGGCTATATAAATCAAGATATAGGGTTTGCAAATGCATCATTTCTCTCTCACCTTCTCTTTCTGGAGTGAGTGGCTGTCTAAACAGGTGATTAGTAATTCGGTAAAGGCATGCCAGACAAATATAGCCATAAGAATCCCAGTTCAGACTGAGTAATAAGTTGATTGCCCGATCCACCTGATTGACAGACAGATACTGTGACACCAGTACATCTGGAGTGAGGCCTGTTCCATGAGCGTCACCTCTCAGTCCCCCTCCTCCCACAAGACGTAACACGGCCAGTGGCCCCCTATTGGTGAAGATGAAACACATCATATAAGTTGGGAAGTTGTATTACTGACTATCCTGCACTGAAGAGAAGGTCAGAAAATTCTCAAGGCCCAGTCACATGTACTGTGGGTGCACTTAAGCCAAATGTGTCGCTAAATAAACAGTAGAAAGATAAAAATTAAAAGGTTCTCCCCACTATTTGCCTCACCTTTTCTTTGTTGGAAGACAGAAATTCCCTATTTAATTCCTGTGTTTCTGATTTTCACTGTCCAAAATCTGAATGTAGTTTATGTTCATATGTAAAAGAACATTTCTACAATCCATCTTTAAATTTTGTGCTTAATACAGTTTCTTACCATCTGCCAATATTATCAGATTAACTGATTACCAAAGTTAAACATGTAAGAAAGAAAATCAAACACTGACCATGGCCATTTTCACGCGATGCCCTGGCATGGAGAACACATGCAAGAAAGGTAAAGTTATGGAAGACAGAAATTAAATTATATGAATTACACATTAACCTTTAATGTCCGAAGTGCCCTGATCGGGCCAGTGATGAGTATGGTTGTCGTGGTCAAAATACCCCATTTTGGCCAGTCAGGCATTTAAACTCCGCTAGTAGAAGCGCACGCGCACTCATTAGTATTTATTTTTATATGTAGTAATTATAAGACAGACTTGAGTAAAACCCTAATAGAGGAATTTTAAAATGATACCTAAGTGAACAACAGCAAAAAAGAGTATACATACGAGTTATGCCCAAACTTATCCATGAGCCAGTACTTTTATTACAAATTCTGCAGATTAATTTGTTAAAAATATACAGTAAAATTTGATGTGCATACCTTTTTTGTTGTTATCTGCTTATGTATATATAGGTTGAAATGAAACTACAGTATTCAATTTCACTATGAACGCACAGAAAACAGATTGCACTCCGTATCTCAGCCACGATGCAACTGTCGATTCACGACCATAGAAAGGGCAATAATCTCTTGCAGCTACAACGGAAGGTCTTAGCACTGAAGAAGGGACCCCTTGAAGCTTTTTCTTGAATAGCCACGCTTTCATTCTTCTGTCCTTTAGCCAAAAGTTTCGAAAATCTGAACGGTGTAACAAGACGTAAAGTTTCCCAGCAGAGAACCAAATGATTTTATTGCTTCCATCTGTTTTATGACAGTGGGGACTGCTAAAATTTGTTGAGTGTTACAAACAGAAATGAATTTATATTGCAGAACTCTGTGAAGAACTGGGAAACCATTTTTACAGTATGCATCAAAATTAAAAGAAAAAAACTGGAAATAGTGTATAACTCTTTGTAAAAAAATGTTCAAATCTTGCATTATAATATGCGACACTATGTTCTTTGCTGATACAAACGAAGTTAATTCCATCCATTTATCATAAAAATTGTTAGATACAGCATTTTTAAACACAATGCTTAAAATTGTTTAAGTGCCCTAACAGGAATGGACATTTAAACGCAGAGTAGCAATGGGAATTTAAACACGCATCAGCAGCGGGCATTTAAATAAACTCCGGCCAGCTCAAGCTGGCTAATAATAGAATGTAAGCAATAAAGATGATTACAAGGAAGCAGAGGTGAAAACATTACAATATTCTGGATGTGTTATAAGAAAGAGTATAATAGAATATCTATAGAGCTGTGGAATTAATAGTGAAAGGCAGAATGATTCTGTGAATGACCCAGAATAATTACATACTTACATTACATTTCAAACTGCACAGCAGTGTATATTTGATATTACAGAAAATATATTATAATAATTGCTGCTAAAGAAACAAAACTTCTAGATGGTATAATGGAATTAAGGTACCTAAATAATATAATTTACTAACAGACATCAAAAATGATTATGTTAAAATGTATGTATTTTTTCAATTTTTTTCTTATTTTAAAATAGATTGCTCTTGTATTCTTCTCACCTCTCAAACTGTAATAGTAACAGTCCATCTGTTTGTACATAATTTTCAGAGTAATAAGACACATCAGGTTTCTTGCTCCATTCCATTTGGACAAGTGTTGGCTGATTTTTAAAATAAGATGCCAAGTCCAGCAAATTGGATGGTGTCACATCTTCACTTATTAATTGATTCTTAATGCAAGCCAGAGCAATATCATAACACTGGAACTGGCTTCTTTCATTGGCCACAACTACAACTGCTCCATCAGGATGCCAGGAGACCATTGTGGAAATCAGAAAATTTCGAACCAAAGAATTATTAACAAATTATGAAAACCTTATTTTCCTTTAAATTCCTAGAATACAGTACAGTGGTATAGTGTTGATATATTTTTTAATATCTAAAGGTGGTAAAATATAACCAGTCTCATATCACTGTTAACATTTGTAACTTTCAATATACAGAACAAGTTTCATACAAATACATGGTATGTTTAAACACTATCACTATAGGAAATCTCATTTATTAGTTAAGACTGTCCCTCATATATCATTATAGAAGCAAAATCAGTATTTTAAGTGTGAAGATAACTGTCCTCTAGGCTGTCACACTGTGCAGTTTTTAATTAACTACTAACTACTCAGTATCTTATCCCAGAAGACAATAACCATCATGGTCTCTTCCACAAGAAGCTCAATCTCATATAACCAAGGACTGGCCGCAGAGTGCCGCCGCCAGACAGCGAAGGATGCAACACGGGTAATTCATAAACCCCAGAAGGAATTGGCCGTCGGCCACCGAACGACATCCCGTCGTGCGACAGTGGCACGACGTTGGAGAAACGACTCCAAGAAGGAGACTCCCCAGGGAACCTTTGGATGCCAGCGTGCAAGAACGAAAGGGATAAAGATGATAGGCGGCAGACAGCCGCCATGTCAGAGGAATAAATTGCCAACCAAGAATGGCAGCGGAGGGTGCAGGCCAAGACAGTGACCGCACCCAGGAAGGAGAGGGACACGAGAGAAGATCCCCTATGAGCCTGTCAACGTGAAGAACACAAAACAAGTTATCAGGTTCACGGTGAAAAATTGGACATTGTGGAGGGGCCGACCCCCTCCAAAACGGAAGAAAGGGGAACGGCCTTATGGGAGGAACCGGTAGAGTACCGGCCTCCCCAACAAGTATGCATGAAGAATGTAAGTGAGGAACGAATGTGAAACAAGGCGACAAACAAATTCTGGACAATGGGAGTGCTCGGGACGAGCACAACTGAAGAGAGGGGCGGATGCGATAAAGTGAACAGCGCAACAAGACTTGCGAAGGACACCAAGGCCGAATGAAAAAGTTGCTAGCAAAACACCGCGGAATCGAAACCGAGGGAGAACCTTTAGGCTGTTCGGGGACGAACAACCTTTAGAAGGGAGCAGTGTAACGTGTCGGCAAACCAGAGGAGTAACTGCTATGGAAACACTAGAATAGACTGTTGCATAGGAAACAACAATTGCTCCATTGTAGTTCTAACAGGAGTCTCCATGGTTATAACCGAGGGTTCATTACCTATCAGCGGGCAAGGTTATAAATAGCCCAGCTTCAGCAAGAAACAGTCAGTCTCGGATCAGTCTTCGAAGAAGAGAGTCGCGGAACAGCCACCGGAGAAGAAGCTTCGGAATATCGTCTGCGTCCAGTATCGCCGGAATAGTGTAAGCAGTGATTGTAGCACTGCAAGTGAAAATGCCTGTAAAGTGTATAAGTGAGCGAAGGAAATAAATTTGCTATACCAAAGGACGGCGTGAACTTATTTGTGGCGTGACACACAAACACGCTACAATATATATATATTTTTTTTTTCAGTGAATGCATCCTGTTGTGTATCATATATTACTTCTTACTGAAAACCATCACAACACAACAATCAATAATATGTGTAAGTAGCTCTAGGAGATACTTTTGCTACATGTTTTGGCCTTCAAAAGGCCATCATCAGGCATCGTATATTATGATTACAATTGCCAACTTCCAAATATCACATATACAACTTTTAACTGTACTTTTGACTATGTAACTGGTTATTTTAAAACTTCAACTTTTATTGTAATTTATATTTTATATTCACTCATATCATTTTATACCATTGTATACACTTGGAAGTTTAGTTTGACATGCAATTCAATAACAAAAAGTTTAAGGTATTTGCCTGATGATGGCCTTTTGAAGGCTGAAACATGTAGCAAAAGTATCTCCTAGAATTACTTACGTGTATTATTGATTGCTGTGTTGTAACGGTTTTCAGTAAGAAATAATATTTTATTACCTACATTAATTTTTAAAGTATGAAAGTTGCAAGTTGCTACATGCATGATGTTACACATAGTGTCATTTCTCATTTGTCTATCTGTCCAGTATAACCCCAATATCAAAACTGTGTTCAGAATGATGACATGTTCCTTACAGAGTTCTGTGTCAGTGTCATGAACTCTTCATAATTAAAAATCTCTTTCCTCTCACAGATTTGTTTAAGAGTCTGAGCATAATTTAAGTCATTCTGGGTAAAACCTAGACTTCAGGGCAGATGGCTGAGCTCTTGCAGTCTTGCACAGTGCACTGAATATATACTTTGTGGATGGATCATTGTCATGCAGAAGAAGAACTCTTGTCAAATTCCTACACAATTTTTGTTTGATGACATAATGCACAACTTTTGTAGTACCCCCATAATATTGTCACGTGTTGGGTATATCACGTGACAAATAACTTCACACACATTTATTCTAACACACTCAAGTACAATTAGTATCACTTCAACTGCATTCTGTGGCGGCTATCTTCCAACTGTCTCAGACTGTGGCTGGATCTCAACTGTCTCGTTCGTGTCTAACTAGCTCTGCTTATATAGGCGTTATGCGGACTGGATACCAGACACCATTTCTCACGGTTCCGTTTCTGCTGTTTCGACAGTCCGCTGTTACGTAACGAGCCTTCTGTTGTCCATCTCTGGGGAAATGTGTTCATTGTTTCGGCATTCTCTACGCAACAGCCCACTGTTATTGCGTTACCGTAGAAGTACCTTCTCCAAACAGGTTACAATATTTACCAGTAATCATAGATTTTTGCAGCTGGAACTCCAATGTCAGATCCAGAATATGATGGCCATTACCTTACCAGCACATCAGCGCACACATGGCATCAGGGAATCACTGTGCTTTAGTTACAAGATTTCTTGTTTGGTTCTTCAATCCAAGTTGTGAACCCACTTGTCTTTCAACACTCCCAGCAAGAAAGTATCCTAATCTTGCCAAATTTTAATTAAAATTCGCTGATCAACATTAGTTCTGATATGGAGTCAATATTCTTTGCAGTCATCAGGAACTGGCTTTAGACATGAGTATTTTCCATGAATAATATGAATAACTGATATATTATATAAATTTTCAGTTCACAAGCTCCTGCAAGACTTTTATGTGAAAATCTTATGAAATCACATCCTCCATTTTGAGTCCATTTCCAAGTCATTAGTATTTTCCATGAATAATATGAATAACTGAAATATTATAAATTTCCAGTTCATAAGCTACTGCAGAGACTTCTATTTGAAAATCTTATGAAATCACAGCCTCCATTTTGGGTCAATTTCCAAGTCAGATGTTTCAGCAGAGCATCTAGGCTACAGTCATCTTTGATTGATTCCCTTCTTCCCTTTAAACTGTTTGCTCTGGAATATGTTTGGGAGTAAAAAGGCAAAGACTCACTGCAGATGTTGGTCAGACAATCATAAACAAACTCTGGAACTTTGTCTTTCTTTCATGAAGTCTGTAACACTGATGCATCAATATGTGAAGAACATGCTTCCATTCTGTACACAACTGAGCCACTGAACTGATGAGTGAGTGCTGTCATGGAAGATGTTACACATCACAGCATGCATATACCCACTGCTTATAGTTCTTACAGTTATGCAGCTAAATTACGGAGCTAACCACATAAAACTGTAAGCATGGCAATGTTCTGTTGGGCAATTAAAATGGAAAATATAATGAATGATACAACCTCTATCTACCTATCAGTTTCTGTAACAAGAAATTCTGCAGCTTTAAGGTAAAGACACAATTGTCCTTGTGTTTGGAGGTATAACTTTACATATTCTTAACCTCAGCATTTGATGGAGGTGAATGTGATTAGCTTCATGCCCTGGTTGCTTTACCCCTAGGGAAAGTTTTTTTAGTTAGTTACTTAATGATACTGTCAGTATGAAGACTATATAATGGCAATGATAGGATCATTAATGAATAAGTAACAGTTGATGGAATGAGAACTGGCAGGGGAAACCAAGTAACTGGAGAAAACATATCCTAGTGCCACTCCGTCCATCACTCCTGGGGAAAGGAACTGCAGTACCAATTGAAAAGGGGGCTCGGTGGGCCCAACAGTTGATCTGGACTCTGTGGAGGAAACAAAAATCTCTGCTCCTGCTGCAAATTGAACCCAACTCTCTTTTTGAGGATTTGATCATATTATATTTGGGGAGGAAGATATTTTGAAATTTTCCCATGAGTGATACCTGCATACTTCTGACATATTGCTACTGTATAAATGTTACATTACGTCTGCACATGTAAAGACAGCCATATATGGCTAGTGGGAACAACACACAAGCAAGGGGCAAAACTGCAGACTATACATAATAACGGGCTTGCATTAAAGGGTGAGCTGCTGCAATGTAAACAACCGAAGAAGGGTATATTGCTTAGACAAGTGGACAATGCCCCTTATGAGATGGAATTAGAAGTGTCAAATAATTAAAAATTTTAACAAATTTTAATTGATTTTTAATGGAGTGAACTGTAATATGTGATATTTAACACACAACAGTTAAGTGCAACTGTAACTTTTTAATTACAAAATGTTTAGTTACGCGTGTGTGCAATGGACAATACTCGGTGCAGTGTAGCAGGTCTGGCATAATGGGACACTTGGGGCTGAAACATGTTGTGTTAATAGCGATAGCAAATATGAAGAAATAAATAGTTGCATTACTGAGAGAAATTTGTATATACACAAGGCTGAATAACAATTTTTTTTTTCTGTGTTATACAAATACTGTTCAAGTTTAATGATACTGTTCAGTGATCTTAGAAATTAGACCTATATATGAAAATGTAAATATTCCTAATTCCTTGTCACGCTCACTTTAAGTTTGTTTTACTGAATTTTTATAGTAACAGACTTACAAAAGCTGCTTTAACCAAATGTGTTATTCCTCTTCCTTCATCAAAGAGAACCAAAGAACCATCAATGCAACCAAGCAGCAACTTCTCTTCATCAGGACTGAAGCCATGACAACAAACTTGTGTTTGGAGAGGTATTGATGTTACTGATGTGCGCTGAATCCTTGATTTGCTGATCTCGTAGGTACAGCTCTCCACGGTCACCTCCCCCTATATATATAGAAAAGCACATCAAATTGGGTTAACAGCAAATGAGAGTAATAGAGCAGAAACATTTGGAAATTCTGTAGCAGGTCAATGATTTTATGATACACACATTTGGATACAGCTTATGTTGAGAATCCCATTAAAGTGTTTCATAAAATGTTATATTCCCTACCATTTTAAGAAATCATCCATTATAACATTACTGAAAACTTACTGTAATGTTATTTCTTCTGTGTAAATGTTGATATATAAATAGGCCACACACATATGAAATATATACTTTTTTATGTAGAGTAGAACTTGATTATTGTGATGCACTTGGGGACCACAAGATACACCTATGATTTTCACCAGCTTAGCATACAAGTTGACACTAGTGATGTCAGCATGGTACTGGACTGATGATAAAAATAAACACTAGCTCTAAATTTTTGAGAATTGCAGGTTTCATTAAAAATGAAATGTATCTTATAGAAATAGGCTGTCAAAATGTAAAATTAATTCAACTATCTCATAACTTGTTCTTTATTGAATACTTAAAATAGAGTTTCTAGGAGGAAATCCCTGAAAGTATAACAATATGTAGCAGTAATATGAAGGGCGTTCCACATATAATGCCTCCTATTTTTTTGTGTGTTCTGTGTCTGAGCTGGATGTTGGTGGAGTTGTAGTAAAGGTTGAACCTTCCTGCCAATGTACTGTTAGTTTGGTTGTCGTGTGAAAGATAGCAACAGCAGAGCAGTCTACCAAAATGGCATCTGACATAGAAGTGTGTACAAAACAGAGATGTGTTATTGAATTTCTCAGTGCTGAACAAATTGCACCGACATCCATCGATGGTTGCTAAAGATGTATGGAGATGATACAGTGGATGTCAGCACACTGAGGCGGTGGGTACTGCATTTCAACAGTGGCGAAAGTGAAGTGCATGACAAACCACGCCCTGGGCGTTCCTGCTTAGCTGTCACTCCTCACAATGAACAGCACCTCGATCAGCTCATCCATACAGATCGGCAGATAATGACCAGGGAACTGTGTGCACAGCTTAATATTGGCTGTAATGCACTGGAAACGATGTTGGGGAAGTTGGATTATCGCAAAGTTTCTCCCAGGTGGGTCCCTCGGATGCTTACAGAAGACCACGAAACTCATCGAATGGAAGTCTGTCAGGACCTGTTGCACCAGTATGAGGCTGAAGGTGACAAGTTTCTGGACAGCATCATCACCGGAGATGAGACATGGTGTCACCACTACAAGCCGGAATCCAAAAGACAGTCTATGGAGTGGTGCCATCTGGATTCCCCAAGAAAAAAGAAGTTCAAGACACAGCCATCGGCAGGGAAAGTGATGTGCACGGTCTTTTGGGATAGGCGGCGTGTGATTTTCTTGGATTTCCTGGAGCCTGGTGAGACTGTCAATTCTGAACGCTACAAGGCGACGCTGACTAAGCAGAAAGCCCACATTTCCTGAGTCAGGCCAGAGAAGCAGACAACCTTTCGCTTGCAACACGAAAACACTACACCCCATACCAGTTTGGTGACCACTGCGCACATTGCAAAGTTTGGCTGGACTGTCCTACCATATCCACCTTATAGCCCTGATTTAGCAACTTCAGACTTCCATCTCTTTGGGCCTATGAAAGATGGACTACGCGGGCAACATTTTCCAGACGATGCTGTCATTGCAGCTGTAAGAAAGTGGCTAGCCTCTGCTGGCGCAGACTTTTATGGGCATAGGATACAGGCTCTTGTTCATCGCTGGCAAAAGTGCATAACGAATTTTGGTGATTATGTGGAAAAATAACTGTAAGTAGCTGAAATCTTGCTCTATTTAACTGCATTATTATGCTTTCTGTATCTGTTGTAGTTTTCATTAAAAAAATAGGAGGCATTATTTATGGAACGTTCCTTGTAGAAGGTAAAACTACCCTTGAAATCTGCAACTGAGACAGGCAGGTACACATCATTTATATTAAGTGCAACTGTAGCTTGTTTGTTCAATTATTACATGAGATTACACTTATTCTGTGTGTTTCAATTACATTCATTCATTTCCTTTATTTTCCATATATCCATACAGGTAACAAACCTAGGATGTGGAAATGGTCCCTTTGAAAATAGATATATCAAGATACATATACAAAATTACAAGAGTCACATAATCAAAATCACTTACATTAATCAATTAACATAAATAATAGTATAAAGTAAAAAATTTAATAAGATTTTAATTAATAAACATAATTTAAAAACAACTTACTATAAAACTTGAATCAATACAATTTTATTTAAATTACCTATATTAACTGAATTAAATACATTATAAATGTACACACTTATGACCAATTATGTTGGTAATATTCATTCATGGAATAAAAAGTAAAACATTTTTACCTTTCTTGACACTTTTTGTTCAACTGAATGGATTACATTGGATTGCACTTGACTGAAAGACACACAGACTGGATCAAATTCTGTTCTGTAGTAGCATAAGGGTTCTGCCTTTATACTGCAAAAAATTTAATTTATTTGAATTGTATTTATTGTAATATTGTAAACTGTACACATTAACAAAGAATATCAACAAACTCTTGACAAATAACTCCACAAGATCTTAAAAGACTGTTAGTTCACCACTGTAGTATCAGACCTATATTCATAAATGGTTTGAATCTTGGCTGATACAGGTTATTCTGTCTGGAGTGGGTTTTCTGTGTCTTCAAGCATACTTTGAAACAATCCCTGATCAAACTGGGCCATGACCTACTTTGTATCCCATTCTCTTCCTTCATTCATTCATTCATTCATTCATTTATTTTTCGTTCCATGGATCCACAATACAAGTGAGATATAGGACATGTCCATACAGTGATTATTCTTAAAATTAATAGAGCAAGAACTAAGTACATAAATAAAAAAGTATAAAATACAAAAATTGAAACAAAACATGTAGAATCAAATAGATTCCAGTCATATAAGTTAATTTAATGAAACATGCAGTTTAAATTTAAACAATGTCAGTTTGAACATATCACAGAAATTGCTTAAATGACTAGACTAGAATAGTAGAATAATGACTAGAATTTCTATTGCCCACAATTACCATCTTTTCACAAGCTGTGGTGTTCTGAATACATATTCAGCTATCCAGTAATACTGGAGAACTGTATCAACAATTCTACTGCTTATGGAAAATACTGCATTAAATTTTATGCATTTGAAAAGCCACCCATAACCTATAATCACTCGGTACAAGACAAACCTTCCTGGTACAAGTAGTTTTTGATAGCAACTGTTCTACAGAATAAAGGTATGATATATTACAAATACCTGCAAAGAAATTTTCTTACCCATTTATTCCATAAACATGAACATTTGCTCTATCTTGGTCTTTAACCAGTGGACTCCAAGGATATACTTCATCTCTTGTACAGCGCCACCAAATTAAAACCTGAAACATATGAAGCAATCTAGATACTTTTTTCATAATATAACTGAATATTTTACAAATTAAGACTTGAACCAATTTGTCCTGTTATTACAAATTAATGTTAGACTTACCATGTCGCCAGTTACATTACAAGACAATTTTCTTTCTAAGCGTCGGCCTGATGGGCCAGCCAGTTCCAGAACTTGTAACTTCGGCTCCAGCCGACTCAGTTTCTCTGGCATATTATATTTCACTGCAGGCTTGGTAAAGTAGATCAGAGTGATTTGGTTATCATTGTATGAACACATTAAATGTGTTTTTGTAAATATAACTGAAAAAATTAAATTCTGAATTAGTTTCAGTTTCTTTAATGCAGACAAAGGCATAACATACATCCTCATGGAACACTGCCAATTTAAGTACAGATCAACCCTACCTTTCCACTGATTACAAAATCTGATACTTACCTACTGATTGTAATTCAAACTCTAGAAACAAAACCAAAAACACTTTGTTTCAAGTATATTTGTAATTGGTGTTTATCATTTGCAACAAAAACTCCCAAAATCTCGTAAATGAAAGTAACAATGCATCTAATTTAATTATCCAAATGCATCTCTACTGTTGTATATATTGCTGGTGAATATGCTTCTAGTGCTTACCATCTGCTATATATTCAGAGAGTAGTTTCCCCATTAGGTACTTGTCAAATACTATTTTCAGTATGTCTCCAGTAAAAATATTAATGCAGATACTGATGAGTATTCCTGAACTCAGCATTAATTGTAGCACACAATTATCTCTCCACTTTACAAATACCACCTTATGTTGAGCAAGCAATTCCTGGAACAAAGCACACCTGTAATTATTTACAGCTGAACCATCTTCCATAAGTCTTTTTTATTATATATAGATTTGAGTTCTTAAATCTCAATTCTATAAATTCATTTTTTTCACATTCTCCCAGCTAAAATATTCATTACTGTAGGCATCATGAAATCATGCTACCAAAGTTTCATTTGTATTCAATTGTATTTCAAAGTGTCATAAAGTGTGGGACTGGGATAATTTGATGGGTGGAAATGTACCAAAGTACAATGCTTTGGATGGTGCTGGGCTCTGTAATCCAGCAGCACCCCATTTTTGTAGCTATCAAGTATAGCATACAACCGAATGAAATGCTCGCTGACAATATACACTATAACATTTTCTGTATGAAGTTTAATACAATGAAACCTCTCACCTCAAGTTCCCTTATAGATTCTCTGAGTTTTGTAGGCCTCTTATTTTGCAATAACCACGTCATGCCCCTCTTCTCAGCATATGACCGTTTACTTTCATTGTAGGGTGAATCTGTTACTTCTTTTTTTTCATGATATCTGAAAAAAAAATATATATCAATGCACCTTTATAAGCTTATTTAACAATCATTGTGGATGGTTGCGTGTCCTAATAACTCTTCAGAAAAATTGATATTAGAGATATTTGGTACGGATATCATGATACAGGAGGGCACCCTTCCTTAATATTAGTGGTTTGCGTGAAGTTCATAAAATGAACACCCAAGGGGACGGTAATGCATTGCAGTCAATTTTCATCTCTGGAACTCCTGAGTTTTATTTTAGTTCATAATATGCTGTGAAAGCATGAAATTGTTTGTTTTGATAACAGTTAACTAAGTAGGATATTTATAACAGCCTTGGGTCACAAGGGCTAGCCTATATTGTTGTCGGACCTAACCTCACTGCATACCTGAACGAGCCGAAGTCTGTATTTTTTATTCCAATTTCATCCTTTAGAGTCCAGAATCTGGTTTGACTTAAGAGTGTCAACATTCTGATTGTCTGATATTCTAAATGGCACAACCATGGAATGAGATTATCATAAACAACAAATATTTGCGATGACCTTCACTTGTTAGATAACGAATACAATGCACATCAGTGCACATGTCCCTTGCCAAAAATCATATGTTTAGTGGGATTTTTGTTTTAGGTACTTGGTTATTTTCATTCGTTACATACTTTGCTAATTAAACTCATACATTTATTACACATTTTGTTAACAGTTGATATATAAACATATCACTAATTTACGATCAGATTTGTTAACTTCCTGTTTGGTGTTTCCTGTTAGTTTCGTCAATGCTTGCTGTATGGTTGTGAAGATGTCATCCATACGTACCTTAACGAAATATTATATTGTCAGCTTTTTAATTTTTATTGCTTTGGCATTTCCAGATCAAGGGAAGCGGGATTTCGTTCTAAGCCAGGTAATGAACATGCCCTATTTAATTACAAAACTAGAGAACATATATTAGATATTCTACTTTTTCCTTCTGCAGGAAAGTACCAAAAATTGTACTTCCTTATTAGAATTTACATATAAATGCATGTCATTAATTTTATTGCACTGGAATATAATCCATTTTAAGAATTGTTTTGATTGTGCTCATGATTTCACTTGCCCCCCTGGTGGTATCTCTACTTTGTCTCCATGGGGCTGAACCTGAGAGCCATGCTGTCAGTGTTATGTGTCACCAAAAGGGCATCCCATGCCGGTTCGGTAAAAGGTGATAGGCCAGACAAAAAGAGATACCCTGGTCCTCCAGGTTGGGGTTTGGTGCATGAGGCTGACAAACTCATCTCTGTTAAAAACATAAATTGTTAGGAAACCTTGGATGACAGCCTCGCTGGAAGTCTGTTATCAAGGAGGCCAAGGCTCACAAAGAGCTGTAGTGCCAGATAAGAAGAAGATTTCACTTAAGAACTATTAAAACCGCTCCCAATTTTATAGTAATAAAGTCATGTTTTGTTTTTGCAGGAGAAAAAGTCTGTCGCTGTTCCGAAGAGTTTATTTAAAGGATCCCAAATTTTCATTAAGAGTAAGCAGATTTTTTACTGCTTCAATAATAATTCACTGTATATTTATGTTGATATTAGACCTTGTGGCCTTATATTGTGCAGGTTTTGGGCTTGAATGAGGTAAAGTCGCTGTCCTTAATCAAGGACCATGTCATGAAGCCATAAGGAGTAGGGCTGAAAGTGCAGACACACATATTCTAAATCTAGCACTAAATGAAGGTGAATGGTCTGCTTCATGGCCTGCTTTGCACCCAGAGAAAGAGCCCCTGGTATCTGTTGCAAAGGAGGCTGGGTGGACGCAGGGAAGAGAAGAATCAGTTCTCGTGCTGGAAATTGGTCTCCAGTTGTCTGCTTGTCCAGCCCATAGCCTAGTCACTATATTCACTGAGCCATGCTGGCTTTTCTGATGCCTGATAAAAATTACCTTAAGGAGGCATCTCTATTTATAATTTTTGTCATATGGGCTAAAATCTTCATACAGTTTGGACCTAGGAATTTACCTGTGTGTGCTTCCCATTTCTACCACCCCTTCTAGCATGAGAACAATTTCAGATGTTTCAGTTTGTTTTAATTTGCTTTTATTGTTATCTGGAAAGATGGACTGATGATAAAATAGTTTATGCATTGTCTGATTAAGAAAGTTTCCTAAAGTGGTTTTTGTAAAAAGATCGTCCTTAACAGCTTTCATTAATAGTTGTCCTAGGTATGAGAGTGGTCAGGTTTGTTTAAGTGCTGAAATGGAACATGTTTACTGTCTCTTCTACCTTTCTTTTTGCCCTCTAGTGTCACTATCCTCAGGACCATGTCTGCATGCATTTTAACATATTCATTAAGAGAAAAATCAGTTAATAACTAATTTTTTAATCATGGATACACTACTGTAAACTTAAAACTGGTTTATAACCACTGTACCCATGGATAATGGCAAAGCCATTCTGAAACATGTCAATTAAAAATATACTCCACTTTACAAAAAACTTTGTTGTAGTTATATGAAGTAGTAGGGGCATGTGGTAGCATATTTGGTTGAGACACTATGGTACAAGCATGAAGGTCACAGATTCGAGTCCCGATGAGGCAGATATTTTTCAATTTACCTAATCCTTCCAGCAGCACTATGGCCCTGGCGTTTACTCAGCCTCTAACAGACATGAGTACCAGGAATCCTCCTGGGAGGTAAAGGGTGGCTGGCATGTAAGGCTGACAACCTTACCACCATATGTGAACTGACTGTCTAGAGAGAATGGGGAGCCTTGATGTCTCACAGCCCCTATGGGCCTTCATGGCCTGATAGAGGGATAGCTTAATATAAAATAATAAGATAATAAATTAGTACAGTTGTAATCAACATGTTGATCATGAAATTGACTGAACATTAAAATTGTCGTCGCGTGTTTGCTAGGTAACATGACAAAAACTTTGTGTGGGTTTCAGATTTGGCAAAGACGTATATTGAACTGTTGCTTTTTTCACACGCAAATGCAGTTATTCTCAACTTATAATGTCATCAGATGTTTCCTCATCACTATTACAATTACTTGCAGCACTGATCTCGGTGAAGTACTTTCTGCTGTGCTTGGAGCTCAACTGTCCTTAATCTCTTGTCGGATACAAACTCCCTGCTCTAGCCGGATATGAACTCTTCTGTTCTAGTCAGATTAGAACTCTCTCCTGCTAAAGTTGAATACAAACTCTGCTGGTCTCTTGCTTACGTTGGACTGTTATATATTGCACTTGGACTGAATAGGGTGTGGGAACTGCCCACATTCAAGCAAATGTGGGCAGTTCCCACAAGGGAATACCTTGTCGAGGGGTTGATTTCACCCACTGCCATGCAAACGCTACTTCAAACAATTCGTTGCTTGGATATTTCCCGCCCAACAGCAGTCTCTAATACCTCTGGTAGATGGGGGAAGCATTATAGATACCTCTCAGCTAGTAGAGCCGGTCTCGCTGGCTGGGCGGGACTGATGGTAAGCACCAGTACCGGTAGGATATAGAGACTGGTAGAAATTATAGAGGGAAGCACAATGGACCAATACAGGTCTAAGTGCATGGGGAACCCCACCCTCTCCAATAACTAACTAACTAACTACCTTTGGGGCACCTTTGTTTCGTAACATTACAACTAGGTTTCATATTCATATGGGATTTAATGCACTTGGCATTTTCTGTTTGATTTGGTTGTTCTGTTATAAACTCTTTAAACCCATGTTTGTTGTGTGATGGTACAAAAACTATAGAACTTACTTTGAACAACTTCTTGTAGTTCAAACCATCCAGCACTAGACTGGGGACAGCAGTGAAAAGGTCAGTCATAGCTCTGTTCAAAAAATTAGTTACATTATGCTGAAAGTTGAAGGCTGTAGTAGTATATATGTTGCTTTCTTGAAAGAAATAAGAAAAAATAACCGCTTGTGCTAATATTCTCATAGCACATAATCAAAACACTGATTTTTTAAGATAATATTATTCAATTTGGTATGTTGGAAGCCTTAATATTGCAAGCTGAATTGCAGGTACATTGTGAATATTGTTAAAAAATCCACTCGCTATTCAGAATAGGCTCAAAATTTGCTATTTTCTTCCCTCATAATTTGTTTTCATAAATGATATATAGAAGTTCGTAGTGTTTAATTTACTACAGAGAATGAAATTCCATAAGATAAAATTTTCCAAGTATAATTTATAAAAAGTTCACTCATTCACTCCCTCATGGAGCTGAGCCCTTCTTAAGAATCTGCCAATTGTGCAGCTACTCAAGAACTTCCCAGAATTTTGTGGAACCCAAAGGTTCATTACTGTGTTCACAAGAGCCCTGCACTGGTCCCTATCCTGAGCCAGATCAATGCAGTCCATACCATCCCACACTATCTCTCTGCAATACATTTTAATATTGCCCACCCACCTACATCATGGTCTTCCTACTGGTCTCTTTCCTACCAATATCCTATATGGATTCATCTTCTCCTCCGTTTGTGCTACATGCCGTGTCCATCACATTCTCCTCAAATTAATTTTCAAACAACAGGGTCACATGCAATGAAATCTATTTTTTAATTAATGGGTTATCCCAGGAGAATCCATTTATTCATCCTACATGGTTGGGTCTGAATGTTTTAAATTTTTTTCAGCCTTGCTTTTAATTTTGTGTGTAAGAGTTTCTGCAGAATGCTGTCACTTACTAACTATGCTGAAAATGTTTATTGCCCACAGTTTCATGTAACACCAAGGCTGCAGACAGAAAAATCACAATTACGTGGGTTCTGTCGAGGTTGCATTGTTGGCAGGATTTCTTACGATATGAAGATGAACTGGTACGTTGCAATAACATTTCTTTACTCTAGTCCTTGTAGGTAAAAATTTTGAGGAGGATACTTGAACGTGCTGTGCTATAGGAAACTTAATCTGAGCATTCTCTTGTAGTATTCATGACTGAAGAGATCAGTTGCTGGCTGTACCTCATTGAAAGTACACCATGTATTTATTACATAAAAATGCAAGCAGCATGCATCTTTCAATAGCAGTGCCCATACAATTTGGTATGACAAGGCAATATCATTTCTGTCTTTTTATAATCATAAAATTCTAAATTTAGATCATACAGGCATAATTGATAACATTTATAACACTGGAAACTCAGGATATTGGTTGTATTCATGCAGTGTGTTCACCCCAAAGATAGAGGCAGTATGTTCCCCGAAAACATTGCTTCCCACTTATTGGAATACAGCATGGTGTTTTGACCCAGACCATAGCCTATTAAGCTTGTATACTTGAACTCTCATTTTAAGAGAACATATATTGAAGTTATCTTGAGGAGAATATCTGGACCTGAGAGAGAGGTGAAGCTGGAAAAAGTTGTGTAAAGATAAAGCTCATAATATATGTGCTCTTCGATAAATATTATTTGGGTAAGATCTAAGGGTTTGTGACAATCGTACATTAGTACAAATATTATGTTTTTGGACATTATCCATCGTCTTGTTTTATCTAAAACCGTCCTGTTTGTTTTTCAAAATACAACATTTCAGAGACTGGATACTATCTCCATCTTCAGGTAAAACCTACACAGTTGGGCCTAATTGATAGAGCTAGTCCAAAATCAGACACATGTTTATATGAACTTTTTTGATCACAAAGACCTAGGAAATCACCTCCTGCAGTTATGCCCTAAAGTCGTGAAACACCCTGTATAAGATTTCATTCACTAAACTTCTTTAACTGTAAGATTAGCACATTGTCCTGAATTTGAGCTTAAGGGTAAAATCTGTGCTTCTTAAAAGGATTTTAGCATCTTTAGTATAACATTTTTTTTTTAAATGAATGTCACTTTTTGTATGAGGATGGAAGGAATGTGATTTAGAATATGAAATACACCAAGAAATATACATTTATTTATATATTTGTTTATATACATTAATATTCCTTGACATTTTCAGAATCCAGGACAGACACAGCTGTCAGGCTTACTGACTGATGGAGATAACAAGACTCGTCATATGGATCCTGTAATATCACACTTCGACTGTTCTCCTCACATTGTTTTGGTAGGTATTGTATTTGTAAAATTTTGAATGTATGTGTAATGGTTGTATATTTTTATTGTTTTTATTGATTTTCTGACTGGAATTGTATCTGTTTTATCGCTGCTTCCAATTAGTTATACAGTTGAAGGTCTGAGCCAAAAAAAAAATATTTAAAGCCAGAGTGTTGAGAAAACTGCATTTTTTAAATAGCTGGATCATAAGGATCATAGCTGTGTAAACCTTGAATTGATTGAGAATTTAAATAACTGAATGGAACTAACCTGAGGTATAAACCAAAATTGGATTTGAAGAAAGCAGTCTTCTGGGATGTGGCACCGTGTAGCTGTGGTGTTAACCGACGTTTCGGAGGGACGTATCGCCTCCATCTTCAGGGTAGAAAGAAAAATAAGAAATCCGCAAGCAAAGAGACCGTGAGAACCGGTACAAGCAGTCTTCATTTGCTTTTAAAGATGAGAGTCCTAAATTTGTTCCCTTTTACTTCATAATTACTGATCCTGATATTGAAAGTTAAATGTGCATGTGAGATTTGACTTTTCAGACGGGGGGTGAGTGTTAAGATTTTGGTCTTTGGGATGTGACCAAACTACATATTATCACATCCCATTCTTTCAGAAGCAATGTTTTCCATCACATTGTCTGATGCACTTGTACATGACTGACTGGTATCTCTCTCTTTTGGAGGCTTGCAGCTGAATAGAATCAAGACATTGCTTATTATCACCATGTTCAGTTCTCCTTGTATGTGGTTGATGAAAACAGTCATGTTGAGCTACGTTTATAATGCTATATATGTCATGAGTTTCTTTGGTTGAAAGGGAAAATGGGAATATGGAATTGTGTGTGTTGGATCTTACATCATATGATTGCCTGAAAGGAAGAACCAATAAGTGTAATCTAGCAGCCCCCAAAATGTAGAACCGTATACATTGTGTGATGGTAATGGTAACAAAAAGTCTAACAGTTACTGCTTTGAAAATATCTTTATACTTCATGGTATCCAGAAATGCAGTAGTTATCAGGTTTCAGTTTTCCCAGATATTGTTGAGTTGGGACTGGGGTCATCTGGATTTGACATTGTGTAAGTTCAGTAGCAGATACCAACTCTGAGGATCTTGCTGTTTACATATTGAGGTTACAGAGTGAATTCTGTGTCATAACCCAGAAGACCACAGTCCTAATTTTCACCTCTATGGCAACCTCAGCTCTCTTCATTCAATTAGATTTGATTCTTTATAATTCTTTTTATTAATTTGCAAATATATAATCCAATCCTACACCATTATGAATGAAAATAAAGTCAGAAACCTAATATTGTAGTAGGATAAATATGATATTCTTTAAAAATCTACCACAATGGAAATTTCAAAATCTGGTATAGATATGTGATGGTTTTGCTTCTACTCAGGAGTTCCTTGTTGTCTGGGAAGACCATGGCTTTTCTCACATATTGTGAAATTTTATTGATGTGACAAAGTAATTAGGATTTACATGCATGCATGACTCCCTTATATGGCAGTTCTTCTCCTCAGAAAATATGGTATTAAAATTTCAGGACCTCCCGTCCGTAAAAAATTAAGCAGACAGAAGTAAATCCAAGTACTTAAACATTCTTGTCAAACTGAAATACAATAATACAGTATTCATGCTTAAGTGTGAAGTTCACATCTGAAAATATATTTTTCAGTACATAACTGAATACAGGAATAACATTAATGTGTGAAATTGTTTTATGTTGAATGAGTTTTAATGTCTCATGTGTCATGATGTGCTTTGGATGAATTAATCCAGAATTAAAATTGAGGAGAATATATAATTGCTTTGTAGGTAATTTTTACTGATCAACCATTAATTGAATTATCCCGCTCTAATACAATTTTGCATGTATATTTTAGGAAGAGTTTAAAGGTTCAGAATCAAAGAAACCACCAGCTGCTGCTGTGCCTGATGATGTGAAAGATGAAAGTGTTCTGAATGTGGGTCATAAAAGCAAAAGAGAGGAAAAAGCAGAGAAATCGTCTAAAGAGGCGCATTTGACGGATGACAAACCGCAGTCTCCGAAAAATATCCAGAATCCTGGTCAGCTTGTAAGTACTGAGTCTTTGCACATAATAAAACAAGGGGAGGTCACAGTTAAAAATGAATGCATTTCTGAATTAGAACTGTGATAACAAGAATTTTGTGAACAGTGATGAAACTTAAGATATGTGGTCAGACTAAAAAAAAAACTAGACTTCCAGATGGCAGAAGAAGGCAGAAAAACATTCATGAATGTGTTGGCACAGAATACAATGGCCAATAGCAGCATATGATCGACATATGACTGCAGAAATATGAAAGAAACTTTGTCCATCATAAATTGACATTCATCCATGGAAGCTCTATCACAAGGTTGATTATATATCGACTTCTTACCCGAGTAAGTAAGTAAAAAAAGTAAAGCTATCCTTGTAACAGGCCGTGAAGGCCCATAGGGTTGTGAGACATTGAGGGTCCCACGTTATCTAGATAATCGGCTCAAAGATGGCGGTAAGGTTGTTAGTCTTACGTGCCGGCTGCACTTTACTCCCCAGTATAATTATTTAATTAATTCCTGGTACTCATTTCTGTTAGAGGCTGAGTTGACCCCAGGGCCATAGTGCAGCTGGAAGGATTGGGTCAAGTAAAAAAATCTAGTGACCTCGTCACGACTTGAACCCATGACCTTCCGGCTTGTAGCATAGTGCCTCAACCACTACACTACCGCGTCTTCCGACCTGAGAGGGTAAAAAATTATAAGAAAGAATTGTAAAATATTTTGTCATATTATTTTGTATTTTCTTTAATTTCTAGCCTACAGAACATCCAGTATATACCATTGGTGCAGATGGGGTGTACTTACTGCAACTTACAATTGACAGTAAAAGTGAGTTTACTGCTAATGTCAGTATTCACATGCAAGGCAAATACGGTTACTTATCAGCAGCAGACTGGCCTCTCTTACCAGTGAGTACAGTGTCCCAGAAGTTCCATATTCATTGACTTCTAACTAATTTTTTCTGATGTTGCACTCATAAATATTATGTTGTATTGAATGTAAAATGTGAGCAGTAATGTGGTTGCTGTATTATAATGATTGAGGAAAGTCACAGAATAAAACAGAGATAGGTGCATGCCATGAAATCCTGATTTAGTGTTCTAGCTATTAGTGAAATCCCATATTTAGTCAATATTTCTTTTGGTCCCAGCTGATGTTCCATATAAACAATGTACTTTTTCCCCACATTTAGTGAATTTTGATTTAGTAAATAACCCACATTTAGTGTAAGCGATATTTGATCTCCATACCTCAGTTTAGTGTGATCATGATGAAATAACTGATATTCTCATTTTCTCTTTGCTGTCAATCATCACTCTCAACTCACTCACTCTTTGATGAATGATAGTGTGCATGAGTTTTGAGTTCTGTAGTAGTATTTCCTTTATTTGTTTCTGATTATGGCATCTGTGAAGAGGAAGAAGCTTGCAATTAGTAAAAGTTAGAAATGGTAGCTAGATGTAATTTTTGTATAACCCCTGTTTAGTGTAAGAAAAACCATTTCCCTAGAAATTTATTAAATAAGGATTTCACTGTGGTAGGACTAATAAGGAAATTTTCCAAATGCCAGACAATTACAGTTATCCTGTTTTTGGACATTATCCATTAACTTGTTTTTTATTTAAAACACAGCATTTTGGAGCCTGGATTCTGTCTCAGTCTTCAGGTAAAAAAACCCACTCATTTGGGTCCAGCTGAAAAAGCTAGTCCCTATCTCAGGACCTAGAACTGGATCTTATCTCTTAGTAGGGCCATAGCGGCCTCCGTAGTCTAGGGGTAACGTTCCCACCTCATGACTCAAGGTACGCGGGTTCAAACCCTGCGGAGGTCGTGGAATTTTTAAGGGCTGAAAAATTCAGGGAACAAGTCCTCCGGGAAGGACTTTAAGCCGTGGGTCCATGTCATAGCTTTACAGCACGTAAAAGAACCTCATGTCTCAAGGAGGCCTCTGAGCCAAATTATAAAGAACATTTCCCGCCCAACAGTAGTCTCTAATGCCTCTGGTAGATGGGGGAAGCATCCNTATGGAGCTTTCAGTGTAATACTGTGTTTTGCTTATAAAAGAGGACAATGGATAATGTCCAAAAACAGAATAATTATATTGTCATGTGTTGGATGTTGCGCTACAAATCACTTCACGCCATCTTGGATATAGCGAATTTATTCCACATTTGCTCTTACATTTACACAGTTCACAATTACACCACTACTGCCATCTGCAGTATCACAAATACTTCTCCTGTAGTCATTTCCATTCACTCAATAACAGTAAGACTTCAACTCACTCTGGTGAATGCTAGACTGCAACTGACTGGTTACTTTCTCTCTAGTAACTGGCTCAATACTCACTACTCCTGAATAGTGTTTGCTGCTCCTCATTTAGGCTTGGCACGAACAACATAGAGAACACCTTCCTTCTCTTCAAGAGATATCAGGCATTGCTGTCAGGTGATTCTACCTACGCATTGCCTAGCAATAGTCGCTGCACAGAGTCGCCTGTTGCGTGACATCACAGCCTCGTGGGGAGGGGTGTTTACCAAGCGTTGCATATCGTTAGGAGGGTTACATGACGTAACTCGTGGAAACGCAGAGTTCGCATGACCCCTACTTCCTGTTGCGCCATCCACGTCACAATATTAATATACCATCATCACAGACTTTTAGAGCCAGGCAATTACATTAGGATGTACATTACATTAAGTGGCTGAGACAACAGCCAAAAGACTTCTGTACTTTGGGTTTTGATTCACTGACAAAGTGATTTGACAAGTGTGTCCATGTTGATGGAGGATATATTGATAAACAAATGTTTTTTCCAAGTTTTAATGTCATGTTTTACATTTTATATCCATTTGTGACCTGTTTATTGACTCTCCATCATATTAGATGAACATTATGCATCAAAGTGAGAGGTTCATACATAGGTAAGTCAATAAGGAAGTTACAAATGGATATAGAACTTAAACAATTAAGAGTACTAATTTGAAAAGTGCTTTTATTTCTCAACATAATCTCCCTGCACATTGAGGCACTTGTCCCATCATTTCACAAGCCCCTGAAAACCAGCAGCATAAAATTCTTTGGGCTGCTGTCAGAACCAGGCAGTGACTTCCCCTTACAGGGAACATTTGCATCCTGAGGATGTTACAGTAGGAGTTGGCATTTACGTAAATGTTGACTCCTACTGTAACATCCTCAGGAGACTTCATAAGGCCATTCAACAGAAGCGACCAGGGCTCCTCACCAAAGGTGTGTTGCTCTTGCATCACAACACACGTCCCCATACTGCCAGCAAGACAAATGAGACGCTGCAAAATTTCAAATGGGAAGTCCTCGAGCATCTTCCGTATAGCCCTGACCTTGCTCCAAGCGACTTCCATTTGTTCAGCCCTCTAAAACATCTTTCGGCTGAACATTTTCCCGATGATGAAGCTGTAGAAAAGGAAGTCACCGCCTGGTTCTGACAGCAGCCCAAAAAATTTTATGCTGCTGTTTTCAGGGGTTTGTGAAATGATGGGACAAGTGCCTCAATGTGCAGGGAGATTATTTTGAGAAATAAAAGCATTTTTAAAATCAGTATTCTTATTTGTGTAAGTTCTATATCCATTTGTAACTTATTTATTGACTTACCCTCATACTAAATCAGCATTATGAATGATGCCATATTGGTACACAGTAGGTGTATGGTCCTCTTTTTTAAATATCTGTACTGCTATATTTGTTTGTTTTAAAAAGCAGACATGCGGATAAATAGAAATTTTATGTTTTTTTTTTTTTTTTCACTGCAAATAAGAATAAATGTGCCTGTATTCCTTTCAGTTCTATGGAGCCATGTGTCTGGTGTATGTAATACTTGGTTTAGCATGGCTCATTGTGTCTTTCTGCCAGTGGCGTGATTTGCTAAGAATACAGTTCTGGATTGGTGGTGTAATTCTTCTTGGTATGCTGGAAAAAGTGAGTGTTGATCTGTTTTCGAATTCTGTAGCCAAATATAATAAACTATTGAATAAATATAACCATATTTTATTAACTTGTTTTTTTAAGTTACTGTACTCTTATGCAATATTACCTATATTTTTTGTTAGAAGTATAGTGAAACCCTCATTTAAGGTTCTTTGGGGGGTGTTGGATATGAACAGTAAACTGGTGGAAATCTCATATAGAGGAAATTTAACATCGAGAATATTTATTTTGTATTGTTGAGATGGAACATTAAAACACAATAAGGATCCTTATATAGTAAACTGAATGATAAGTGGATGCAGTTCGCAGCTTAAAACCGAACACTGTACGCCTGATGATGGCCTGATATCCTGATACAGGGGCTGAAACGTTTCGTGTCCATAAAAAAAAGCTTTAATAAAACAAATGTTGCTACAGTAGTGTCTTATTTGTTTTAAAATACAGAGTGTTATTGTGTAGACGGTATATTCTTCTATGCTTTATATCTTATCTTAGACTGAGTAACATTAACTGGGGTTTCCACTAAATTTCATTGTTTTCTGTACCTGTTAACATTGCTGAGTCAGTCCATGCCATGTTCTGTGTTATGCTTGAAGTTTCCAGTGTTCAAATTGTCCTTGCCTTTGTACCAGATGCCTCCAGTTTAGACCTAATTTTTGTTTCTGTCTGTTCCCATCCTGTAAGGTAGAGAACTTTAATATGTTGTCTTTTGTTTTGTAATCTGCTCTCAAGTTGGTATAAAAGAAGTTTCTCAGTGTTTTCTTGTATTTAAAAATTAAGAAAGGTGGGCTTGGTAGATCATGTGTAGAGGCGATTCTTACAAACTTTTGCTTTGAAAACTTCAACAGATGAATTTATTTTTCATAAACAGTCTACACTTAACAATTTGGTATCTGTATCATTCAGAACATTTTGGTAATGTCTGCCATTAATAGCAGTGTTTATCAAATTAGATGATTTACTTCTGTCGGATCATTATATGACGTACTTAACTGTGACTTTATATGTGTCTTTTGAAAAACATTGCTGAAGTGAGTCCCAGTGATACATAAATGTAGAATTGTGTGAAGTGTAGATGGTTTATGAAAAGTAGAATTGTAAAGTTGTAACAAACACCACAAAAATATGCACAATAAATACTTGAGAGAGTAGCAATACCTGCTTGGAAGACAGGGAGGATAGATGAAACTTGGAGAAATAAGTTTCTAATTTGTGAACTGGATTGAACTGGCTCAGAGCAGGGCTGATGTCAGTCTTTTGTGAATACAGTGATGAATTTTCAGACTGCATAACATTTTTTGACAAACTAATTTTAATGTTGTTTTGTTTTTAGGCAACGTTTTATGCGGAATATCAGAGCATCAATTCCACTGGTGTGTCAGTGAAAGGAGCCATATTGCTGGCTGAACTTGTATCTTGTGGTAAAAGGACACTAGCTAGAATGTTAGTCATTATTGTCAGTCTTGGCTTTGGAATAGTCAAGTAAGTTTAAGAACTAGGAATATTGCCATACTAATAGTATTGTATTGTTTCTCTTGCTTAATATTAATATTTTTTACTCTCTGCACATTGAAATGTAACAGAGAAGGTTAAAATAGTAATCTGAAATGTGGAATATTCTGAAATTGTTTTGAAAGTTTTTTTTTACAGATTGTGTTAAAATATTTTGTTTAGTACACTAATTGTGAACAAACATTATTCATCATATTTCCTTGCTAAATGACGCCGTTGCCTAAATCACTAGATTTTTATTGTGGAACGAAAAGGGGATAACTCCCCAATTTTTCATGCATTTGATTACTACATTGACAAAACATTCCATCACCAGAATTGACAAATCATCATGTTTTGTTGGATGGTCAATTGTATAGATGAAATTGAGTAGCTTGTCGTGTGACTGTATCTGTTTATAAGCTACCCAAATTGCGTTCCTCCATGAGTTAAAGAGTGGGCTCCTGATCATAGTGGTATACCTCCGGTGATGATTCATTAAGAATCGAAACATGTTAGGTAACTGAGTGCTGAAGTGCTGAAGACATTATATGTCACATTGGACTGAAATAAACTTAATTGTAAACTAATCAATGGAGATTATTCTGCTTCCATTGCCCACTGATTAACACTTCACAGGTGAACCCTCAACTGACTCCTATAGCATCAGTTGTCTTCAAGGTAACTCCTCAGCATGGACCCTGCAAAAAACACAGCCTCTATTGTTGTAGAGGTGTATTTACCTTGTCATTGTATAGCAACAGTCACAGTGCAGACTACATAGAAAATGCGTTCTTCTGTTGTCGTGTGCGTGAATGTTGCAGATGTTACCTAGCAATGCCCGATGTTCACAGAGTCACAGCTTAGCAATAGGTGTATACACCACAATATATTTTTGCCATAAACCACTTTTCAGAAGTCTGATATAGTTTGTAGGATGGCTGTGAAGAGTTCTGTCTTTTGGGACATGGCACTGTTTAGTTTGTTGAAAGTTAACCAACAGACTACATGGTTTTGTGTCCCTGAAAAGAGATCTCTTCATATAGATGCTGTTTGATTTCAAAGGGTGTGGTGTATAGTTATATGCTTTGTATTCGTATGTATTATTTCAACAATGCCTAGGCCTCGTCTTGGTCCAATGCTACATCGAGTTGTGGGAACAGGTCTTTTATACTTCACACTGGCAGCAATTGAGAGCTATCTTCGTGTGATGCATCCAAAGAATGACCCATCAAATCAGACACTGGTAGCCAGTATTCCTCTTGCCGTGCTAGATTCTGCTATTTGCTGGTGGATCTTCACTAGTCTTGTACAAACTACAAGGACCCTCAGGTTGCGCAGGTAAGTGACCATTAAATTTTGAACTTGTGTATCACCAAGCAAGTTCCCTAAAGTAATAATGCTTTTGACTTGTTTTCAAGAGGTGCCTGGTTTGAATCAGCAGTGACTCCAAGTGTCCTGAGATATTTTATGATTTTCCCCACTCTGTGCATCCAGACAGTGGGATAATACTGCAGATTAGGCCACAGTGGCTTCCACATAATTTTCCTGTTCATTATTTACTGAACACCAAAACATACAATACTGTATTCTGTATACTGACATAATTTTTAAATAAGCCATAAGAAAATAAATAGTATATAATCATGGTCAGTTGTAACTTAAAGTAATGCACCTCTTTGGTAAAGCTTATTAGAGAAAGGAACTAGCAGTCAGTAAATTAATATTCACATTTCTTTTTTTCCAAGTGGTTAAATGGTTAACCAAGTTGCTCTCTTTAATAAGTTTAACCAGAAAAGGTGCATTACCTTGTGACTCTAATATATGAGTTCCTCTAGTTCACTAGAAGAGCTCTGCCTAACTGTAGAAGTGAAATTTGGTGCTCATAATAGATTTCAAGAAACTAAGGAAATGCTTCTAATTAATTTTAGTAAAATCATGGAGTGTTATGACGTAACATGCCTTCAAGTCACTTCCAACCTTCGCTGAGTTATTTATGCTTTTTCTCAACATATGCCTCCATATTTTTGATTAGGATCATAACCCATAATCTGTGTCCTCTCTAATTATTAATCTACAAATTCTTGATGTCCTGTAAGCAACTGAACATTTGGTAACAATGCAGAATATAACAGAATAGTAAAAATGAACCCTTGATTCAAGAATGTTCCAGGAAGACCACTTAATGTATTTACTAGCCGCATTACATAATTCAGTTACTCACATTACTGTAATATGCCTAATATAAGTATTTTTATGGAAGATGTATAGAAGCAGAGCCATAAATATTAAATGCTAAAATTAGGTTACAAAAGAATTGTAATCTTCAAATTTAATGCTGCGCCTTACATATGATGATGAATAATTTGGTTACATAGTTTTAATGCATTTAGATTCAGCCTGAAAATGTGATCTCCACTGGTCTTTATTAACTCTCCCTTGGTGAGGGGGCGAATGTATTTCTGGAACTTTGCATCATACAATTTTTATAATATAATTCAGTGGTCACAGGCTTCTAACAGTGAGTTTGTTTTTTTCCCCCAGAAATTTGGTGAAACTGTCCCTCTACAGGCATTTCACGAACACACTCATATTTGCAGTGATCTCTTCAGTTGTCTTTATGCTTTATTCAATAAAGTATCATCGCTTTGCTATATGTCTCACAGTGAGTATGATTGCAGCAACCAATAAAATATCATACAGGCTTATTTACACATCATAGTTATGTAAAAGTACAACCTGATAGATAGTTAACTTACTACAGGGATCAAACACTGTTAGAATTTGAGAAAATGACTGTTGAAGCTTACTGATTAATGATTACCATACCTATGTGTTTCTCTGGCAGCAATATTTCACAGTTGCAGTTTAAAAGTAAAATTAAAGTCAGTAGGTTTGGTATCAGGAGGAGATGCATGAGGACAAGCTGTTGCATAAAATCCTGGAGAGAATTAGTGGGCTGTCATTGTGTGTTATCAAACGCACGAATTCAAATAAGGAAACTGTAATACATGCAGGAGGCTCACCCAAGAAATTGAACAACAGCAGCGATCATGATAACAGTAACAATAATAACAGTGATGATGATGATGATGATGATGATGATGATGACGACGACAATAATAGTTAACTAGAGAACAAACACCAATAGTTGAAATGGCGTTTGTATCTTGGCAACTAACACATCTGAGTAGGCAGTGGTTGACAAGAGAAGTTGATCAGTCACACAAACCTAGGAAATTAAGATGAAATTACGTTTATTTTGTGTTAATATAAACTGTTTAAATGGTGGGAAATTAATGGGACTAAAGAAGAAATTTTGCAGATTATAAGAAGACTTGCTATGTGGGACTGTAAATATGAGGTTTTACTGTATATGATTTAAATGTGCTTTACACTGACTCATTGTCGCTGGAAATTCAGTTGAATGCAAAAAGCAATGATATATTAAGGTCTTGCACTATAAAGATTAAAGTAACATAATCTAAAGAATACTTTAGGTTTGCGTGTTTTATTTTTCTGCAGGACTGGAAGGAGCTGTGGGTGGATGAAGCATACTGGCATCTTTTGTTCTCTGTTCTGCTATTGGTCATTATGATTTTGTGGAGGCCTACAAATAATAATCAGAGATATGCTTTCACACCACTTCTGGATGCACCAGAAGATGATGAAGAGGAAGATGAGCAATTTGTTAATGATGCATTTGGTGAGTGGCATCCTTGTGTGATGAGTCACAGTATCTTGTTTTTTACATGCTTACAGTGTCATGCCACAGACCACATGCCATGTTGGAAATGACAGAACATTCCTGCTGAACCACATCAAACACAGGACGCGGTTGTGGAATTTGACAAATTTTAGGGTGCTATTGCAGGGTTATCACGTTGGGTAAAAGGAAAACAGTTTTACTGGAAAGCAGTAGTATAATGTAATTTATTGTATCTTGTTCATTAAAAGAAATAACGTATTTTTGAATGCTGTTTATTGCATATGATACATTCCTGAAGTCTTGATCAGAAATTCTCCCTAACTGTTTGCTGCTGATTTGATGTCTATGAGAGTGAGTTGGACTGTTGGTCACGGCTTCCATAACGCTCCCTACATTTTGTGGCATGCAGACTGATTGTAAACTATAGGCAGAATGATCATGTAAATGCTGCCAGTATTCTCTACCAATGCCTGTGTAACTCATGCCTAAATCTCCTTTGGACCTGTGCTGCTAACTTACATAGTGTATTCACTTAGTGGGGGTGGAGTCCAACTGGGTCCACTCAGCACAGTGGCCTCTGATTGGCCTATTGTAACCTGCCCCGGGTGATTATGATGATGGAGAATTTGGTGGAATGAGGATTGGCAAGGGAAACCGAAGTACTCTGAGAAAACCAGCCCCAGCGTCACATGTAGGATATTGGTGGGAAAGCCAGAAGGAAAGAGACCACTAAGAAGACCAAGATATAAGTGGGTGAACAATATTAAAATGGATAATAAAAAGATAGGATGGGATATTATGGATTGGATTGATGTGGCTCAGGATAGTGACCAGTGGAGTGCTCTGTGAACACGGTAATGAACCTTCCATAAAGTACTGAGAAGTTCTTGAGTAGCTGCACAATTGGTGGCTTCACAAGAAGGGCTCAGCTCCATGAGTGAGTAGGTAACTTAAGATTACTGTTGTTACTAGTGGATGGATTACTTTGCATAGTAAAAGTAAAGATGCCCTTTACTTAATTGAGCATCATGCTGTGAGAACATGTGACTAAGTGAACCTGTAACTTCATGCATTTTTACTCTTTACACTTGATGGAGATGGGTGGTCAGCTTCATGCTCTGGTTGCTTTACCTCTTGAGGATGAGTCCCCACTACCCATTGAACAGTAAGTTGGCAGGCCCTAGAGCCAGTCTGGACTTAATGTTGTATTTTAGCGTCCTGTTGCACTGAATTTCTTCCATGATATGTATACAGTGGCTGTCTTGTAGTGCACTCAGTTTCACCTGTTATTTCACAAATGTTTCGGCAACATAGTGCCATCATCAGGTGCCCTAATTACTCTAATCTATTTCATTGCTTGCCTTTATAAATCTTTTTAAAGTTATTTAAAAAGTGTGTATTTGTCAACTATAATAAATTTTCACACACTAAAACTTGTTAAGGTTATTCATCTTATGTGTCTTAATTAAAACTGGCGTGTGGTTCTTCCACTATGGGGGTCATTTTTCTTATATTCAGTGTAAACCGTGTCTTGTGATGTGTGTTCCCCTCTTAGCTGCGAGTGTTGTAATCTGGACTTGCTGGAGGAGAGAAAATTTGTGCCTGAGCTGGGAACCAAGCCCTGATTTTCCAGTTGTACAGTCAGAAAAATAATAAAAAATGTGTAAACTTATCTTGTGCCTTAGTCTACAACACTGTCATGAAGTTTATATTTACTGTGGTTTGAACAAAATCCATGTATGTGAGTATCAGATGAACTACTTGTGCATAGATCTTGAAGAATTTCCCTCTGTTAAGGTCTTTCATTCATTAATTTAGTTCTGTATGTACATTTCTGTTCTCTTCATAGGTGTGAAGATGAGAGGTTACAGGAGTACTTCTCCAAAACCAAAGTCTACCAACAATGTGGTATGTTTTATTATATGCAATATATATGAATAAAAAATTTTCTTCTTCTAATTCACTGTTTATCAACATGCAAAATTATATGGTGAAATCAGTAAGTAACTTCCATGATGCTGGGGGTTTAAATGCCAACTACTGCACACGATGGAGGAGATTTAAAACCTCACATAAATAAAAATACACTTGCTGCTTACAGTTTTAATATCTTTTGATACAGCAAATGAATTTTCTTGAAATTTTTAAGGTATGTACTCAAAAGCATTCAGAATTTATCTACATTTGTAAAACTAACGCTGAATTGTTTTTTATCGTAGTAATTTAGATTTACACTATTCAAATGTTTTATACCAGATTTGAATGATCTGAATGAAGGATACTGTTAGAAGGAAAAATGCCTCTACCAAAATGTGGTTCGTCAATGTGTATGTTTTTTCTGGGAGATACAGACTCCAAAATTTAGAATTTAGGGTTAATGAATCTCTGGGAAGTGGCTTGTACTAAACCAAGCTTTTTACTAAATGGGGGTTATACATGATGTATGCAAAAGCCACATGTATCGTGTAATAATGGTATACAGCAGAGAGAAAATGTAGCGAATGTGTTTTATTGTTTCCATCACACAGAACTTAGGTACAAGGTATTGAAGCGTAGGTCCCCTTCAGAGGATCCTTCAGGGTGCGTATGGGTTCTCGTAATCACAGGACAGGGCGAGCAGGGGAGGACAAAGAAATCAGCAAGGCGGAAATACCCAAACAGAAATAACCAAATCAAATATTAACAAAGAATAAATATAATATATTAATAAAGAAAGAATACAAACATGATGTAAATACCTGTATCAGAATGATTGCAGAGTTCGCTGTTCTAAGATTGAATACCACGTAGAGAAATCAATTTGGACGGTCGAGGATGACCTCGCCCGGTGGTCCGAAATGAGAACAACCTACCCCTTCAACGGTTGGGAAGCCAAGAGCCGTTAGCTCGACTCGTTAGGCCGCTAAGTCGGCTCAGGAGGGGAAGGAGAGGGGGACAGTAGAGACAGTAGAGGGGAGAAGTGGGCGCACAGACCACGGACATGAGCCGACGTCACAGTCTGAAGGGTCAGAAATTTCTTTCACTGAATGTGGGTTATATACAGAAAAGTAGTGCATTGTGTATATTTGTCTTCAGCTAGGAACAGAAAAAATATTCACTAAATACAATATTTTGCTAATTACACAAGCACTGAATTAATTTGTGATTTTATTCATCCTATGAAGATAGTGGTTTCACTGTCTGGGCACTTGAATGCTGATTTTGGTACAGGGTATTCAATGATAGAGGAAACCTGGTAGCAACTTAGAGCAGACACAACATTTCTCAGATTGCTGCTGTAACTGCCAATAGCAGAATGAATCATTACCGCTTATAAACGTGTGCCGTCAGGTGGTCTGATCTTGTCACTGCAATTAGTAGCATTAATACAGCTGGAGAGGAAACCTGACAGCAGCGCAGAGTGAATGGAATGTTTCTCTGTGACTACTGTGCCCTTCCCCACTAGCGAGAGTGCATTCATGTCGGTGCTTCCCTCACATCATTTTCTCTGCATGCACACATTTATAATATTTTAAAAATGTAACACAAACTCACCATGGTTTATAACAGGTGCTGAAAGTGGCCGTCTTCTGCTTGCAAACATGACTCACATCCCATAAATAAATTATGTGACACTTTCTGAAGTTGGTCCACAGTAATTCAACCAATTACGCGTGTTATGTCATTCTGCAGAGCTTCAGTGGTGCGAGGATTATTCTTGCAGACTTCTCCCTTTAGGTTACCCCAGAAATAAAAATCGCAAAACAGATCTGGGAGGCCACAGTCCCCTGCTGATTATTCAGTCTTCAAACACTTCCCATATTGTGACCATGATTGCATTAGCCATATGTACTGTAGCATTGTCTTTCTGAAAATACCCATATTGTCTATCATCAACAGTCAGCTGATTGAAGAATAGATTCAGTATATCATGAATGTAATGGTCAGAGTTCACAGTTTCATGGAAAAGTAAGGGGCCAATGATTCGCCACGGACTTACAGCACACCACACCCCCACCTTTTCACAATGTAATGGCTCTTGCTGTATAGAGTGAGGATTTTCATCGCTCCATATTCTTACATTTTGTGCACTGACATGACTACTAATGTGAAACCACACTTCATCAGTCATGAACAGAGGCTGTGGATCCACGATTCCATCTTGCACATTTTGCAGCAGCCAGTTGCAAAAACGAATTCTTGCTGCATAATCTGGTTGTTTCAGCTCATGCACAACTGTTATTTTATACAGGCAAAATTTGATTAATTTTGTGGCTGTGAAAGCAGATCCTAGTGAAACAGCGGTTTCCTGTGCTAAGTTTCTTAACAGTTTTCGAGGACTGATCTTTAGTCATGTCTCAATATCCCGAACTTTTTCTTCAGTCAGCACAGTCCTCTTTGATCACTTCTTTATGTGACACGCTGAACCTGTGGCCCACCACTTTTCACAAGCTTGGATACACATGACTTTTGGGAACTGGCAAGTCAGGATATTTACGATGAAACTTATGGATAAATTTTCTGTAAGTTTTTTCCTTGGAAAATTTTTGACAATGAACATGCTGTTCCATAGTGAAGTTCATGTCAATATAAATGTCGACCAGCTATCGACACCTCTAACAAAGTCTGACTATTAATGCGACATACTGCAGTGACAAGATCAGGCCACCTGATGGTGCATGTTTATCAGCGCTAGTGACTCATTCTGCTATTGGCAGTTACAGCAGCACTCTGGGAGAAATGTTGTGTCCGCTCTGCGCTGCTGCCAGTTTTCTCTATCATGGAATGCATTGTATATGTTCTTAGTAGTAAAGCAAGGAAATGCTTCTTGACAGTTGACATTATAAACAGACTGACTTTACACACATCAAAGACTCCTACAGGGTGTTTGAAAGCCAGATACAGTAATCAGAAATCTGCCTGACATCTATGCTCTGGATTTATTTTATATGTCGTTTCATAGTATGATTTATGATCTTCCAGGAAGATGACCTCAAGTGGGTTGAAGAGAATATTCCTTCAACATTAGCTGATACGTAAGTATAATAATATAATGACTGTAAATCAGCCACAGATAATGGCATGGTTCGTTCACTCGGTTCCATCTCTAATGCAATGTAAACTTTTATTTATTATCATCTCTAATGCAACATAAAGTTTTATTTATTAAAGTTTATGCTTCATTAGAGATGGAAACAAGTGAATGCGTGATGTATCTATGCAGTAGGATGCTGAAATATAATATAATGGCATTGTCGTCACATAATTTGTCTTTTCTCTTGTTGCTCTTACACATTTTTATACTTTGGTAGTTGAATGTTACTTGAGACATGCATAGGTAGATGAGAATAGTTTGATTGAATTTACACACCAAAATTCTATTTGCATTACTTTTCCCTCTTATCCTAGCCACATGCTTTGTCCATCACAGCCTCCTGAATTGCAGAACTGTCATAGTTTCCTGGATAAGTCATGAAATTCCTTATTATATTAAATTCAGAACTGTTGATGTCCTTCATTGCTCTCGTGTTCAGATAATTTTTTCCTTCAAAGTAAGAGATCACATTTCTCACTCATAGAGAATTGGTGGAAGTGCATATACACACTGTATATAACTGTAACATGGATGGCTGGAGCATTTCTAGCCAATGACATGTAAACAACCTTCAGTTGAGTGCATTACAACAATAAGACAAATGTTTGTAGCTAGTTGCTAGGCGATGGTCAGCACACCAGTGGCCTGACAAGATATCACGTGACATGTTTTCTGTGCAGTCCGTGCTGCAGCTGTATAACAAGAGCTGTGATTTGAAGATTTTATGTGTAACATTTGCATGAACGGAAGTGTTAGTTCCTGTATTTAATTGCTTTATCAGGAGAGGACTGTGTGTGTGTGTGTGTGTATGTGTATGTGTGGGAAGTGGAGGGGGTGGAGGTAGATTGTCACCAAAGTGCTCATAAATATCATCCTCCGACCTAGAACCCATCATTTTCATTACATGTACTACCCTACACGTGACTGTATATATATATNTAGTTTTATTATGACTTTGGTGATAATGTTCGTTTGAAGTACGGTGAGATATATTTAATTTTACATATATTTACTTACAGATCAGTATATTTACTGGTTGTAGGAGAAATATTCTTTATATTTATTTTTTTCCCCCAAACAAATTAATGTCATCTGCATAAGGCTTGGGAGTCATTGATTACATAGATAATGAAGTACTATTTGGATTGGACCTGTGGAAGGTTAGGTATAAAAAGGGATATTGTGTATTTTACCATGGGGAACAGAACTAAGACTGCAGCTTTGAAACTTGCATTTAAGTGAAGAGCATTCTGAAAATGCAGATAAAGAAGGCATGTCTGAAGGCCTAAAGTTGAAGAAAGCTATTTTCAGGGAAGTGGAGTCTGTGTATGAAAACTTTATACAAGAATTCCTGACACAAATTTGTACTCTGTGGATTGATCGTGTGGTCCAGTAGCACGAACTCTGTTTCTTTTAAAAAATTAGATAATTAAAAATGTATGACATGTTCATAAAGATAGCTAATATGGGTTCATGACCGAGGTAGATGCAGTCCTTTCTCTCGCTCTCTCTCTCTCCTTTTGTTCCAACTTTGGAGCATGGGGCTGAATTCTCAGTTTCATGATCATTTTACAGACAGTAGAACTCATTGGACGATTGATCAGCCTGTCGCAAGGCCTCTACCAAAACACAGGACAACACAAACACAGAATAAATGCATACACACACCAAACCTCCATGCCTTGTGTGGGATTCAAACCCACAATCTCAGCTTCTGAGCAAGCAAATATTACATGCCTTGGACCACTCAGCTACCGTGGTCATCAGTTGCAGTCCATAGAATAGAGCATTATGGAAAATGAATCTGTTCCCATTCTCAGGTGGGGGAGAGAGACCTGCTCTGTTGGGTCCCTTAGCAAGAGCTTACCTTAATCACCGAACAAGCCATGTCAGTATAACTACAGGTATATAAATACCTGAGACCAGGCTTTGTTGAAGGGAGATAACAGGAAACTGTATAATAAACATTTTCATAAAGCATGCACAGACCTGAAACTAAGATAAATTGTGACGTGAAAATTTGTACAACAAACCTAACCAGTGAAACCGGTGTGTAGTATTAAATGTAGAATTTTGTGAAACCATTTTGTGCCTATGCTAACACCATCTGTGGAGTAAAATCTGAACTCTTTTGACTAAAACCTTATAGAAACCCATGAAGTATCTGTCACATCATACTGATCTTTTCTGTGAGTTGGTGACCTCATTGCTTATACGGGGGATCCTGATGGGGAAAATGTCAAGATTCGTTTGGCTGATAAAGTTGATTAAGCATGCCATATGTGCTGATTCCTTGTATTTCCAATATCTGTTGTTACTTTCAATTTCCAAAGTCCTAGCTTCATCCCAGCCTACCCTATGATCCTCTTCATCAGCATGCTGGGCTAATTTTGAGATTGCACCTATGTTCAAAGAGTCGCACGGCTGGAGGTCTGCCTGTTTCACCAATGTAGCTTCTGTCTCATTGACAGGGAATGGTGTAGATGCACTGTGCTGTCTGTTGTGAATATTTTTCCAGTCTGGTTTTGATGAGTGAACCCTGAATATTTTGGTTTTGAAGATTGTCCTAATGTTGTACCGATTCCTTATACTTCTGAATTTCTCTGAAACATCTGCATATGGGACGTTTACACAGCCCAGAGGCCTTTCCTCTTTATTTGGATGACTGCTACTCTTGGAATTAATAATCAAGTCAATGAAACCGTGAGGATAAATGTTGAGCTGAAGCTCACATCTCAGGCTACTAATTTCAATAAACAGATCTTGTTGTCCTTGGTGTATGGTGGAAGCTCTATTATGAAAAATCTGAATTAAACCTCTTTTTGCATGCAGTGGATGGTTCGATTTTAAGTTGATATATTGGCCAGTATGGGTAGGTTTTCTATAAACTTTTGTGGCTTGATGACCATTGCATCCCGAAAAGGAATTGCACTGTCTGACTATTTTTATGTAGTGAAGTGAATGGAAGGCCTTAAACTGTTGAGTTGGCTGAGGAAATTATGTAACCACTCTGAGTCATGAGGCTAGATGAAAAATGTTTCATCAACGTACAGGAGGCATAGCAATAGTTTATGTTGTGCCAAATTAAGAACCCATTTCTCAAAATTCTGTGTGTAGGTGTTGGTAATAGGTGATAGAGAGTTTTCCATAGCCTTACCATCGTTCTGTTGGAATAACTTATCGTCCACATTTTACCTTTCTTTACCATCTGAAAATATGTGCTTCTCAGTCAAACTTCCAGCAATTCCTTGATGGCTTCAGCCTGCAAGATAGACCATGCCACCAATGTGTCCAGTTTTTTAGAAAACCAAACAATGGACAAAGTCCAAAAATCCAGTAATTCTGAGTGTTATACACCATTGTCAGAACCCTTTAGGTTCTACATGTGCAGTACATGTTTCAGTAAACAAATTTTGGCTCAGGATTTGTCAGCTATATCAGCAGTGGTAGAGCAACTAGCCTGTTGAGCAAGAAACTGGCTTTAATACCTGAGTGAAGCAGCGATTTGAGACATGAATGAGAGTTATTGTTAAAAACATAACCTCCTACCTCCTTTTTACCTTCATTTGCATTGTTAGTTACTGTTTTTCTATAAATAGTATGTTATTACAAGGTTATTAAATTAATTACAATCATTTTCTTTTATATTCTTTCAGGGCTCTGACAACCATGGATTCTGATGAGGTATGTATGAAATTAAAAAAAAATATATTCTAATAATAGTGTCTTTTTGTAAGAATAATTACTTGTACCAAAGTGTTACTTTGGTCATAACTTCTCTGTGGCTGGAACTTTTAATATATACCGTATGTTGCCATATCAAATGGAAGTAGTTGCTGTAACAACTGGTATGACGTGTTTTTGTAAAGTAATAAAATTTTGTGTCAGTACAGACTTTCAGAAAATTTTATTTGTTGCTTTCTGATATGCAAGGTATATTCAGAATATTTGTGTATTTACTTATGAAATGTTACAAACTTCACAGTGACTTTGATAATGCTTTTAGTATTTGAATTTAAATGGAATTAAATTGTCATTTATAAACATTTCTCTAGCTGTATTGATGTCTTTCACTTTTTCACCATTTACAAGAGAAGAGCATATCTCTGTGGGTAGGTGCACTTCCTGTCTCTTATTTCTTACTGTGTTCCATGTTGTTTTTATTTCATTGTTTGATCTTGCTGCAAATCATCTGTACTGTTCCATTTAGCTTCTTTTAGGGCTATGTTTAAATTTTTACAGTATTTCATTTGAATGCTTTGGTATTCCTTTTTTTTTTTTTGTTATGACAAGCACTTCCTTACAATTTTAATGTGGTCATTTTTTGTTCTAGGAAATAATGACAACGAAGTTTGAAGTATCCAAGCTGCAGTAATTTGAAAGAAGAAATCTGTATATTAGACACGTTAATTAATTTTTAGTACCATTAGTTGTTGTGTGTCTGTACCATGTGCATGGACATGTGTGGATGTATGCACATAATGGAAAGATGCCTTCTACTGAATTTGGTTGGATTCTGATATCCAGTTTTGAGGCTGTGGAATTAATTCTGTGTTTCTTCATTTGCCCATCTCTAGCAAAAACATCACTAGTTTTTCATTTTCATTGTTCTTTTAAATGTATATGAATGCTTCTATCCAGTGTCTGTATGATGGTTTTATGTTCTCTGATTACACGTGTGCTTAAAGGAGACTGCAAATTATTATAAACAGTCTAAGAAATCTTAGTAACTTACTCCACTTAAGTTTTTTAGTGACAGAATATTATCAGTTGTTCATATTATAGATTAAAAATATATTGATATGCGCAATACATTTAATTTCTTACTTTTTACCATGTAACAGTGATGTAGTCATAATGGCATTCTTGTAACACATGAATAACAAAAGTATTTTGAAAATTTCTTTAGTGGAAACCTTTTACTTTGTAGTTATAGTTGATAAACTTGCATAATTTTGAATTTCACATTCAACATGACATACTATGCAAGGCTTAGAACATTCTGGTAATGCTTATGTAAAATAAATAAAAATGTAGATATATTAAGCTTCAGTTGGAGATTGCTAGATAGGGCTATGGTGGTCCTGTACTTAATATGAATTTTGTGCATCCAGAACATACAGGTGGGCCAGACTCAATTAGGCAGTTTTGATCATTAATAACTAACCAATCCAACAATACACGGGATAATGGGAAAGTACCTTTTGTTGTCGATAGATGGCAGCATCATACGGTATGCTGTGAACGAGGTCATTACTCTGCCTACTTAGTGTGCATTGAGGAAACGTCATGGCCGGTAGACGGTTGTTGATGCTGACCAAGTTTCAGGAGAACCCTGACCTTATCTGGAATATTGTCTGGACTGATGAGGCCAAATTTCACACATCAGGATCGGTCAACAGACACAACTGTGTGTTTTGGCGGCCAGAGAACCTCAGTGCCACCATTGAATACGATTTCCAGTCCCTGGGAGTGATGGTGTGGGGCGGCGTGATGTACGAAGGACTGATTGGCCCGTTCTTCCTTGAAGGTTGCGTCACGGGGGAACCTACCTAAAGTTGCTGAGGCAAAGTGTCATCCCAGAACTTCAGAGGAGAGAGAACTTTGATGAACTGTGGTGGCAGCAAGATGGGGCCCCACTACACTTTGCCAATATTGTTCAGGCGTTCTTGCATCAAGTTTTTCCTCAACGCTGGATTGGCCGTCAAGAGCCTGTGGAGTGGCCAGCCCGATCACCCGACATCACCCCACCAGACTTTTTCCTTTGGGGTTACCTCAAAGACAAGGTGTACGCTAATCCCATTGACAGTGTGAAACATCTACTTGAGGTGATAGTTCAGGAGTTCAATAAAGTTCCCGTGAATATGTGTAGAAAGGCGTGTGAAAATGTTGCTTTGCGTCTGCAAGCCTGTGTTGACTTAGGTGGTGCCCAGGTTGACCAGCATCTTGAAAATCGATGACTTATGTGTGTGCAATTCCATTTTTGTAACCATTGCAATTGTTAACATTTATCAATAAAAATAACATCTAATCAAAAACTGTCTAATTGAGTCTGGCCCACTCTGTACATGTATGCTGATAGTCAGGTTAATTTCATTTGTAACGTCCCAAAATGACATGCAAATAAGAGCAAACCTTACTATTCTAATACATTTGAGGTTCTTGCGATGGTGACTGAAAGGTAGTGTCTCTGGGATGTGATGTGATGTACTCTAGTAGAAGTTTACCAGTGTTTCTGAGGAACAGACTGCTTGCTCTTTGCTACCTTGGCTTTGTGTTTGACCCTGGAGATGGCAGCAGTTCATTCCTCCAAAACATCTCTAAACTTTGAGACCACACTGTCGTATCCCAGAAGATTGCACTTTTCAAAGTTTTTGCTTCAAATATTGTTTGAAATATGTAGAAGATATGTCAAGCCCCAATAATTATGTTCACCCACAGTATTCTTGAACAGAAGCAACATGATCTATCTATTAAAGGTGGACAGATATGAAAACTGAACTTTACATGCAAAAAGGTGAACATTACACAGGCAGCAGAGTCAAGTTGTGTATTGGCCTGTTTTGAGGTAGGATGTAAAGTCTTTTTTCTCAGAACTTTTTTTTTTTTAAGTTTGCTCTGCTGCTGTGAATATCTGAAATGAATATTCAGTTATATTGAGTAATGGAGCTGCATTCTGTATTTTGTGACTGTAGTAAACAGTTATTACTATGTTCTAATGTAAACTAAATTAAGATAAGTAATAATGTTTAATTTAAATTATAGATAGTATATGTATGTGTATTATTGATAGCTGACAAGATTACTCAAAGTGATTCTCCCCTTTTTCTTCTTTCTTTCTTTCTTTCTTTCTTCTGTATGTGTGTATAGAAGTATGCAGTTGTACAGTGGAATAATAATGTTGAATGTGCCTGCTGTCACTGTGCATACTGAGTAAATAATTTTTAGAGTTGCACAAAGAACCTTTGCTAGCCCTTGGAGAAAAGTAACACATCTTTGTATCTTTATTGCACAGGGTGATTCTAAATTATTTTCAGAGTTTCTGTTTATAGGTCACAGAAACCGCAACAGTAATTTAGAAGCATTCTGTACTACTGATGTGATGAAGCCCACAATCTGTCACATGCCATACTGATCCAGATGCTAACATTAAAAATGAGTAGCAAACTAATTCCAAGGAGCAGAGCCTTCATTGAGCACAAGAAGCTAATAGTCATTCAGCTAGTCAAGAAATTCTTTGCCTGTCATTGAACCTGTATGTTCATTACTGTGTTCACAAGAGCCCATGACTGGTTCCTATCCTTAGTCCTCATCATCACCCCCATTTCTTGAAGATCTATATGATTCTTATCCTCACATCTGTGCAGAGAGATCTATTCCCTTTTAGTCTACGTTACATACCTTACTCCATTAGGCTTTTAGCAGCAATGGTGGTCATGGGGAGAGGATCATATGCTTCACTTGAGTCTGGTATCCTCTCCATGGCGCCACCATCGTTGTTAGCATCATCAGTTTGCTTAAAATATTATCTTCTGTTGTGCCTTTAGTTAAAAGGGAATTTTGGAGAACCACTCTTAGCAGCTCGCTACCAAATGTGAGACAGGTGCCCAGCATCAGAATCCAACTGTTACCCTTTCTTAATGATGACTACTTGGGGCTGTGATGCCAGGTTACCTTTGTCCTATAAAAGGGTGATTGCTGAGTTAAGATTTTTTTTTGTTTTGTTTAGTGATTCAGAGTTGGATACAGTGAGTCGGTTGAAAATAGTTGAGCAGTTAGTTATGAAAGATAGTGAAATAATGACAACAGTAATATAGTGAGGTATGGTATCTACGTGAAGAAAGTGAGAAGTTTATGAAGACACAATGGAAATGTGATCTAATGAAGGGCAAGTCTCGCAGAGGACTAGTGTAACTTTGCAGACATAAATATCTACATACCGGAATGTACTGCAGTTGTTGCATTCAAGTAGTGTAGTGCTTCATCATTCCTGAAGTGTATACCCCAATCCCGGTCACCAGAGCAACCTGTATCCCTGAGGGAAAGCTCTCCCGACTCTACTGATCTGATGGAGCAAATATTATATCAATGCTGTTGGCAGCTGTGCATTGCCTGAAGGATGGTATCTCTGGGACAGTGGCGAAGGGCGAGTAAAGTTTAAGGTTTTCATTTGTCTTAACTTTCAATTTCAGTGATGCAAGTTCAGGATTTTCCCCAGTTTGGTGCTCAAATTTTCTGGTCCGCAGATAAATCTGAAATGGGAGTGCTGTATATATGCAGCTGTTTCAGTAGCAAAGTACCATTCTCACAATATCCTGTTATAGTGTACTGTAATAATGTAGGTGTTGAGTTTTAATGTAAATGAACGTTTTTCTTTTGTCATAATATGTAAACTACAACAAAGCAAACTTTTGCAGATAGAGGGTGTCATGTGGTCAGTGCAACGGATACCCACAGCCGTTAATCTCGGTTTTATAGACCGGAGCTGCTATTTCCTTGAAATAGGTCCTCAGTTATCCTCACGAGGCTGATTGAACCCTGTTCCAGACCCACTACTTCTCAGAAAATCTGGTAGTGCCAGGATTCGACCTCTGGATCTGTAGGCAGGAACTCCGACCACTAGGCCACAGAGGCGGTCAATATGTGAACTACAGTTAACAGAATCAAGATCCATGTTGTAGATGTACATTTCTTTACAGCTTGACTATGTAACTTAAACATGGGAAATATGCTTTCTGAGACAAGTAGTGCACATACAGTGGAACCCCAATTTAAGATTTCTTTATTCAGTGCATTTCCTTATTTAACATTTAATTTCAGTGATCGCAGTTTGCTAGTCTTGATGTAAAATTGTTTTTTACTAACATTTTTCTCACTTTAGTGTTCAAATCTGTTAATCCCCAAAGATACCTTAAATTGGGGTTCCACTGCTTTTGGGATGACCAAGTTTCTGCTGTTTGAGTTTTATATAAAAATGTCTTCCTACATGCATAATGGTTACAGACATTATTGTATTTTTTGTGTTTTTCATCTTTTGTATTTTTCGCACATTACTGCATATTAAAATTTGAAATTGTCCTGTTGAACAAACTGTTAGTAATGATTTGTATTTTGGTTGTATTTCAAAATAGTGTTAAAAAATTGAAATTTCATTATTTTATTTGTTTTGTGTGGTGTCTGTAGTATACATTTTAGTAGTACTTAAGGTTTAGTTGTAATTTGACGACAATTTAATCTAAAGGTATCAAAGATAAAATATCACTTACATATACTTGTTTATATTAATACATAGTTGTTAAGTAACAGTAGATTGCAACTTAGCAATTTGGTTCAGGCATTAACATTCTGACTTGACAGTATGCCATCATTGTATTTATACTTTCCATGATGCATACTGTAAATTTTCTAGTAATGCAACTGGAAGCCCATATCTTCCAGTTTGTTTGTTGGTTTTGGCATGTTGTATATTTATTGCACAGAGCTCACAATAGGTGGTCATGTGGATTTGTCCGATTATTACAGTTCTGAAACTACATGAAGTATTGCAAAGATATATGGTTTGGTATTGGGGAACCTATTGTAAGTATGTCTGTGAAACTTGATCTATCACATTAGGGAAACTATACAGGGTGTAAATAAATATATGTTACAACGCTCTATGGTAGATAGATGGGTTCAGTCTGATCATATTTTGTTAATACACCCATGTCTGGAAACGCTTTTATCACTAAGGGTCAGAAAAGTTTCTGAGGGGATGCATAAGTTTTAGGGGAGATCGTTGTTTTGCATTATAAAAGTTGCTCAAAATGGCGGCCACCAACTTCATTGCATGTTCTGCACCGCCTGGCATTTCCTGGATGGTTCCAGCTGCCACTGCAATTCTTGCCACAAGATCAGGTTTTGTGTCTATTGGAGTCCCATACACCAGGCTCTCCATATAACCCCAGAGAAAGAAATTCACTGTCAGAGGAGCAAGGAGGCCAGGTTATTGGGCCTCCACGTCCAATCCATCTGTTGCAAAAAGTTTCATCCAGATACAGACAACATTAGTGTTGTGGTTACACATTTCAAGATGGACTTCCAAAGGCACCATTTCCAGCGGCTTGGGTAAGGTCTCTTCGAGAAATGTATAAATATCACC